AGGAAAGAAGGGAACGAACGTCTATGTTTATGATGTCTATATTTGTATAGGTATTATGTTCCAAGTTTTCGAAATTATTAATTTATTATTTAAGTTCAGATTTACGTTTTTCTGATCTGATTTTTTAAAGTATTAGTAGTATGACCCTCAGTTTCACTGACCATAAGACGAAATTTACAGTACTTACCATTTTAAAGCCCATGAAATCTATGGGTATCTTCTGAATTTCAGGGGAATTTCTCTCTAGCTCCACAACACAGTAACCCAAATCGTTCATTAGATTCGGATACCTCGGACTTCTAATGTATAACACGTGTCCGTGATTCTCGACAATACATTTATAATGAATTTTAGCTGTAAAAACTATATAAAGATCAACTTTGTTTGTTATGGTAATGATAGTCTTCAATATAGTTGTTGAGGGGATCAAACTAGTAATGGGCAATCTGAATCGATCTTTGAAAAGAATTGATCAAAATCATAGAGTAATAGTATATTACTTTATGGGTAAGATACATAATTTATCATTAGATGTTATAATAATATTGTTATCTATTTTAATCTTTTGGAGAACCAAATCTTTTCATTTTGATTTTTTGAGGATAAATTTGTTCTTTCGATTTAAATCGATTCAAAAAATCAATTCATTATATTATGACAAAACTCCTATGTGATAACTTTATCATAGAATAAATGGAAATAAATTAAAAAAACAGTATTTCCTATGTATACACATAAATGGATTTCATAATGTATTTAAAAAATACCTTAAGCTATCAAAACCATTCAAGTTACATAATTAAGTATTAATAAATAGTTGTAAGTGTTATAGAAAAAAAAAAAAAAAACAGTTATGATATTGTTTTAAATGAGGTTAATATAAAAAATGAAAACACACACATCAGTTGCACAACTTACGAGACATGCCGAGATTCTTGAACTGAAAATATAATGCAATAACTTACATTTATCATGCGTTTGATTTTTTAGTTATGTGCAGTTTGTATACAAATTTGAAGAAGAAAGCCTTATACAACATGCAGCATTAGAAACTACTTTAGGGCAGACACATTTTACACTGAAAACTTTGAAGTCTCTATCGTTTGATCGCCACCAATCTTTGGAAACGGTCCATAGATCACCTTTAAACTACTCCCATAAAATTTAGTGTCAATCGGAATGGATCGATAAAAGGAATTTTACTTCAAAGTAGTCATTGATGGTCATTAATATTTAACGAAGTTACCCTCCTGTATGAGGATAACATTTACCCACCTACCCAAGCCGAATTAAGGGGTTAAATGTACAAAATGTATACTTATTAGTTGAAAAATATTTCGGCCCTTTTTTTCTTGTGAACAAATTTTCTATAAGCAATTTCGCTTGGATTTAAAATGATAGCACTTTTTCTAAAGGAACTCTGACCGGAAAAGTACCTTAAGGAGATTATTTTTCGATTTTCTCAGGAGTTTTCTCATTAAATTTGAAAACCCGAAAAACCAGGAAAATGCACGATATATATAATATTATTAAAATATTATGATTTTTTTTTTCATGTGAATACTTTTTTAAGAAAGCTTACTCCGATATATATGATGTAGGCATTTTAGACCCTTTTCTAACTATACATTTTTTTGAGATGATACTTTAGGGAGATCATTTTTGATTATATTAGTGGTTTTCACAAAAATTGAGAAAAAGTGGGAAAAACGGATATATATTTACGGCGTAAAAATTTCATGATTTTATAATTTTATAATTTACGATTTCTATTAGAAATCTTGCTTTATTAAAAAAAAAAATGACAAAAAACCATTTTGTAGCATTTTGGATCTAGTTGCTTACGGAGGAAGTAGTTTTTTGATTTTATAACATACTATTATCCTTTATGTATTTAGTTACTAAATTATCAAAAAATTCGTTTATTTTATTATTTTCTGTTTTTTCTGTATAATAATTATTAGATCTGTTCGTGTATGAATAGATGTATAGGTTTATTTTTTTTTATGTTCGAACTTACATATGAATCCGATTACCTGCTACGGTTCGTTTGGGAATATACCGACCCCCCTAACATAGGCTGACGTGGAACCATTTATATCTTAAGCCGTAGTAAGAGTACATAGGTAGTGCGTATTAGAGACTAGTCTAGTGCAGTGGTCAGTCAGTCCAATTTTCTTACCATTAAATTTTTGTTACTCGTGTCAGCTTTGTTAGCCAAAAATAAGTTCAAATTGCTTAATGTCATTATAAAAGTGCTTTTGTAACTGAATAAATAAAAATTTAATTTTTCTCGGTAATATTTAATTTTCTACTATATGTAATGGATACAAAAAAAAAATACATGCTATGGTATTGAATAAAAAAGTACACGTAATAATACAAACAAATATTAATGAGAAATATGAGCCTGACTATTATCACACATAATACTCCATCTCGGCTCAATTTTACAAAATGCAATCCGCAAATCGCGTTCTGTTTGAAGACATCTGCCTTTTGACAACTAGTGTTCTTCAGTGTGTGATAACAGGGATGGATGAAATGACCCCATTTCTGAACAAAGTATTTTAAATAAACATGAATTTAAAGCATTAGCTTTTATATAGTTTATAATTTTAACAGTTTGTGATAAGACTTCAGTAAATATTTTCAGCATTTTCTTTGAAGCAAGGGCTTCACTATGTAAAACACAGTGTATCTATTTCAAACTTGGAACAATGTCTTTGATTAATTTTACCAGATCTATGTGTTTTCCAGTCATAGCAGCTGCACTATTAATTGTTATAGAAGTACACTTTTCAAAATCTAAATTATTTTTAGTGAATAAGTTTACTACCATGTCAAAAATGTTTCTCCCAGTAGTTGTACTTTTGAGTTTTGAGGAGAACAGTATATCCTGATAAATTTTGTAATTATAAAAATATACAAAATTAATATAAAAATTTATTAGATGTAACACAATCGTTGGATGAAATAAATAATTTAATAGATGTAGAAATTAGTTATAAGGAAGGAGAAATTGTAAAAGCATTATATTATTATTCATATTATATAATTTTGGTTGTGGCAATAATTTGTTTATTTTTATTGTATAAATATTGTAAAAATAGTAATTATACACGTTCAATCGAAAGACTAGAAATAATACCATTAAGTACTAGAATTTAAGTAAATGATAAATATTGTATAATAAAATTGTAAGGGCGAAAGATCATTCTTATTGAAAGTATGATTCTTTGTCTGGTAGGAGAGGTGTTAGTACCACCCGGTCTGATATAATAGATGTCATAAAACGTAGTCATTAGTATTCAATTGATATTGTATCCGGAAGATCTCGATTGTATTTTGTTAAATTATCATTTTATGTTGTAAGTAATAAATTAATATTATATAGCGTAATAAGGAAAATTAGCACAGATATGTACTTAGAGTAGTAATTGCCAAAATCAAAGGTTCTTAAGGTATATAAAGAGAACGCGAGGGACACTAGTCAACCAGTCATAACCGAGTGTGAGACAAGTATTTATGTATGTGTCATATCTNTTTAGAACAATTGTTGTTTATTTTCTTAAGTTTAAAATCCAAATCCTTATAAACTCGTTCTGAGTCTACTTGGCTCATAACACTCTCATCTAGGTATAAAGAAAAAACATTTCCTATTGACACCGAGAAGAAATTTGCACATATTTAAATCATTACTGATAAGTGATATACGTCTTGCAACTATAGTATCAGAGAGAGGAATATTTTTTAATTGGTTTGCAACTTTTTCGTTTATTATTTCCGTACACATAATAATAGCAGCAGGTAAAATTAGTTCTTCTTCGACGGTATATGGTTCAAACATTTTGAAATTTTATAGGTGACTAAATATGATGCTTTTAAAGCAGACAGCGAAACTGATAAAAAAATTTTTAGGCCTTGGTTTTTATGCAAGTGTTTAATGATTCAAAATAATTTATCGGTTTTTCTTTTATATTTGGATATTTTGTTTCTAAATATCTTATTAATTTTGAATGTTTTAAACTTTCATTTGCAAGCAATTCGCCACAAACCACACACTGTGATTAAACCAACTTATTATCTCCCAAATAATAAGCGCAAAATCCAAATTTTAAATAATTGTCATCATACATTCGACCAATAAATTGATTTTTCTTTTTTTTATAATTGTTTTTCTCTAAGTTTGATGTTGAAGGTACCATTGGTAACGTTGTTATGTTTTCGACTGTGTTTATACTTTTTACCGATTTTCCGAATAACATATTTAACTAAAAAATATACTTTACGAAAAAAACTTAGATGACACTACGTTAATACTGCTAGACCGCTAGATTAAACGCAACTAACATCCATATTTTATAATATAACGATGTCAACTCTGAACACGACAACATCAGTAATTTATAAAAATAATCTTTTTTTTTTTTAATTTTATTTTGAAATATTCTTATCTATACAGAGGTGCACAATAAGTAATAATTATGGTGAAAAGAAAGAAAAACTATGAACTAATGGAAGGAAATCTCTCATTAGGGACACCTAGTGGCTTTACAATAACATTTACAATTTATTACAAAAGCATTTAATTTAAAAATTTATACAATTTTTAAGTCACAGCATCAGTTCCGCTTGAGTCGTCTAGTTGGATTTCCGGGTAGTGCTAGTGTAGCAAGGTCCCTGATGAGCTGGTTGGCGTTGGAATGTAATTTTGCGTGGAAGCGTTTATAATATATAGTGGCAGTTTCGTTGACAGAGCAGATTCTTAGGTCAGAGTTTATTGCATTGTTGGAGATATACCAGGGTGCTCCAGTTATTATACGAAAACAGATATTCTGGAAGGCTTGGATAGTTCTCTTATTTGATTTTTTTAGCAGAACCCCAGATTACTACCCCGTACATCCAGAGTGGTTGTAGAAGAGTTTTATATAATATGAGTTTAAGGGGTAATGCTAGATTTGAGCGTAAGAGTGGCCTTAGCAGGTGAAGTCTTGAGTTTAGCTTTTTGCGTTTGTTTTTAGATGAGATGACCATGTTCGGCGTCTGTCGAATATTAAGCCGAGGTATTTCACTTCATTTGAGTGAGGAATAATGATGTTATTTATTGATATAGGAGGGCAGTTATGGGGCCTGAGTGCAAATATGATAAAGGAAGATTTCGATTCGTTGATTTTAATTTTCCATTTAGTGAACCATTGAGAAAGAGTATCAATGTGTAATTGTAGTTGAAGGCTTGCAGTGATATGATCAGCAGCTGTAGATAAAAGCGCAGTATCATCTGCGTGAGCACCAATGATTGTTTTTTCTGAGGTGGGTAGATCAGATGTGAAAATTATGTATAGAAAAGGTGCTATGTCACTGCCTTGCGGGACCCCAGCAGCAATGGGGAATTGTTTTGAATGTTGAAGGTTGTGGCGAACCTTGAATGTGCGGTTGTCCAAGTACGATTTTAATAAGAGATAGTAAGGGGCAGGAAATAATGGTTTTAATTTGAAGAGTAATCCTTCGTGCCAGACGGTGTCAAAAGTTTTGGAAACATCCAAGAATACTTCAGCGCAGTATTTTTTTGTTTCCAAAGCAGTTGAGATTGTGTCGGCGACTAGGTGTAGCTGGTGGGTTTTAGAATGGTTTGCACGAAAACCAAATTGGAAGTTAGACAAGTTTTTGTTTTCATTGGTTATGACAGAGAGACGCTTTAGTAAAATTTTTTCCAGAACTTTTCCAAAAACTTATTAAAAGACTTATGGGTCTGTATGAGGATGGGTTTTCTGGTGGTTTGCCAGGTTTAAGTATTATTACGATTACTGAGGATTTCCAAGTTGTTGGAAAATAGGAAAGTCGGAGGGTAGCGTTGTATATATGAGTTAGATGAATTATTGTTTTAGCCGGTAGGTTTTTGATTACTTTGTTGGTTATAAGATCGTGGCCAGGAGATTTCCTGTTGGCCAATTTTTTTATAATCCCCCTTATTTCAGCTGGTGAGGTAGGTTAGCAGGTAGGGCCATAGGTAGTGGAGAGAGGAGTGACTCTGTGACCATTTCAAGTTGTAGAGGTGGTGGTGAGATTGAATGTGGTATGAAAAATATTGATAGTTCATTCGCTAGTGTATCTGCTTTTTCACTGTCGGTAACTGCTAAGGTGTTATTTGGTCGTTGAAGAGGTGGTGTAATTTCCTTTAATCGATTTTGCTTTGCGCCAAAGTAAGCCATTTTTAAGTGATAGATTTTGTAGATAAGTTATGTAGGTGTCATTTTTGCGTATTTTTAGAAGAGATTTAAGTTTATTTGAAAGCATGTTATACCTTGATTTGTCGTCTGGGTAGCGAGTTCGTTGCCAAATCGATATTGCTCTGCGTTTGTCAGCTAGGAGTTTTCTAAGCTCTGGGGTTAGATTGGATGATGGATTGTTGCTTGGTATCATGGTTGATGAATCTTTGGCTGCAACTTGTATATCGGTGGTAAGCTTATTTATTGAACTATCAATGTTAGAAGGGGATTTAAACTTAATATTAAGTATTGTTTTTTTTGAAAGTATGTCTCTGAATTTATTCCAGTTTATAAATCCAAGAGTGATGGTTGGTCGATTTGGTTTCATTAGAGGTTGTGCTCCTATATGTAGTAGAACTGGAGTATGGTCTGATGCTGGGTCATTAAGATTTGTGACGTTTGCGGTGAAACAATTGGGTAAGTTGGTAATGAAGTAGTATCTGGATGATGGTTGTCATGGGATGGCCAATAAGTCGGAGAAGGGCTTGATAAGACTTTGAGGTGTTTTTGAGTTATGAGGTTGTGTAACGCTCGGCCCCTAGTGTTAGTGGAACGGCTCCAAGTTTGGTGTTTGGCATTGAAGTCCGCATCCAAAATATAGCTATGGCTTAGAGATTGGAGAAAAATTATAAGTTCAGGTGTAGGAAATGAATTTCCAGGAGGGAAATAACAAGATGCTATGGAGATAGGAACCGAGTTTATCTTTAACGTTGTGCTAGCTGATAGAATATTGGAGCTCCTTAGAGGTGGCAGAGGGGAGTGTTCAATTTGATTGGAGATAATTAGAGCAGCTCCGCCATGTGCTGTTCCATCAGGGCGATCTGCTCTTCTAATTTCATATCCATGAATTTTGAGTGTAGAAGATTTCACGNCTCATTGAGCACGATTTAGAGTTCATTTAGGTGTTGAAGAATACCGTTAGCGTTCCATAAAAATATGGTAAGTGGATTTGTAGAATTAGTTGCCATTTTTAATGAGTTTATCAATGACTGTAGTGACCAATGAGTGGGTTTATTAAAGTTTTTAGATCATTTATGAATGAAGACAGTTAGATTGTGTGGTCTAGATTCTGATTTTGGTTATTGGTTTGAAAGTGTGGATTTGATTCACTATTGAGAGGAGGGAAATTCTGTGAGTCCGTTGGAGGGGGGAGATTATGGTTAATGACATTTGAGGTATGATGGTGTTGGTTTTTATTATTCCACGTATTGTTTTTAGATTGAGTTAATTTTTTTTTTAGGTCAGTATGTGTTTTACACCCTTTATAGTTGGTCGGGTGGCTGCCATTACATAAAGCACATTTAGCAGGGGAACTGCGATCCTTAGTACAATGCAATGATTCATAGTCTAAACCACATCTAACGCAACGAGGAGTCTGATTGCAGTAGCTGCGAATGTGGCCATACGCCTGACAGCGGTGGCATTTAGGGATATCTCTTTTAGGGTGGGCAGGTTCGATTTTTACTATAATGTAGCACAGCGATGTGATTTTGAAGACATCGGCATGGATTGGACCAGGTTCCAGGTATTCGTTAATTTATGAAAAACAGGCATTATGTTTCTGGTGGTAAATCCACTGTTTAAGAGTTCCTTTTTGATAAGGGACAAAGCAGTAATGGGATGTAGATTCCAGATTACTGCACGAAATGCTTTTAGTTCTTTTGACTGATATGAATGAAATGAAACGTTATTTTCATTGAGATAATTGATCACTGATCTATACGAATCAGCGCTGTATGTCTGAAGTTTAAGTTATTAGTAGAACTTTTAAAATCAAATTCCGAGGAATCAGTTAGTTCTTTAATTTTAATACAGAAATTGTTAAAATTTAACTGTGCTTGTATAAGGATTGGGGGTAATTTAGGTGTTTGATTTTTATTCGGAATGTTTTCGTTTGTATCGTCCATCCTCTCCTCTTCGTCATTTGGTGCGATCAGAGTAAAACGGTTCGTAGAAATAAAGATATTTTTGTCGACTTTCTTAGCGGGAGATGAAGTTGCATTAGGAAATCTTGAATGTTTATTGTTTGATACAACTGTTTCCCAGATATCAGTATTAGAATTGGTTGGCGAAGTATTGTTTGAAGTATCATTTTTTTTTTTGATAATTTTAAAGGTAGAATGTTTTGTTAGATAATTGATTTGGGCTCGAAGCCATATCGAATGCGAGTATTTCTGCAGTATGTAGCGACTGCTATAGTGGATGGCCTTGACGCCTTTGCCGGCGAGGCAGCGGTGTTGGTGGACTTTATACGATAAGATTATTATATTATTATACATTACCGGTTTGCGGCAGTGCTGCATAATTTGACGTTAGTGCTATCGAGAGCTATACAAAACGGTGCGCGTAAATGACGTAGTCTCAACGACGTCCTAACACGAATTGAAAAAAAAAAAAAAAAAAAATAATCTATACAATTTATAGATAAATAACAGGATCTTTTATTGATTAAGGTCCGGTGCACACTTGCGTTATTTTAACGCGTGACAACACTGCGGCATCCTTGTGAACTTGGCAGCGCAAAATTAGCTAACGTCCATCTAATTAATCCAACAAATTTGTTATAATAAAATGTAATGTTAACACAAAATTACTATGTTTGAACACCACCATTCTATACAGTTTTAATAAAATACAAATTACAAAACATTATATTAACCCTACATTGCATGATTTTTTTTTATTATTAAAAAATGGTTTTTGGATAGTTCTAAAGCTGTAAAATACATGAAAAATAATTTAAAAATCAATTATAATTTCAAGTTTTGAAAAAGTTGATAAAGTCAGTTGTTGTTTTAGAGCAACATTATATATTTGATAGAACAAATTAATATTTTTTAATTTTTCTAAAATGTTGTCATATTATAATAGATATACCTAAAATTTATCAAATTTATACACATTTTAATTTTACATAAATAAATCGTACGATATTTAACAACTTCAACACATAATCCAACTTGACATTTTTTTAAAAAGTTATCATATTATAATTTATAGATATCTAAAATTAGTCAAATTATACACATTTGAATTATTACTTAGTTAAATTACGAAATATTAATAGGTAGTATGATATTTTTTAAAGCAAGTTTTTCCCTTTCCAACACATAATCCAACTTGACATTTTTCACACACTTGCCATGTATATCCGTTGCAACCTGGCATTTTACAATGACTCCTCGTTGGTGCATCGTTCGACCAGTGATTAATTCGATCCATGCGAAAATCTTGATTTGGTGGCATTCGGTTTCTTGGATATTTGTATTAGTGCGTTCTCTATGATATTTGACGGCCTTCCTCTAGTGAAAGTTGAATGACCAACTTTGCACAAAGATATGGCTAAATCTTTTTTAAACGCAGCTAATACCATAGGTTTTTCAACATGGCCCCTAGTTTAATTTTTTTGAGCAAATATTCGGTTATGAATTTACAACAGTCACGCCAAGTAAATGATAGAAAATCCTTAAATACCATTTACGACTTCTTATTTTAATTTTCTGTCGTCCTAACAAGTTATCAAATAGGTCTACTCCTTCCATTTGTTAATTATATACACTTACAATATGTGGACAGTCTATTTCTAAATATTATTCACGTCATTTGAAATTATTTTAATATTTATATGCTATGTATCAATATTTCATACACAATATGTTCAATTAAATCGTCTTGGAAAAAGTAGCCAAATATTTGATAGGGAGTACTTAAATTTAAAATTTCATCTGAAAGTTCAAAGTCATCAGTAAATTCTACATTTTGGGTAGACAATTTTTCATGTTTACAAGAAATATCCAAGTTTTGTTTTATTTTTGTTTCTTATTTTAGGCTGAGGCTTAGCAACAAAAGGAGGTGTGGTTATATCAAATTTGTATATTTTTATTAAATTTTCAATTTTGAGGTCCGGAATTTTATATATTTCAGTTTTTGAATTCAGCTTTACAGAAATAAAGTTTGGAAGAGATATCAATGGGCCGTCAGGTTCACATTCAACATCTCCCATGCCAACATTAATATCCAAATTACTATCTAATAAATTTATAGAATTAAGAAACGGATCTAATTCATCGTCATCAATATTTTCTAAAAGTTTATCGAGTTCCTTCTAAACCAACTATATTACTATCTATATAAATGCCTTGTTCGTCGCCAGATTCCAAGTCGTCTTCAGAATCAGATGGAGGTTCATTTTCCAGCAATTGCATAATTTCTCTATCAAACAAATGTCTTCTACACATAATGAAAAAATGTACGAATTTGTAATGTAAAGAGTAAAATAATAAAACATGCAAAAATACGGCATTGAAAAACGTCGAAAAAAATATGTGTCCCGTATGGTGCTAAATGCATACTGTTGCGTATGAACAATAACCGTGCATTATTGATTTACAAATAAAATATTTGAATTATCTGTATAACCTTAGAAATTATCTAAAGTTTAGATACATATGAACACGGGTATATTTTTAATGTAATCCATAGACATATTTTATGATTTAAAATTATTGAAAAAAAACCCAGAATATTGTCACATTCATATGTACTGGTCTATCGATAAATAGTTTAATTTTTCCAACCACATACTGCTTTCTATCGGTTTGAAAATAACTACGTTGTATATTATCATACTTGGTTATGATTAAAGCTAATATACGCTAACTAACATGGATAAACATCTGATTATAACTTTTTGTATAGGTTGTTGCGGAAAAGCAACACCATACATTGTAGAGTTAACCTTATTTTAAATCGATTCCTAATAAATTACATTATTTGTCTGGAATGATTCAGAGGTCTTGTCAGTACCTACATCTATCCCGTCCTGCAGCTTTAATTTCTGAAATCTTGAACAAACAAACTTTAGATTTTTGGCTTTATAATTTCATTCAATAGGTGATTTAAATTATACTTTTTCATATGATTAAACATTTTAATAGATGAAGAAAAGTTCATATCAGGTTTGAGAGGTGGTTCTTAAAAATAAATAATAATTACAATTTATTAAGATTTATATTACTGTTATTAGATACCGAGTTTATTTATGAATTATTATATCCTTTTAGATTTATTTTAGATTTAGTATTATTATTCTCAATTTTATAATCCACCTTAAACGTTATCTATTTATAATTGAGTGAACCCTAAATATTTTTTTTTAAACGAACATTTTTAGGAATAATTTTTCTATCTTTACTTATGATGTCTTCCTCTACTGTTTCATTTTAATATTTGAGCATAATCTATAAAACAAAATAAATATGTTACATTATAAGTATTAATATAATTATTATAAAGGTATACAATTATTTATGCAGTTATTTGAACTATATTATTATTCAAATATTGATGTAATATTTTAGTTACACCATAATGTTAATGTATATATTTTAATATCATGAATTGGTATGAAAAAAAATTGAAAGTTAGATATAATAAAAAAAACATATATTACAATATTATTATATTAACACCTCAATAAATAATAGTATATACATGTTGAGAAATTTTGTAAGGTTTTGAAATAAATGACAATTCTAGATATTCAACAGTCTTATAAAAAAGTGTGATTTGAAATAAATTAAAAGGGATGCTTTAAAAAATTCCACCAAGTTTCCAATAATGTTCAACAAGTATGTTCAAACATTGTTGGAAGGTTTTTGAACAGTTTTGGTATACTGTACATATAATGCTAATTGTGAAGTTAGCATTACAAAATAAAATATGGAATAATTTAAAAAGGGGGTTCCAACAAATTCCAACAAGTCTGCCTAAAAATTGTTTTGGAAAATTCTGCTAACATGCCTACAACACTATAACATATTATAGTAAACTCATTTAAAATTTGAAGCCAAATAATAAGGTGTTATTTTTTTTCATGTGGTAGTATGCAGTGGTATAAACAAATCTATAAAACTAATATTTCTCAGCTTCATACATTTGATATGAAAGTTATATTTAATATTATTATATTCAGCAAAAAGAAAAGTAGTTTCTAGAAGCTGAAGTGGGGTTAACCCTAAATAGCTAATTAGCTAATTAATTTAACTTACATAGCTAATTAGCTAATCAATTACAATTAACTAAATCTTTAATATGACCAGCAATACCCTTTTCATAATTTCGGTTAAATGTAGATTTTAACCTCAAAGCTGGTGATTTACTTTTGCTTAATTTTATTTTTTCTTGAAGAGTACTGAATGAAATTAAATCATGATATTTTTAAACTGGTCACCTATATAACACTGAAAGTGATCAGTATTACTCCATCAGTTTTGACCGGAATTGGCCGATTATAATTATTTAATTATTATAATAATTATTATTCTATTGTATCACAATAATTAAATTAACCGAGAGTTGAATAATTGCGAACATCTTAAACTACATAATATAGTAGAGACAAGTAACAACAATTTTAGGTTATCAAACAATAAAAAATCATATGCATGATTTATACCGATTTTTATCAAGCTTATTATATGAGATTACCGTGTAACCAGTCTTAATCACTAATCAGAATTCACCTTGTGTATTCCATATATTTAGTTCAGTGAATTTAAATCTTATTTTATAACCCATAATAAAATGAAACGTTTTCTTAATTCTTAGTAATATAAAATATTTTATAGGTCGTAATCGGTCTTTAACATTTTCGAATAAATGTTCCTTGCCGTAACTATCTAATTTATGAGTTAAGTAGTGTTATTGTACTCGAGTAACGTTCCTAACATCATGATGTTGTGATCGACATGATACCATAATATACGTGCTATATCATTATTTTATTCATTGATAATTCATTTTGACAGAACACAATTCAATAAACTAATATTGTATTCTGTTTTTTATATCTGTGGTTCATACTTTCGAAGTGTTCGTTTAATTAAATAACAAAATTTAGAAAAGTGTCAATTGCCAAGTCATCATAGTTAACTCGTCCTCGGTTGACTTAAGTTTTTTTTTTGTTTCCAAATTTTCAAATCTGTACATTTTGTAACTGTGGTAAGTACCAAAATGCCTATTAATAATAATAACAATTTATAATATTATACCTATGATACTATAATAAATAAAATTAATGGCGTATAAGAAATTTAAGTTTATATAAAAACATTAATACCTATTATATAGGTATGTATATTAATACTGTTACCTCTACTGGGTGAAACTTTAGCAGTGATAATAGTGATCATAGAAAGTTAAACAAGAATAAATTGTTATTAACACACTTGAGCCAGTAGTTCAAGTAGATTAGTAGTTACTCTATTGCTTGTGATTCTGTAGCCTCTGTCCTTGCATAGAAAACTTAGTGTTAAAATAGCTATATGAAAGATACATGAGAGTGTGTCATCAGAAATTAATACTTTTAATTTTAAATTTTACTACCAAAACTCCCCCCCAAATTGTTTTAATTGTTTATACTCTGATAAAGTTGTATATTATAGATTTTTCTTTATTTTGTATATTTATTGGAAAAAATTACTGTACTATAAAATTTTGTTAATGTTAAATCTATAAAAATGAAATTATCCACAATTTAAAATTTGTATTATAAATAAAAGAATAACTTTTACAATATGTAGATATCATAATAACATAAACACTTATTATTTATTTATTTATTTATGTCTATAACTATATGTCAAATCCAAAATACAAGTAAGAAAAACTAATTGGAAGCTAAATAAAGGGTCCAAATTGAACAGAAGAACTGGTATATGGAGAGCAATTATAAAAGATATTTTATACTCTTCTATACTGTCTGGAGTGATATGTTCTAATGCCTTAAATTTGACTAAGTAATTTAACACTTAGTCCTTGGTGGGAAGGGGGACAAAAACCAACTATAAATAAATCTTGGAATCATAGATGATTACATAACTTTTACTTTTAAAGTAAAGTCATTGTAATGTTTAGTCATTTTTAATAGATATCAGTATTTCCATTATTTAATTCTAACATTATATTTAATATCTTTGCATCAACATTACATTATTGTGAGTGTGTACTAAACTAAAACAGTGTTTTTTCCATCTATAGTTCATCTAGGTTTTCTACATTTAGGTAGAATACCTAAAAATATCTACAAATACTGAAATAAAATTACAATATATGGTTTCATTTTAATTTTTTTCTTTTTTTAGGTCGTTCTTTGTTGGGTACCTTACTTTACAGCACAGTAAATTTTTAAGTGATTTTTGGAGATTATATGAGCATTTAAATCTGGGTCATTATATTATGAAACTATTTATTGTTTAAAATGTTTGTTTGGAACTCAAAATATTGTATTTAAAGAAATAATGATTGTTTTATTTCAGAACAATGAACTCTGAAACGAATACTAACCAAGTTGAAAATCTTAGTGCTACATCCAACCATACACAATCCACATCACATAATAGCCATCCTCGAGACAAAATTCGTCTTCGTATTAATAGTGATGATTCTGGAGAGATTCATATCAATTATAAGAAGACAACAAAATTAGGTAAAATGAAACGTTTATATTCTAATAATGTTGGGCTCAACGTCCTTAATCTGCGCTTTATGTTTGATGACTATCAAATTCACGATGATGACACTCCTGAAAGTATTGGTCTTCTAAATAATGCCATAATTGATGTTAGAAAAGTCATTTAATTTAATTATTGTTCAGAATTACTGACATTATATTATATTTTATTGTATGAATTAATTTAAAATAATTATGTAAAATAAAATTAATACTGTATTTTATTATTATAACATTTTATTTGACAATTGTTCAATCTAACAATTGATATACATTAGTCATATTATAATAAGTTGTATTTTATTATTAAATACATTTTTTTCTACTGATCATCAAATAATGATTATTGTTTATTAATTTAAAAACTTAAAAAAAATAGTTTTTAGTTAATCATATTGCCTACATATTTTACCATTACTTTTATATACTAATATCATAAGAATTGTTACTGTGAATTGGACATAGAAAATTATTAAATATAATAAAAATATTAACACCAGGTCTATGAAAATAATAATATTATTATGTAGTAATAATTTTAATGAGTATTAAGGAAAGTTTTAATATATAATGGATTTTAAATATATGCATTATCTACTTATCATAGATCACAAATTTAAAACCCAGGTATCTTTATCAATTCATTGCATACTTAAATAACAAAAAAATGTAGTATATTATTTTTTTTAAATTATTAATATACTACAGATAATGAAGTATTTATATTATGTCTAAAATAAAAATCTATATTACAATTGACATTGTTTAAATAATTAAACATTTCAAATTGACACAGGTTAAATAAATATTTTTTTTCTCTTTTTAACCAGGCATGTAGAGCTTACCACACTTGCTCTGACTACACGCCATAGATATATGGATGGATATATAAATAGATTAATTTCCAATTAACCTATTTGGTATAATAAAAATTAAACCATCAGTGCAATAGAATCATTTATGGAAAATTATCAAATTTAAGGTTTTGATGTTACTGAATTTGTATAATTTTTTTAATTTTCATAGTACTGATGAGGGGGGGGGGCGTCAAATTCTTGAACGGTAAAACCTTGAAAAAATAATCCTGACAACATCTTGAACACAATAAATGGTTTTCTATAGTCATACCTCTTTGGATTTTTGTCACCAATATATATTATTATCTTCAGATTAATACGTATATATTTACTTATATAGTTTATACAGCTATATAGCTAAGTAGAAGATATATTAAATCATATAATTTTAATAATCCTTTTTTATTGTCAGTCAGATAAAATAATAAGAAATCCTGGCAGTATTTTCTAATCACTTAAATCGCCTATTATCCATGATAGAAATAAACAATCATTGAACTATTGATATAACGACAGACTGTGTCTATTGCTATATGTTGCTTAACCTAACCTAATCTAACCTCCTGAAAAATGACCTTAAGTACCTTTTCAGTCAAATTTGCTTTTAGAAACATTACTATAATTATAAATTGGAGCAAAATTGCTGGTAGAAAAGTTGTGCACAGAAAAAGAAATTCGTAATTTATTTTAACTGATACCTTAATTTTATATAATATAACGTTTATTTTTCGTTTTTTCAAATTTGATGAGAATTTTGACGAAAAATGACCTCTTTAAAGTACTTACCCAGTCGGATTTTCTTTTAAAAATATTGCTATCGTTAAATATGCAGCCGCGTTTTGGTTATCGAATGAGCAACACGTGTGTTCCGCTCGCAAGTGCTGAAACTACACGTTCGTTTAGAATATACTAATTATACACATGTCCTCCCCTTTGACGGAAGTGTCAAGTGACGTGTAGTATAAATTATCTAGGTTACACGCGTGCGGCGGCTTTGACCGTCTCTCGGAATGTCTGTGACGGGTCAGGATATAGTTGACTATGCAGTTATACTTCAAATACAACAAGAAAACGAAAATTTAACAAAGCTTGTTACCCAATTACAGCACTAATACGAGCAATGCACAATTACAGAGTGAATTACAAAATTTCCAAGTGAGTAATATTAATGATCCTAATAAAAATAAAAATCCAAAGAGTACGAAGAAAAATGAAAATTTGGATACTAATTTAGGTGTTAGTAAAATTCCAATTAAAAAAAAAAGGCTAGAATTGATAAAAAATATTTATGACAAAAAAACTGAAGTATAAAAACTACCACCAATCACAGCTGATGGTGTCAAAAATATACAAAACTTGATTAGTAAACTAACTCGTGAAGAAGTTTCTGATCACGAACAGCAGCTCAAAACTATTGCTAATGGTTATCACAGATTTCAATTGAAAGGAGATAAAAAAAATTCGGGTCGTAATTCGTGGATTACATCCAGAAACAGAATTATGTGAAATCAAAAAAGACTTATCGGAAAAAAGTAATAACTGTAAGCGATGTATCGAATATGCAGATAAAAAAGGAAACCAAACGTAAAAAACAAAAATAGTGAATGGACGAGGATAAATAAAGCATTGTTTTTCGTAGATTTAGTTCCACAAGATAATAATAAAGATACATACAATCTATATAGTCTGTGTTATCATAAAATTAAGTACCTAGAAAAAGAAAAGAGGTGCCGCAGTGCGAAAACTGTCGGGCGTTTGGGTATACCAGAATTATTGTTATAAAATATCTGTATGTGGGAAATGCGGTGAAAAATACAGAACAGTATTGTCAAAAACCTAAAAAATCAAAGGCCAAATGTGCGAGTTGTGGTGAAGCACACACTGCAAACTGGAAGAATTTTTCTGCCTATTAAAAGGCAAAAGAAAGATCACATCCTAAAAAAGTATCCGCAGTACAGCGTATTCAACAGAAAACAGCAAAAATTGTTACTGCATCCACCTAATATGCACAGATGACTGGATCTGCCGCAAATAACGCAACACCCAAAACGTCTAAGTAGCAGCAACAACAAACTAGTGAAATTGACTCTACGTTAGCGAAAATCTTGTCTGTCTTAACTAATACTACTAAATTGTTAGTTAATGTCACATCTAGAATAGATAGATTAAAATGTAATAAATCTAAGCATAATAACAAAAGCCAGGAAAAAAAGGAATGAACCGCACATTGCGAATTATAGCATGAAACGCTAACGGGCTAGTACAGAGTAAACAAGAACTAGATAAATTCTTAAATACCGAAAACATCGACATTACTAAAAATAAAAAACTACAAGATTTTAACAACTTTAAATCGGGTGTAAAGTTGTAGAGCACGCGGAGTTACAGCTGTAGACATACGAGATATTATAAAACACTTCGAGCTTGAAGAATACTCAGAACTGCACATACAAGTCACAAGTGTTTGTTTTGAAGATGAAAATAATGACCTCACGGTCACAGCTATTTATTGTTCACTCCAAGGAGGTGCAGATGAAACTAGATTCACTTCATTTTTCCAAACACTAGAAGACAGGTTTATTACTGGTAGTGACTATAATGCCAAGCACTCTCACTGGGAATCAAGAATGATCATTCCAAAAGGACGTGCTCTGCTAAAATAGCTAATAGTATAAACGCTGATATAATTTCTACTAGAGAGTAAACCTATTGGCCAACCCATTTGAAGAAAATTCCCGATCTGCTCGACTTCTTCGTAATTAAAAGTATTTCATCTAATTTTGTTGAAGCTGAATGATTTGTAAAACTAACGTCCGATCACATTTCTGTGTTATTATTGATGAGTTCAAATGTTGTTATGAAAAAACGAAAACAGTTTCTAACAAACAAACATACAGACTGGGCCCTTGAAAACCAGAACTTCTTCTGCCATTTTCTTGACTGACTTCTCTGTTCTTTCCCATATCTCATCTATACTGCTTTCTTCTTCCACTGATCGCAATATATCATTTAACTTATTTTTGTATTGTTCTGCTGTCTGAGAATTCTTTAGTGGTTCGATGTTTACCTTTTTGGCTGGTGATTTTCGCTCTTTCCATTTTATCAATAGTCTGAATGTGACTTTAGTTTTCACAATGAAATGATCTGATATTCCGCTACTACCTCTCATGATACGTACATCCATTATACATCTTTTAATTCTACCATCTACTACTACATGATCTATCTGATTTCTCGTTCGCCCATCTGGCGATATCCACGTTTGTTAGTGTATGTTTTTATGAGGGAAGATAGTGCTACTTATTACCATAATTCATGCCATAGCAAAATTTACCAGTCTTGCACCATTGTCATTTGAGTTTGTATGTAAGTTATTTTCCCCAATTGTCGGACTGAATAAAGGTTCTTGGACTATCTAAGCGTTAAAATCACGGAGTAATATTTTTACCTTTTTATTTTGTAATAGGTATCCAGTCTTTCATAGAATTCAGTCTTAGTGGTTTCGTTCATATCCTCAGTAGGTGCACGGTATGTTACTAGTTACTACTAGTAACACTCTCCGTGTTACTACAGTGTGCGGTAAATCGGTCACGTGTGGGCGTTATACTCGACTTGGTTCGTTTTTTTTTTTTTTTTATACTCAAAGCGTTATAGTATTACGGACATAATGGACGTAATATTTTCGCCAGTCGCGATATTTCGTACTGTGTGTGTGTGAAAGCCAGGCTAAAATTAGCTGGGGCTGTTCAACAACGTGTTCGATATATCCGTTATCAGCGAGTGGTTCGGCGGAGCGAGTTGTTGTTCGTGCTACATATATACTTAATTACTCGTAGAGCTAGACTTATCGCATGAACGTGATGGCTGTGAGTAATAAGTGTGGTGATAGCGACACGACAACACAACACCGACGATATTTGGCAGATATAGCGATGGTGATGCTGGAATTTGACCCCGTAAACGGCGCACTGACAATCGAGAAATGGATTGATAAGGTGGAAGAGTACGCTTTTCTATATGAGTGGGACGACGTTGCGATTCAACATTTCGCATTAACAAAACTTGCGGGAGTAGCTCGATTGTGCAGTATTGCACCGACAGTCTTTGCGAGCACACGTACTTCGTGCTATCGTATTTACGTTATCGTATTTCCGTCCTAGTAATTGCTTCCTTTATATTAAAACTAATTTTAAATATTATAATAACACAAACTATATAAAACTGCAACGTCCAACATTTGACCTTCGGGTCAACTATAGTTAAGACGAGCATATTTTACGCGTTCAATATGAACGATAAAAACGACAAAAATAAAAACCGCGTACCGCCAATTAAAATTATCAACAAAAACACAGTAATTGAACCAAATTCAATTTCTATCGAACTTTATCATGGCGATAACGACTCGATATTTGAAAATGAATGGACTGAAATAAAATCTCCTAAACGAACGAAGCGCGCAAACTCTGCCAGCCAAAACATTTCACCAAAAACTAAGTCAACAAAAAATAACAGTTCACAGTTCGTAACTGAAAATCGTTTCACTCATTTAATAACAAATGACAATGATAACGAAATGCTACCAACGCTACCGATGAAGCAAATGAAAAGCTGAAAACACCGCCTCCAATTTTTATCAAGACCATAATTAAGGATTTCAAACTACTTACGGAAGAAATAAAATTAATCATTAACCCTGATTCTGAATTCTCGTGCAAAAGTACAGCAAAAAACATCAAAATAAATGAATCGCTAAATGCAGAAAGGACACATGTCCAATATTTTACAAAAATCACTTTATTGCATAATAGAATTTAATATTGATAAATACATGGTTTTGTGCAGACAAGGTATATGTCCTATTAAATAGATCCCCGTTAAAAATAATTTAAAATTTCGTTAATTGCAGAAAAGGCACATGTCCTGGACATGTAACCTTTTTGCATCAAAATTATACTTTAGTAATATTATCAGACCTAAACTTAAGTTTAAAGTGAAATAAAGTGAAATCACTTTATTGTATGATATGCAATATTGTTCTATTTTTAAATTTAATTTTGTACAATTGTTTATCAGTAAATAAAGATTATAATGGTGAAAACGTTGCTATCCCTACTTATAAAATATAATGATTATCAGTGAATAAAATATATTGTACTGGTTGAAACGTCGTAGTCGTGTACAAACGATAATTACGTGTATAACTTTAAAATATGAGTTATAAAATATTATTGGAAGTATTTTAAGAATAATTTTTCATTAAACTTTGGTGCTCCAGTCAAAGATGCTTGTTCAAAATGCGAAGAATTAAATACAAAAATAATGAGTAAAGATTTAAATGATGTTGCAAAAGGAGTTGCTTCTGCGGAATTACTAGTTCATAAATATAGAAGCAAAAAATTGTATAATAATATTAAAAAAACAATAGAGATTTCTCAACAGAATAAAAAAGTGTTAGGTCTTTACTTTGATTTTATGGCTGTAGTTGACTTACCTAAAATACCGGTGCAGAAAGCATATTATTATCGTCAATTATCTGTCAATACTTTTGGTATTCATAATTTAAACACGAATAATTTATTTTGTTATGTTTATCATGAGGCAACAGCAAGAAAAACGCCAAATGATGTATGCTCTTTTTTGGTTCATTATATCAATAATTTTGTTGATGATGATGTTGAGGAATTGCATTTGTTTTGTGACAATTGTGCTGGGCAAAACAAAAACCACGCATTACTCAGAATGATTATGGCTCTAGTTGAAATTAAAAAATTCAAAAAAGTTCAGGTGTTTTTTCCACAAAGAGGACACTCGTTTTTGCCGTGTGATCGTGACTTTGCATTGATAAAAAAACAACTGAACAGAGTGGATCGTCTATACACTTTAGAAGACTATATAGAACTTATTTTAAAATAATCAAGAAACCCAGACAAATTTTCAGTGTTTCTAGTTGATAAAAGTATAATTTATGACTATCAAATGTGGTTTCCACANCTAAGTACCATTATTTTGAATGTGTATCGGAATAATGTGGAATAATTAAGGCAAGTGAATTTATTGACGGAATAATATCAAACCATTTCAAATTGAGAAAAAACAATGCAATGCCTATACAACTCCCAAAAACACTAGTTTATACTTCAAGCTTACCAATTCTTGAAAGCAAAATGAAAGATTTGAAGCAACTAGCGAAATATATTCCAGAGCCAGCATTGCAATCATTTTGGAATTATATTATATTTTTGTTACAAACTGAGACACCTCAAGCAAGGCAAAATAGAATATAAATAAATATCTTTAATTGTATAAATTTTATATAATTCAATTTCTAATTATTAAAAAGATATCAAATATTTGTGACTCAATATTAGTATATAATCTACTGTATATTATTTAATCATGTCGTTTTAATTTGTATGCATATTAAAGCTACTTATTTATAAGAAAACGGTTATTTTCGAAATATAAATGGTAATTTGAAGTATAAACGGCACATGTCCATGACCTTAAAGCTCATCAGATACCTACAGTTTAATTATATTTCTTTAAGTGATTGTAGAAACATGTATACCATGTCTTAAACTATATTATTCTATAACATACAATTTGTAATTCAATTTTTTTCAAATATATTAAGTTTTTTGTGTTTCCTGAAAAATTTTAAAACTTGGACATGTGTTTTTTCTGCATTTAGGGATTCAAATACTTTCTCCTCAAATGCCTACAGAGCTGTAATAAATTAATTAAAGGGAAAAAAAGTTGAATTCTTCACCTACCAACTCAAAGAGGACAGACCATATCGAGTAGTAATTAGGAATCTACACCCAACTACATCAATTGAATTTATAAAAGATGAATTAGAACAAAAATGATTTTTAACTAGATCTATCACGAACGCACTACACAGACTAACTAAAACAAGGCTCCCGTTGTTTTTTGTGGACTTAGAACCTAATCAAAACAATAAAGAAATCTTCTCGCTAAAATCGTTGTGTTACACCAAGATTAGAGTTGAAGAACCGAAAATCAATAAATAAATTCCCCAATGTATAAACTGCCAGGATTATGGACACACACGGTCTTATTGTCATAGCAGACCTCGCTGCGTCAAATGTGGCGAAGATCACAGCTCCACCTTTTGTACGAAAAGTGCTGAACTTCCAGCTAAATGTGCTCACTGCGGAAATAACCACACAGCAAATTACCGTGGATGTACGGTATTCAAAAACCTTCAACAACTAAGAAAACAACAGCCTCATCAACAAAAATACACCTCAAACTCGGGAAAAAAATCAAACACTGTACCAGGTAACACTATTAATAGCACCTCTGAAATTGATCTTGAAAATACTAAACGCTCATATTCATCCGCTACTCAAAATCCCAAACCAAATTTCTCCGAAAATCCTCAACATTTCTCATACCCAAATGACCTACCGTCACAATTATCTGCATTCTTAACTGAATTTAAAAATGTAATAACTCCTCTTATATCACTACTGACTACAGTCATTAACAAAGTTTTATTGAAAAATGTCAACTAATATCAATCCAGAATCTCTCCTGTCATTACTCCTTTGGAATGCAAATGGTATAATCCAACACACTAAAGAACTCCAAATTATACTTCAATTAAGAAAAATTGACATAGCATTAATTACAGAAACCCATCTAACACCCACTAAAAGTATACGTATACCCGGATATATTTTAAATCGAACAGACCATCCCGATGGTTCTGCCCACGCAGGTACTGCAATTTTAGTTTCAACAGATATCNGCATACCTCTTAAAACTGCCAATGACCTCGAGCAAGCTTCTGTCACATTTTTAGAAATGATCCAATCCGCTGCTAAACCGTCCTCGACCCATGTAACAACTATTCCACCACCTCGAAAACAATTCTAGACAAATACCCACTCCCGGGCCACATCAATGTACTCATAAGACAAAAAAGAAAAGCTCGTGTCAAATGGCAAATCACAGGTTACCCTAACGATAAGCGGATCTTCAATAACCTAACCAACAAACTTAAAAGGCAACTCCAAAATCACAAAAATCAATCCTATGACAACTACATCTCAAACCTAAATCCAACTAACGGCTCGCTTTGGAAAGCAACCAAAAAATCCTTTGACACATCGAACCCACTCCTCCAATCCGTCGCCCCGATAACTCTAAAATCACTGACGACATTGAAAAGTCCAATGTTTTTGTCGAACACCTTGCTACAGTTTTTAAACCAAACACTATACAAACTAATCCCCAGCACTCTGCCAGAGTGTTTGAGTTCTTAAATAGTCCACTACCAGTTTCTATGCCTGCAAAACTCACTACACCAAATGAAGTTTTCTTCTTTATAAAACATTTAAAGTCTGGCAAAGCTCCCGGTCATGATTTGATAACTGCCCCACAACTACCTCCCAAAACAATAATATTTTTATCATATATATTCAATTCTATACTCCGTCTTTCTTACATGCCATCTATCTGGAAACATACTCAAGTAATACTTATCCACAAACCAGGCAAACTTCTCGAAAACCCATCCTCTTACCGCCCTATAAGCCTTCTGTCTGTCGTAGGAAAACTATTCGAAAAAATACTCCTAAAACGAATTTCAAAAATTGCCACAGATAACAAAATTATACCCTATTTCCAATTCAGCTTCAAATCTAAACACTCCACAATCCATCAACTGCATAGAGTCGTCAATCAAATGTCATTAGCATTCGAAAGCAAAAAAATCTGCATTGGTATTTTCCTAGACATCGCACAGGCTTTTGACCGAGTTTGGCACCCTGGCCTACTCTTTAAATTAAAATCCTTCTTGCCTGCTCTGTACTGCCTATTAATCAAATCTTATCTAAACCAACGAACATTTGTCATAAAAATTAACGGCGCCTTATCCAACTCTCAAATAGCAACGGCTGATGTTCCCCAAGGCAGTGAACTAGCTCCCTTCCTATTCAACGTCTTTACCAGTGACCTACCTCTAAACGAAAACACGCTACTCGGTACGTTCGCGGATGACACTGCTATTCTTGCTACTGACAAAGATCCCGCCCAAGCTGCCCAAAAAATCCAAAACCACCTAACTGTGCTAACCACCTGGTTTCATGACTGGAAAATCCAAGTCAATCCATCAAAATCCTCTCAAATTACATTCACACTTCGATCCTTAGAATATCCCGCAACCTATATCGGCAATGCTCAAATTCCATCTTCCACGCAAACTAATTATTTAGGTTTAATTCTTGACAAACGTCTTACATGGNACCACCTGTGCTAAACACCTGGTTTCATGACTGGAAAATCCAAGTAAATCTATCAAAATCCTCTCAAATTACATTCACACTTCGATCCTTAGAATGTCCCGCAACCTATATCGGCAATGCTCAAATTCCATCTTCCATGCAAACTAATTATTTAGGTTTAATTCTTGATAAACGTCTTACATGGGGCCCCCACTTAAAAATCAAGCGTAAAGCTCTCAATTCAAGACTCCACCTTCTTAGACCCTTACTCCGCTCAAAGCTCACATTAAAAACCAAAAGAACAATACATGGCATACATGGCTCTCCTAAGACCCATGTGGTACTATGGCATACAACTTTGGGGATCAGCCAAACCCTCTANTTTTTTAGGTTTAATTCTTGAATAACGTCTTACATGGAGCTCCCACTTAAAAAAATAAGCGTAAAGCTCTCAATTCAAGACTCCACCTTCTTAGACCCTTACTCCGCTCAAAGCTCTCATTAAAATCCAAAAGAACAATATACATGGCTCTCCTAAGACCCATGTGGTACTATGGCATACAACTTTGGGGGTCAGCCAAACCCTCTAATACTCGAACAATCCAGGCATTCCAGTCTATTTGTCTACGTCTAATATCAGGTACCCCTTGGTATATTACCAATGAATCACTTCATAAAGACATTTGCATCCCAACCTTAAACAGCCTGCCAAAATCACCTACAAAAAAACGCACAAAACATTCAGTACTCACTCTACTTCTATAATCACCCAACTTTCATCCAATCAAATTCCAGGTAACCCAACCAGGCACCTGAAAAGGAACTGGTGTAGGGACCTACTCTCTCCTTAAATCGCTTTCCACAGGGTGCCGCCACTGGGCGACTTCGCCCTCATGCCAATCATTTCCACATCACATTTACTTATTGTATTACGTGTAAATATAGATTGTAAATATATATTGTTAGTTAAATAAAAAATAAGGTGTTAAAAAAAAATAAATAAATAAATATACCAGGAACCGGATACACTCACAATAAAAATATGAATAAACAATAATTAATAATTAATAATAATATTTATTTTAAAATTAAAATTTTTTGCTCATCTAAGTACATTTTTTAGAGTTTTGAGGTCATTTTTACAAATTTTTTTTAGTGCACTTTTGTGTATTTTTTAGGTCATTAAAATCCTATCATTATTTATAACTTAAGTTAGTTACTTACTTAACAATTAATTTAGATAATACTTTACATTTAAACTGGTTTTTCAATTTATATTTTAAACTAAAAAAAATAAACTAACTTCTAACTTCTACTCTAACTTAAGTTATGCTATGTTTAGTTAACTTATATTCATTTAAGTAACTTCTAATTAAGTTAGAAATCAGAAAATTTTTAAATGGTGTTTAAAACACCACTCCGGTTAAAAATATCATGTATCTTAATGAACAGAATTCTCGAAAAACAGATAGCGCCCACTCCAACACAGATATATCTATCGAAAAAAAATCTAAGGTAACAATTACCAACACACCCACCACACAGGAACCAGTCGACCGAAAAAAAAGACCCGCTTCATCTACCTCCAGCATTAGCCACCATGATAACACCTCTACCATAAAAATCCTAACGGTCCAACACAATCATCAACATTATCGCAAAAGATACAAACAAATACTGGTACACTCGCAACTAAATTAAAAGATTCCTCAAAAACTCTACAACTTCTACACAAAAACAGAAACGTTCAAACTCGATTGAACAAATAATAATTAAGCTTGATGAAGATCTGGAACCAGCTAAATCCGCCTTCGAAAAGTTACCGGACTTAAAAATTGATTTCAAACAAATAAAATATATTATTGAAAACACGCTTAATATGCAAAACTTCTCCAGTGTTTTAAAGCAATTCAACCTATCACCTATGAAAATAATCTGAATCTCCATGCAAGTATGCCAAAAGCATTCTCAACAACTCTTCTGGCACGTGAAAGACGATAATTAAATATCTTTTCCATATCACTTAGCCCAGTTTTACTATAAGGTTTCAAAAGATTTGTTCTTAAAGGGAATGAATCATCTCCAATAATAACAGCATGGTCAGGTATTCCAAGAGTATTACTTTCCATTGCAATATTTAAAGTACTATCTCTAAATATTACGCTGTCACTTGCGCGTCCATTACCACCTACGTCAATAAAAGTAAAGCAATAATCGGCATCAATCATGGCAAATAATATGATGCTATAGGTTTTTTTGTAATTAAAGTAGGTTGAACCGGAACAAGGAGGTCTTTTGATAATTACGTGTTTTCCATCAATGGCCCCGACACATCTAGGGAAATTCCAACGTTGGGAAAATTTATTTTCGATTTCTTTCCATTCATCAACTATTTTAGGTACCTGCAAATAATAAGATTAATAAATTCAATCAGTTAACATAATTTTAATAAATAATAAATATTATAAAAATAAATATATATGTGTAATATTTTATGTTATTTATTAACTCATCGTTGCGAAATTTATTTAATAAATCTACATTATTTGTGCATTATCATTTTTGTACTATTTCTAGGATCTATCACAAAACAGTGAAGAAATAGAGCCAGATGAGGACGGTCAAAACCACTCGGAATATGTTGTGTCTAACAACGAAAGCAGCTGCCCAAAAGAACTCCACAAAGAGAAGCAATCAACAAAAATGAGACCACCAGCAGCATCAGTGAAAAGGGTCAAAAAATGAGTAGTATCCGACGAAAACTTAAATTCTGAAATATCAGTCGCGATTCAGCAATTGGACAAAATTGCACAGAATACAGCAGAGGAGAAGCCATATGACCAGTTTCGAAAGTTTGTTGCGGCCGAGCTTCGTCAGTTGCCGCAGCGACAAGCAATTTTACTACAACAGGAAATTCAGAATTCTATAATTCGTTCTAAGCTAACATCTTTGGAGCCTGCGGTTAATTTAAATTCCCGAGAAGCAAGTCATGTTCCATTTTCACCAGTCCCATTTTAACCATCTTCTGACTATTCATTGTCTACCTCCTCAAATGACGATGATGTTTTAAAACAGGTTATGTTTCAAACATTTGAACCAAGTTCGGTGTAATACTAAATATTTACATATAAATATTGTAACTATATTTTTATTAAATACATTTCTTTAAAAAAACGTACTGTTTTAGTTCGCAAATTAATTGAAAATCATGTTTTATATATTATTTTCAATGGTAAAGGGGGCTTAACCTATTTATAGTGGTTTATGTATTTTTTTTAAAATGTAATTTAATATATTTTGTATACCTATACCTATAACTTCCTACAACTGTTTAAAACAATTCTTAAAAAAAATATTTGAGTAGTATTTAAAATCAATTTGAAAAAAGTCAATTTATCTTATATTACAAGAAATATAGAAATGATTTTAAAATGGCATTTTTAAATTAATTTTTACATACCTCAATGAATGGTCGAAGGACGAAAGAAATCGCCGATAGCACTTCAGGCAAAAATATCGATATAGTCGATTCGGGAACTCGAAAAAGGTATTGCAGAGACTTAAAAGAATCGCCAGTTGCTAGATAACGTAGTGTTACTTCAAGTTTTGAGATTACTGGGATTGCCATTCTCGTAACTGTATCTTCTTTTTTTAAAATTCCATTTACCATCTTCAGTAAATCTTCAAAATGGGTACAGTCTAATCTCAAAATATTGCGATAAGCTAAAGCGTCTTCGTCCTTCAACTCTTTCAGTAAACTGCTGGATGCACCATACATCTCGCGTCTGCCCATCCATTGTTTTACCCATATATTTCTTTGCCTTTTCGGCTTTTCTTTTTTTTTTAACTCCTTTTTGATAGCATGAGCTACAATAATGACACCCGCACGTACAATTTCCGTCGACATTTTGTAAACAATGAAACCATAAACGCCAGCGAGTAGCCAATAAAGTAGACCAGCTTTCAACTTTACTCGCAGATAGTTAACAATCTGCTAGTTGGCTAGTGAACATGATTACACTAGGCGAGTTTACTAGCAGATAGTGAATTTGCCAACTAGCAGCTTGTAAACTCGCCAGTGTAATCGAGGCTTAAAGCGTACTACATGGCGTCTTCGTATTCTAAAAATATTGTCAAACATTATCTGTAACGGTAATTTAATTAACTTTATAAAGAATGTTTTTACCGAGAGAACTTTCCAAGTGAAGTGCAACGACAAACTGTCAAAAATATATGTTCAAAATAACGGTGTACCTCATGGATCTACACTATCAGTCTCGTTATTTCTTTTAGCTATTAATAATATACCACTATTTATACAACCCCTGGTTAAGTTCACACTTTTTGCTGACGACTTCAATATTTTATGTAGAGGCACCAATCCAAATAGAACCATAAAACACCTGCAGGATGCAATTTCAGCATTATAAGCTTGGACACATGTCTCAGGCTTCTCGTTCTCAGCTGAAAAATCCCAGTGCATTTTTTTCACTAACAAAAGAATTATCGGTTATACCAGCATAACAATGAACAACATCCCTATACCGATTAAGAAGTCCATAAAAATATTAGGCATACTGTTCGACTCAAAAAACACGTGGATACCTCATCTCAAGACTATCCAAAAGGACTCTCTTATAAGAATGAATACCCTAAAGTGTCTGGCTCTCAAATCATGAGGAAGTTACTCCTCGAATCTATTGCAAATATATAAAACACTCATCCTATCCAAGCTCGAGTATAATTCCTTCCTATTCATAAATGCTAAGGCTTCAGCACTCAAGATGATTGATACCGTACACAACACAGGACTAAGACTTGTCACCGGAGCCTATCGCTCCAGCCCGATTCCCAGTGTGCTTAACACAGCCGGAGAAGCCCCACTCGACATCAGGAGAGTTCATAGCTCCATGCTTCTCACAACGAGATGCACCCAAAAAAATCTCGAAGTATTGACACAAATCACACACATCCTAAAAGGCATTCCATTCTTACACGTGGACGTTATCAGAAATGAAGCCATACATGCGCCCCCTTGGTTATTAAACAGTTACATCAACAGAGAACTAAGTGAATTTTCGAAGAACGACACTATACCCATAATTTACAACCAACATCTACATGCAATTATTTCCGATTTTCACAATTATACCGAAATATACACGGACGGCTCCAAAATGGAAAACGGAGTCGGTGCAGTGGTAGTATTCCAAGACCACGTTTCCATGCTAAGACTACAAAATTTCTGCTCCATATACACGTTGAAATTTCATATGCTTTGGACCTCATCAAAAGAAAACGTATACTCAAAGCAGTAATCCTAAGCGACTCACTAAGTACCTTGAAGAGCATCGAAAACCTCTCCACTCCAAAAGAAATCACCAGGAAAATCCAAAATCAACTCATTGACCTTACTCATTCCGGCTACTCAACCACCTTGATATGGATCCCTATTCACATCCAAATTTCGGGAAACGAAAAAGCACGCCAAGCAATAACTTCCTCTAATGTTATCATACTCAACTGTTTTACTCTACATGACGCTAAATCTATATCAAAAATAATCTCGACCCAACTTATGGCTACAGGAATGGAAACAAGGCTCCTCAAAATTAAACGAAATCAAAAGTACTATCTTCGCATGGCCCTCCCAAGCGGACCTCTCAAGGAAAATGGAAACATCAATCAATAGAATGTGAATTGAACACACATCGCTAACCTACAAATATCTAATGAAGAAGGAAGACCCACCCATATATGCTAGTGGTACACTCCTCTCAATCAAGCACATTATATCCGAATGCCGTTCATTTGAAATGGACAGGCTGGAAGCTGGGGTACCAAAAATTATGGCAGAAGCGCTTCACCCAGATAACATAAGTCACATGATCACCTTTATTATCAAGACTAATATAATCAATAGTTTATAATCATTAACCTGTATATGTTTAACCTGTTAAACCCGTTGTATGCCAATGGCCATAGTCGCAGAGGTTTAATATAAAAAAAAAAAAAAATCAATACATACAAAATAGACTACTTTGTAGTCATACAAAGTTATACACAGTTTCTTATCCTTCTTTTTCTTTCGACTTTTCAATTCTGAATCTATATCGGTGATTTGTTATTATCATCTTTAAATTGTAGTTTTAAACACTTATGGATAAAAGAAAAATACATCGGAAAATTGCTCACAACTTGAGTATATTCAAGACATTCAGACTAATCAACTAAACCAACCAAATGTAAAAAAAATGTACCGTTCATATCAAGAAAGTACTCTTCAATCAGCTGTAAGACAATCTCAGTGGGGTTTGTCCAATAACTTTGATAATATGTCAACGATTGCAGGTTTACAACAAACTAGTGATGTTTTATTGGGTATTAATAAATTCGAGAAAGACCTTTTTAATCTTTATCAACAGTCATTTTAAGCATCAATAACCAAAAATAATATAGTACAAATAAACACATATACAAGTATATTGTATGTATTAATATAAAATTATGATTTAAATTTACTATTTTAAAATTTGCAGGATGCCATAATATATTTTAATAATTTAATAAAAATAAAAATTTACATGGTTTATTAAAACAGTTATTATGACGATTTTATTTCCATTTATTTTTTTAACCCTGCATGGGTCGCGCGGATGGATTACAATAGATAAAATAAATGTATTTATTGTAGTTTGGAAATCACTGGAGTTATCTTATCTTTTCAGTACCTTCAAATAGCATGTTGCTTAATATAATTAGTTAGTTATCGAATACCGTTCGTAGAATTTGTCGTCGTTATTTGAGTTCTAACTGAGTTGGATTACCATTGTATGTCATGCGATCTTTCACGTATAAATATTTTATAAGTTTTTTTTTATACTACTAGATTTATTTTCATGTCAATAATAAAAAAGAATGAGTAACAAAATCGATATTTAACAATGGTTGGAAGAAGATGAAGATGAACTAACTGATGGAAACGACATTGACAGTGATGATGAGTTAGAGGATCAGGTAGAAGTAAATGATGAAAACACGGATACGGAAAATAGTGACTATGGAAATGAAAGTGAGTCGAATAGTAACGATATTGATCCAATATTACAAAATAAATATTTTTTTGGGAAGGATAATATTAGGTGGATAAAAAAAAGTACCTACTATAACCCATCAGACTCGTGCTCATAATATAATTATTCATTTACCTGGTCCAAATAATATAAAAACTCATTTAGAATGTTTTTTCCTTTTTTTTTTTGATCAAATTGTTATAAATATTATTGTTAAAAATACAAATATAAAAATTTATTCTGTGAGAGTAAAATATGAACGACCTCGAGATGTTAGGGAAACTGATGATGTTGAAATTAAAGCTTTGATTGGTATTCTAATTCTTACAGGAGTTTGTAAATTGGATGTAAAGTTTGAAATATATTTGCATTGAGTGTTGTGATCAATAACAGAGTAAAGAATCAACTTAAAATTAATCAACTCGATTAAAATTTACTTTGTTTTTAAATAATTTAAAGATTTAACATGTAAAAAAATTATAAAGTACTATTTTTTTTGTAATGTTCAATATTGTGGGATAAGGTATACGTAAAATACTTACATATTAATATGTTTGTGGAGAAATATAATAAACATTTTATATCATTAAAATTTAAGAAGACAAATTGTAATAAATTATAATAATTTATTCACATTTAAGTGTAAATTGATATTCTGATGTAAAAAATAAAAATATAATATTTCTCTTTATCTCAATGTATTTGTCAATGTGTTCTTAGTATATAACTGTAATTAGAATTGTCAATGTAGACATAAAACCCATAAAAACATGTTTTTAAAAAATTGGATTACAACTGTAGAAGGCACGCGACCTATGCAGGGTTAAATATCTTTCATAATATCAATTATTATTACAAAATGTATAATAATTTAATAGTTTTAAATACTTATAACTTTAGTATTATATTATTATAAGTAAGTAATATCTGTATATTTTTTATAACTAAAATCATTTAATAAATAAATATAGCTATTTATAGCTATATTTATTATTTATTATTTATTTAATTTATAGCATAAATTTAGCTATTCTTATTATTTCTTAATATATGTAAAACATATTTATTTATAAAATTTCATTAACTCTCATATAACCTCTCAGCAGGAGATATTGGTTTCTTGAAATTAGAAATCTTCTTTCTAAATACGATGATTGATTACACTCAATATAAAATGATAAATATTAATGGACATTCGTAAATAAACAAAACATTTATTCGGTGATTTTTATAAATAAAATATAATTGATGATATTCACCATACACTATTCTGCAGTAATAAATAGAAAGAATAACAACCTTTTTTTTTTTTTAAAAAAATTTTTTCCACACAATTGGGTTGTCTAATAAAATTGATAGACAATTAATTGACATGACATGATTGTAATTTGGAGTATAAAATCAAAATGTTACTGAAAATACGATATGCATTTATATTTACTCTGTTTGTACTGTATATGCGAAACATCGCCATCTATCGGTGTTTTTATATTAAATTCCGGAAAGTTCTTGTCCGGGATATAGTAGTGTGCGTATTTTTGTGTTCTGAATTATTATAGTCCGGTACTTTCTGGTTTAGGAATTAATGCATTCCAGATTTTTACAGTATGTAATATTCTGGTTTGAGCATTTATTTTTCCGGCTGATTACAGTAAGGACATTTACAATGTTTCATTTTCCGGATTTTGACGGTCCGCTGTTTTCTTGTTTTAAATATATACATTCCGGATTTATCCAGTCCGTCGGATTATTTTCTGGACAAATTCTGGTTTACCCCACAAATCATCACTTGCGTTAATTATTATGCGTAACAAGTTTCTTAAAATAACGCTTATTAAAACGCTTATTTTATGTTTTAAATAATATTTATAAACTATTTCATCGATCCCTTAAAACGAGAAGAACTGCTCTATAAAGTACAAGTGATATTAAATGATCCGTTAAAGGAAAAAATGAAAATATGAAATTCAAATTGTACCGGTTACATTACATCCGATAAATTTGGTCATTCACGGCCGATGTCAAATGAAAACAAAATATTTTGTTTTTTCTGGCAGAATCCACCGAATAATTTAAATTTATACCAAATATTTATTATTATTATTTAAATTTAATACTATACTATACTATGATATTTACCCACGCACCTATATTATTATTAAAAAAATAAAAACGAAAACAAAACATCGGTTTTCACATGGATTAGAAAAAATTAAAATGGTTGTTCCTTAGAAAATATTCATCGAAAATAAATGTATGATACATTAACATTTTCAGAATAATAAACCCAACATAATGATTATTTTAAAATTTTCTGAAAATAAAATATTACAATTTTTTTAAAAAAAAAATTGAATTCAAATATAAATATTTGTATTCCTCGTCTCTAAGAGCATTAAAAAAAAATATTAAATGGGTATATCTTCATAGGACAGCCTGTATATGTTATTAAATTGGTTTTTGGTACTTAATTGATTAAATATAAAACGATTTTCTAAAATAGAAAAAGATACAATCATCGGTCACAAAATTAAATATTTAAATATTTAGAAAATTTAGTTTTTTTATTTTTGAATAAATATTTCAATACATACAAATTTAAAGTGAAAGATAAATATCAAATAGATATATAAATCTCACCTACTACTTATATATATTAATTTATTTATTTAGACACATGAAAAACACATAGGAAAATATTAAAATACAGTATTTAAGTTGTTTTTCAACAATGAAATTGAAGGGACAATAAATATTTTGTAGTTTATGTACATATTTAAAATTTATAACAATGTCTAAAAATATTGATTTTCCTTAAAAATGGAAGTACAGTGTATACCATACAATTGACAATTGTGCAATCTAGAACTTGGTTGACATTGCGAACTTAAACGTTTACTATTTTTATGTCTGGATCAGGTAATCTGAACCAAGTTACAATTCTGGATGTCAAACGATGGAAACCGAGGGTCGCGTTTCACTGAATGCAGAAATTTACTGGCACGGGTGCTTCCAGCACTATAAAACCAACTTGAAATTAAAAAACAAAAAGATATACAAAGTATTGTACTTACATGTGAGCATTGATTACTTGTTAAATTAAAATTACATTGGAGCTTGGATATTAGTTTTTGTCAAGGTTGAGAGCGTAAATGGTTCTAATACCCAAATATGATGTTATTTTTGAAAATTATCCATTATCATTCATCTGCATAACCAATAATGGTGAACATTGTAATATGATATGATCCAGAGACACGGGTCAGCTTTTTAATATGGTCATGGTTAAATAGAGTTAGGATAAATAAATTTAGTGATGCGTATGAGTAGGCAAGTAAGTTAGGTGTAGGTATGTGAATACTTTTGAATTAGTTAAATAGCGTAGGTAAATTGGGTAAGTATAATTTTTGTAGATGAATAAAACAATCTTTGAGTTTCTTATCGTCTACGGTGTAAATTGGGTTCAACCCTAAATCTAATACAGTTATGTTTTTTAAATGAAATATGTTATCCAATAGGGATATATGATTATTAGCTAAGAGAAGAATTTCCAAATTTCTGTTCCATTCTAAGTTTTCTATTTTATCTATTTTGTTATTTCTTAAGTCAAGAATTACGAGACTTCGACAGTTATTTAAATGTTGTATTCGATTTACTTTGTTGCAGCATAAATTAAGGTAAACAATTTTTGTAAGATTGTCTAGATTTTCAAGATTTTCTATTTTATTATTTATTAAAATCAGTTCTTTTAAATTTCCTAATACGGCAAGGTTTTGTATTTTTTTTATTTTATTATTGGAAAGGTTTAGCTTAGTTAGGTGTATCAGTTTGCTAAGCCCGTCTATGATTTGTAAACCGTTATTTGACAAATCGAGTTCTGTTATTTGAGTCGAGTAGTCTAGGTAATTTATTTTAGTTATGTAATTGCACGACAGATCCAGTGTTTTAAGCCTTGTTAGGCGGTCGATGTTTTTCATAGACCTTATTTTATTATACGACAGGTTTAAATGTTCTATACTCGTGGAAATGTTTTTATTGATTGTTTTTATGGGATTGTTAGTTATTTTTAATCGCTGTAGGTTCGACAGGTGGTTTAAATCTGGTATGTAGTATATTTGTATTCGGTTGAGCTTTAAACGTTTGACAGATTTATTAAATTTTATTTTTTTTTCTTCCAAGTTTACTCCGAATATGACCAATCCTAAGTAATTAAAGTGATGTTTGTTTTTAAATACATATTCCACTTGGTTTAGATGTGCGAGTTTTATAGTGCCATAATCTAGTCTGGTGGTTTGTAAATTAAGTGCAGTAATTAGGCTCATAATGTCGTCAAAGTTCAGATATTGAATTATGACATTGAATACAATTCTCGTAACTTGTCTGAATGTGACTTTATGAGTCATTTCCATTTTGATCTGTAAAGCGAAAACACATAAATTATAAAATATTATTCACTTTATTAACTTAAATATAATAATACTGCCATAAATAAAAATAAAAGACGTCCTAGGATAATGGAAACGGGTGCAGCCACTGTTATAGGTAATTTAATGAATATCCGTAAGCAATGATAAACTATTGCTAAAGAAAAAACGATTCTAAGAACAGTTTAGTTGATAGTGATGCTTTGTAAACAATATATATGTCATATTATGGTAAAATAATTAAATAAGCATAATATAATTTTTTTAATACTATTTGTTTAATATTGCATACATTTTCCCGTTTTTCCCGGTTTTCCCGGGGTTTTTTCCAGGACCTACACATTTTAGTTAGAAGAGTTAGAAAACTCTTCGCAAAATCGAAAATAACCTCCCTAAAGTACCTTCTTAGTCAGATGTACTTTCAGAAAAAGTGCTATCATTGTAAATCAGAGCAAAATTGCTAGTAGAAAAGTTGTACACAGAAAAAAAGGAGATGTTTTTTTTTTACTAAACTTACATTTTGTACATTTTCTGTTTTTCCGGCATTTTATCGAGGTTTTTCTCAGTTATTAAAAAAATCTATAAAAAAAAAACAACAAAAATGACCTCTCTAAACCAAGGAGATAAAATTTCTTTCAGAAAATAAGCTACACTTTATACACGGGAGCAAGATTTCTGGTAGAAAAGTTTAAACAAATCGAGGGTTATTGTTCGATTAAAATCGTCCGAGCGAGCGATAGCTAGGTAAACTTAAAATGCATTTGTTTTTTTCCCAATTTAGATGGATAAAAAGGAAAAAAAGTGTAAACAATTTATTTTCAAACCTCAGTTTGAACCCGTAATGCTTGTATGACATCACGTATTTATGACCATTCAACAAACGTATAATAAAGTAGACAATATAAAGTTATTTAACATAACATGTAATATCTGCATAATATCTCAACTTTAAAAAGCTATAATTTCGAAACTTAGTCAGTTCGCTCAATTCTAACCTTACCATTCTTTTTAAATCGGTAATATACATATTTTAGAAACAATTTTATCATTTTAAATCAGATAGAAATTGTGCTTACAGAAAAAATGAACACAAAAAAAAGGCCATACTATTTTTTTACTAATACCTATATTTTGTATATTTTCCGTTTTCCGACATTTCTTCGCGGTTTTTCTTAGATAATATGAAAGCTACTTGAAAAATCAAAGAATTACCTCCCTAAATTACCACGGAGATAAAATTTTCTTTCAGATAAAAGTTTGCACAACAAATCGAGAGATATTTTGCGTTTAAAATAATAGAGCGATGTACTGGATCTCTAGGTACACCCAAAATACATTTGATTTTTCTTATTTAGGTAAAAGGGGGGGAAAATCCAGAATGAACTCGGAACCCCTAGGACGATAATGGGCATAAATAACCATTAGATCACGAAAAATATGCTTGGAGAACAATAACGAGTTATTTTACATAACATATAATATCCACATAATATCAGAACTTCAAAAAACTCTAATTTTGAAACTTAGACAGTCTGCTCAATTCTGACTTCACCACCACCGTACTTTAATCGCAATAACAATTATTCAAAAATCAAAAAAAACAAAATTAAAAAACTAGATTCGTTCGACATAATTTTTTACTCTATTTTCGTCAAAATTTGATATTAAAATTCCCTTAATAAAAAAATACTACATTAAACGCAATTTTTTTTTTACTACACAGTAAGACTTAATGAATCTCTTGTTATATTTTCAAGCATTTCTGTTCAAGTCTAATAATTTACCACAGAGTAACTACTGAATAAAAATTACGTACAAAACTCATAAAATAAAAATGCTTATAAAAAGTTCAAAATAGGCTTTATATTTTTGAAAATTTAACCATGTCTAGAAATATTATGTCTGTTAAATTTAATTTTGACCATTTTTAAAGAAGGATAAAAAATAATGAAACCTCTAGAAATATTGAATATATATGTTATGATAAAATAATTACATATACATTATATATTTCAGAAAAAGAGCTATCATTGTAAATAAGAGCAAAATTGCTCGTAGAAAAGTCGTTCAGTGATTACAAAAAAAATTAAGAAAAATTAACATCATTGTAAAACCATAAGCTTCTTCGCTCCACTTAGAATGTAAAATGTAGTTAAATAAACAAAGTAAAGACAGTTAATTTTTGGGTAAATTACCATTTTTTATTATTATTGAAGTTTCAGAATATTGTAATTTGAATTTGAATTGTACTGTTAGATTCAATGCACAACACAAATTCATTACTATTCATTTGATATTGTTACTGATAGATTCAGTTTTATCTTATTCTATAATTGATCACGTTATTACTCCCGTTATCGCAAATTCAACAAACATCGCCAATAGTTCAAACACAAATATAAATTCCGATTCCAACGTTACACAATCCTTACATAATTCCGAACAACTTAATAAACATTTCTCCTCTAATTACATCGGTCTGTACACTACCATTGCGGAACATTCTGACGTCAACCTAAAAATTTACCACTAGCACCCGTTAAAATATGCTAAAATTTTCTCTTCAAATTTTGATGACATTAACAACATCAAACTAATTGGTCACAAAAAAAACAAAATCACCTTCAATAATAGTGTCTGCAAACATTGGATTTACTGCATACATTCCATCTACACTTATCCACTCTTTTGGAATTATTAGAGTCGATAGTTTCCTAACCAAAGAAGATTTCTGGGATGGACTTAATAATAAAGTCCGTGCTATTGCCTTTAAACGCATCTCAATCAAAAAAGATGACAAAACCTCTCAATTCCTACTCGTGTTGTAGAAATCAAATTCTTATCCCCCAAAATCCCAGTTGCCTTATCGATTTACAACGTCATTTTCAAAATTTCTCCTAGCGTCCGTTCCTTCATACAATGTAACAATTGTCTACGCTTTGGCCACACGGCAAAATTCTGTCACAGTAAAGCCACAGTAGCCATTGTGGCTTAAATGACCATTTAATAACTACCTGCCGTTCAATCAACGCTACAGATCCAGTATGCATCTTCTGTAAACTCCCCCACCTCTCTGCTGACCGGAATTGCCAAGAGTGGACATTCGAAAGGGATGTTAAAAAAAATTATGGCTACAGAAAACTTACCCTTCCGTGAAGCAGTCTCTTTTAAGAAAAATAATTACTCCTCAAGCGCCTTTAGTTATTCAAATATTGTAAATAAACAGCCTGTGTCAATTTCTTCTCATCAAGACCCGGTCACCTCCACGTATTCTTTTCCCCTTTTAACCTCTCAATCTCATTACCACTATACACCACATAGTAAACTTAACAATCATTCTTCCTATTGTAAACAAACCAATTCTTATGTTTCTAGACAAACTAATTTTTCTCAACCAAATGAGCATTTCTTAGATTATGCTAGTAAAAATCGGTGTTAGGATCCCAAACCTACTCATGCTGATCTAACATGAGTTAACGCCTTCTGCATCAAACTCTCCGAATCCTTATCTAACTCTCCCAATCTCTTCCCCTTATCCCCCTCTTCTCTTCATAACTTAATCGAATCATCCCTCATGTCTCGTTTCTCTATTCCAAATATCTCCGTTATCTCTTCTGATGGTCAATATTCTACAATGGAATGTTCGTAGTCTTCCTGCAAGACTCCCTTCTACTCTACATCTCATATCCTCCTATAAATGTTCCATAATACTTATTTCTGAGACTTGGCTACTTCCATCCCGCAATTGTTTTATTCCCCACTTTAATTTATTCAGACAAGACTGAGTCGACGGCTATGAGGGCGTCGCAATTGCAGCCCACATTTCACTTAATGTATCTTTAATAGAGATCAATCCCTCTTTAAAACAAATTCTCTTAGAAAATAATATTGATTTGATAGGCATAAAAATAACAAACATTGATGGTTTTCCCAACACATCCTTCTGGTCCTGTACAGTCCAAATGATTCTCCTGTCCCCTTTGAAGTATGGTACTCTCTCTTCCAACTCGCCGATCACAATTATTTCTTTACAGGTGACCTTAATGCCCACCACCCTGCCTGGGGCTCCATTACACCCACCAGACGGGGTAACTTAATTTACGACGCGTTAATCTCTTTTAATCTTAATAAACTTAATAATGGCTCACCTACGCATGTAGGCATACCCAACTCTACCAATTTGTGTATTTATTTATCTTTAACCACTCCAAATTTATTCTGGCTCTCAACCTGGCGCATGACCCCAACGGTAGTGATCATTTACCTATCATTATATTTATCAATCCTACAAATCCCTACTTCTCATCAAATAATAGATCCACCTCACACTGTGATATCTCCTCCAACTTTAAAGTTAACCACAATAAAGTTGATTGGTCCCTTTTTTCTCAACTCATCAACTCCTCTATCCCTTCTCTCAACTCTTACGCATGTCCAATTAAAGATAATGAACAGTTTACTCATATGATCTTAGACATTTCTAAGAAAACTATTTATTCCTATCAAACACAATAACCTTAACAATTTCCCTCCCTCTCCCCCGTGGTGAAACTCCTCTTGCTCCAAAGCTGTTTCCAACCGCAAATCCTTATATAACGCATTTATCCGTTTAGGATTCATTCAAGATTATCTTACCCATCGTAATGCCAACGCTGCAACCACACATCTTAAAAGAATCTAAAAGGCAAGCTTGGAAACAAGTTTGTATGAATCTCAACCCTTCATCATCCATTCAATCTACCTGGAACACTGCTAAACGCTTTCGTAATAGCATTCTAACTCACTCTCGCCCTCACAATGACAGTTGGTTTGATAATTTCTGCTGTAAAGAAGTACCATGTTACGTCCCTTCGTTATCCGAAGCCTTTCATTAATCAATTTAGTCTGCCTCCAATTCACCTACTAATCATGTAATCTCCATGCCTATAACCTAAAGTGAGCTAAACGCTGCGATTACCTCGCGTAAATCAACTGCTTCTGGCCCAGATAATATTTCCCTTGTTAATGTCAAACACCTTCCTACCAATACCATCGAATACCTCTTGACTATACTTAATAAAATTCTTCTCCTCAATAAAATTCCTGACTCGTGGAAAGAGTTCAAAGTCATACCTATCCTAGGGTGGCCAGATTTAATTTTTAAAAATCCGGGACACCAAAATTCATAAAAAATAGGTAATTATCTAGTAAGTATATAATTACATACGTATTTGTATATAACTTTTAGGTATAAATAATATTCAAATTAATCAATTAGATAGGTCATCTTTATTTAATTAACACTCAAAATTCAAATAAAAATAATAATACAATTTCCAGTCGTTGAGATAAATATACTAATCTAGGTAGAATTTACTGATTTATTATTTTTCTTTATTTTTGTCGTCCAAGGAGACCTTATATTTTTCAGTGCTGTGTATTTTCTTCAGAAATGTAGGATTTTTTATTATTTCATTGTAAAATTCAATACAACTCAAGCCATATGTTTTTGTTATCAGACAACATTCTATTGTTTTAGTATCCATTTGATTTCGAACGTCAGTCCAAGTAGGTGTTATTAAAGAAAATACTCGCTCTATTGACGCGTTTGACCCAAGTAAACAAAATGCAAACTCTACAACCATTTCAAGATTTAATACATTTACATCTTTTTCTTTAAATATATTAAATATTTGTACCCATTTTTGTTCTACTGAAATAACATTTTTTGTCCAGTCATCAAATTTGTCTTGAAAAATGTTTATAAAAGCCATAAACTCATCAAAGTATTCATCTTCATTAACTTTAACATATTTTGATATCATCTTTATTGTATTTTTAGCATTATTCCATGTCACTGTATTTTTGTTTGTTAAGTGGAACCAATTTAATTCAACCATCAGTGCCTGGTTAGGTAATGTCCACTTTTGAATATATGATATACATAAATCGTAAAACTTTTGACAATTTATATCAAATTCTTTTTTAACTAAATAACTCTCTTCTTCAATAGAATCAATTATTATCTCCATTTCAGTATTAATAAAATGTTCATTCTTTCTGTTTTTTAAGTTATTTAATAAACTGTTTAATATTTCAATTAATTCAAATGCCGACATTTTTTCCCCTTCAATTTTTTGAATATAGTTATTGAACAGTTTAAGCATACTTTGTATAAATTTAATACATAATAGAGCAATGACGTTTTGAAAAAAGTCAACCAATATCTTAGGACTCGAATCTTGTGAAAGAAAATACGACTTTAAGCCATCAAACATTAAAATAATTCTGTCAACTGCAGGAGACAGCCATCTAGTTTTGGCATGTGATAAAATATCACGGTATTGGATATTAGCAAAATCGCAAAATTCTTTTAATTTNCGTTATCTTTTCCTTTTCTATTTAATCCACCAAAATTAGTGTTTGTATTATCAGCCGATAGTGCAACAATTTTTTGATTTAATTCGAATTTAGTAAGAACGTCAATAATTTTAGAAGTAATTAAATCAGACGTTTCACCGGGTAAATTTGAGAACTCTAGTATTTTGTTTTTTACGCCAACATGAGGCAAAAAATAACGAACTACAACAGGTACTAGTTTAATTGCTTTGTGGTTGGAACCGTCAACTAAAACAGATACATAATTCGCAAAAGATAGTTCTTTTAAAGTATTATCAACTATGTACGGGCAAATAACATTGACAACTATTTCCCTGGTTTTTGTTTTTGCACACGTGAATTTTTTGTCGTTTAAACATTGACGAATCAATTCCGATGTACAAGACATAGAACGAAAACTGTGATTATGAATTACTGTATAATACACAAAAGTAGCTTCACGGGCGGCTAACAAAAAGTTATTTTCAGTAGGAACCAAAGCAGAAAAATAGTTGGAAACTTTACCAGATTGGACCGATGATATTGTAGCTAACTTATGTTTTTGCGTTTTGAGGTGATCGTTTATGTCCGATCGTCCACCATGACTTACTGAAAAAGTTCCATGGCAAGATGTACACTGTAAATTGAAATAGTCAGTAGATTTAAGTTTTTTAATAAATGGGAAATCATTTTGCAACTTTTCGTTAAAATGACAAAGTCTTTTAGGCGGCATAGTCACTACGTAAAAAAAATGAACTGTATAAAATTACGATACTGTATTAAACGCTGGTATAATTTCTACTAGAGAGTAAACCTACTGGCCAACCCATTCAAAGAAAATTCCTGATCTGCTTGACTTCTTCGTAATTAAAGATATTTCATCTAATTTTGTTAAAGCCGAATGACTTGTAAAGCTAACGTCCGATCACATTTCTGTGTTATTATCGTTGAGTTCAAATGTTGTTATGAAAAAACGAAAACAGTTTCTAACAAACAAACATACAAACTGGGCCCTTTTTAGGATTACTTTCAAATAATCTATCTTTCTTGCTGTGCGGCTAAAATCGTCAACTGACATTGAATTGTCAGTACAAAAATTGACACTGATGAGATCGTTAAAACGAAAAAAACGACCAATATCGAAATAATACAATGATGTCAGAGCATTGCTCTTCGTACTATTGTCACAGCATATCGGTGTGATAGGAATGACATCATCCACCGCGATTTGAAAATGTCATCTGTGCAGGATAAAGTTATCCAGTTTGTTCGCAAACATGCAAGAAGTTTCTTTCTGTCCAGCTTATCTGGAACTCCACATAAATACGGCAGCTATACAACTCTTCGGCAACTCGCAGGACATCAGACAACTCAAACGACTGAAGCTATTCGACTTAGTCTAATTATTAGATTAAGAATGGGGCTGCTTCATAAGAAGTAAAACTCTACACAAGTTTTGTATTTATATATATGTTTCATTGTATATATTAATACTTCTATTGATTTATATTTTTAAAGATTGTTTTAAAAAAACAAACTTACACCCAGAAAAAATATCTTGAGTAGATTCAACAAACTACGTTTGTTAATTATTAAGTATTAACAAACCTACTTTTGTTGAAAAAAAGAACCTATTATTTGTCTTAACCAACTGTTTATTCATTTAATTATATCTTTAATTATATCCACAAACTTACTTGTTGATATTATAATCACTTATTTCAATTTATCCCTATAAAAGTTAAAACTAATTTATTATTTATTGAATAATTTGTATTACTTTTATAAACTACAAAGTTTATTTTATACACTTTTATAGTTAATATTGCCTATATGAGTATAATAAAATACTGTTACAATTGTTAGCAAACTGATTTTCCATAAAAATAATTGTTAAAATTTCCACACTGATTGATTGTTACGATGAATATCTTATATTGATAAAAATATTATTAGATACATATTTATTATTGTATTGGTTAGTTGTTTTTATGGCTCAACATCCTCTCGTCAGACGGCAACTGATAAACGTTTCCGTCTTACGGCTATGGCGGTAATAGACTGTTAAGCTACGAATAGATTGTTGTCACGTCATGTGAGCTCACGTACATAATATGTACGTACAACAATTTTTTCTCAGTCGAAAATGGATCAAAAGTTTTTTTTTTTTTTTTTATTTAAGCATATTTACCATCTATACAATTTGTACAATAAGTAAATTTGATAATATAGGTAATATTAAAATGACTTGAATGTCTTGAGGGGGGAAAACCGTCCATCAACAGTACCTCCTATTTAATTTGATGGGTTCATTTAATATGGAGACCGTTAGGCAAGAGAGTCTCTTGGCCATTTTCTTTTTAACCTTCTCGGAGGATTGTTGGGGATGGTTATAGAGGACATGCGAGAAATTAGAGGGTTTTGGTGCAATTTGGAGTGAAACTTTTTGTAATGACGAGTTGCTATTTCGTTGACTGTTGGGATTTAGAGATCTTTATGTAATGCATCGTTGGTCATATACCATGGGGCTCCAGTTATTTGTCTAAGACATATAGACTGGAAAGCTTGTATGGGTCTTATATTGGATGGTTTGGCTTAGCCCCAGATTTGGATACCATATGACCTGAAGGAGGTAATAATCGTCTTGTATATTAATATTTTGTTTTTTAAATTCATTGAAGGAGACAATAATGGACGGAGAAGATGTAGACGTGTGTTTGATTGTTTTCTTTTCTGTTTTGTGTGTTGGGCCCAGGTAAGTCTTTTATCTAGATGAACTCCGAGGTATTTGGTTACATTTTGGATAGTAATTGGTGTATTATTGAGCAAAAGTTATGGACATTCGTTTTTTTTCAGAGAAAAATTTATTTGAACTGATTTGTTTTNTTGTATATCGTGGGTGGCTATGTTTGGGTCTTTATTTGATGCTAGTATAGCGGTATCGTCTGCATATGTCGCTAGAGTTGTATGGTTTGTTTTGGGCATATCTGATGTGTAGATATTGTAGAGTATAGGTGATAGGTCACTTTCCTGGGGTACTCCCGCTTTGATTTTATGGTAGACAGAGTAGGAATTGTTAAATTTAACAGTGAAATATCGGTCTTTAAGATAAGATTTTAGGATGAGGAAATACGGAGCAGGTAGAAACGATTTTAATTTGAACAATAATCCGTCGTGCCAGACGCGATCAAATGCTTGCGCGATATCAAGGAATACACCGGGGCAGTGTTCTTTCTTTTCGAATGATGACGATATTTTGTCGGTAATTCTATGTATTTGGTGGATTGTCGAATGATATGATCGGAATCCAAATTAAGTATTAGGGATGATGTTTTTTTCTTTTATAATAGGGGTTATTCTTTTAAGAAGTAATTTTTCGAAAATTTTCCCTAATGTCGGTAGTAAACTTATCGGGCGGTATGAGGTTACCAAATGCTTTGGTTTTTCTGGCTTAGCAATTAATATTATTGTTGAGAATTTCCATATTGGGGGAATGTATGATAACGTGAGCTAGTTGTTTGAGTATTTTGTTGTTAATTTGATCATATCCTGAGGATTTGTTGTTCTGTAGTTTAGTAATATAATATTTTATTTCTTGTGGTGTGATTGGTTTAACTGGTAGTGACATAGGTAGAGGACTGTTAAGAAAAGTTTGGACATTTTCTATATGTGTTGTTTTATTGTAATTTGTATCCGAGTGGGGTTGGAAAATTTCTGATAGGTGATTGCTGAATAAATTTGCTTTTTCACTGTCGGTTATGGCTAGAGTGTTGTTAGGATTTGTTAAGGGGGGGACTATGTCTTTTCTTTTGGTTTTATTTTTTATTGATTTCCATAAGGAACCATTGTCTGGTGTGAGTGATGATAAAAATGAGTGGAATTGATTGGATTTAAAGGTTTGCAGATCTTTTTTCAGTTTATTTGTTAATTTGGTTAATTCATGTTTGTGCTCCGATCAAAAGTTAAATAATAAAACATGTTCCAGAGCTAGCCTTATTAACCAAAAATGGAGAACCTCTGTCATATGTCATTGTTGGAGACGAAGCATTTCCATTAAAAAATTATTTGCTCTGACCATATTACAGACACAACTTAGAGGATAATGAACCCAATACAATTGTTAATTATAGGTTATCACGAGCTAGACGTGTTGTGGAGAACGCCTTTGGAATCTTAGCTGCTAGTTGAAGGTGTTTCTGTGGGCCCTTAGAAGTACAACCAGAATTTATGGACAAAATTGTGCTTGCGTCATGCTGTTTGCATAACATGTAACATTGCAAACAATGCGTTTGAACCCAATATAGAGTTAGTTCAACTGCCAGAAGTAGCTTTACTGCATTAAGATTCACTAAGAAGAAATAACACTTGTGAAGCATTTTAAGTTCCAGAAAAATTTAGAGATTATTTTAATTCTGATACTGGTAGTGTAATTTGGCAAGTTGAAAGTTTTCGAAAAGGGAGAATTCATTCATAATTAATAAATAAAAACTAACGTTTTTAATAGTTTAAAATCTTTATTTTCGATGTCTGTATAATACAATTTTGTCGAATTATATTAATAAAGAATATGTTATTTTAATATGTTTATTTTTGTTTATGGTTAGTCGAAAATATGGTTGTGTAAAAATAATATTAAATAATATATAGTGTAGTAACAGTGAATAATATAGCTTAGTGCACTATTATACTACTGCTCTGCATGTATTATTATAATATTATACACGACATTATTTTTGTATTTTTCACATAAAACGCTGGTATATTAAGGTCCGATAAGTTATTTATAGATTTCACTACCAATATGCCTATATAATATACAACGGCAGCGCACTTGCATTATACAATTTTATATTCGAGTTTTCTATCATAATATTTATAATTTTTAACAAGTGACAATACACATGGTAATTTAATTTAATGAGTTATATTTGAATTTACCTGATATTTGTAACTCTTTCACAATTTCTTCCCAAGCAGTGTGTTGTATATGCTGATCACGATAATCATGTGATATATGATTATATAGAAATTCATGTTCTCTAACTTTTTCAATTAATTGCTCGTCCATTTGGAATACAAAAATATTTAACTTCAAAAAAATGTATGTTAACGTCACGTTACGGGAGTCGAAAATGAGTGATTTTTCAGAAATAAAAACCGTGCTGTCACATGTGAAGTTGATAACGTTACGTGATGCGTGTGACGTGACTGTCTTGTGGTTTTTACACATTGCAATACACTATCTACACTTTTTCCGTGAGCCATGAGGTGCCGTGATAGCACGTGAGCTCACATGCCATGACTATAATCTATTCGCAGCTTTATGATAAACATAACCGTCAATTTATTTTTATGTCATTTTTTCTTAATTTGCCTTTTGCACTTAATTCACCGTACTCACGGTGTGTTTCAAATTCCCAAAATGAACATTTTATAATTACACGACTATATTTTTAATTTTATAAGGTACACTGAACTACGAAATCATCAGGAGCATAAGACACGAAACATATATTTTATAGTTTGAATGTATATAAGTGTGTCAAGTAAGTAGCTATATCAAAAGTATAATTTGTATGTATGTAAATTATTAATAATGTAATTATAAACATTTTTTACGCATTTAATATATGTAATTACGACTAGTCCCCCTCCCCTAAGGACATAATGAACATATTTATTCTAAATTAATTAAAAGAAAGCTATTTGCAATTCAAAGCGAATGAGTCACTACCTGGTGGAATTTATTAGAACTACTATTACGGCGAAGATGCACGTTTGATTATATTATTAATATTATATTGAGTCATTGATTATGTAAGAAAAACGGTAAAATCGGTACAACATTAAACAAATATTATTAAAGAAAATATATAAAGCATATTTAAGTACAAATCATCATTATCATTTAAACTCCGCTCACAATCCTTTTTTGTAACTTGTTAGTTATAGTGTATCGTTGCTTACAGGTATACATTAAATTACCTATAACAGTAGATGCACCCGTCTCTATTATCTTATGAGGTCTTTTTTTCTCTTAATCCTATTTCAATAATATGGCTGTATTTAACTATTTCTGAACCTTCAACAAAAGGTCTTTTAAAACCACCAATATATTAAATTATGTCGATTGTATAGCTATTACATAATTAAACATATTTTTATATTTATAAACTATTTTTATTACTACAAATTGTAAACAAAATCAGTTTTAACAAGGAAATTTAAAAAAAAAAACTAGTAATAAATGGATTATTTTGACTAAATTACTATTATTCTTCTAATGCTATTATAACGTCCATCCCCCCATTAGCCTTATCATTAGTGTCGACTAGAGCGCTACCTATAATTTCTTTCAATCGGGAATACACAAAGTGAAACTTATATAATGCCCCAGAGATTGCGTTGCGTTCTATATCGCCACCGTCGCGTAACCCGTGACCACGTCCACTATCTAGATATGACTAGTCTGCATTGTTTCACAGCTGTCTATGTAGTGCACATCGCGTCAACATAAATTCAATTATACCGCTGCGTTGTCACGTTGACCTGTGTGGCGAACGCATTTACGCCGCGCGTCGTATAGTTGCGCATACTCGAGAACTATTTAGTAATTACTATTTAAAGCTACTGTTTTTTTATTTCGTATTTATAAATAAATAAATTATAAATTGTATATTCTATCATAGTTTGAATTGTTTTAATATCATGATTACTTTTGAAGTTATTAAACAATTAACAATGAATATAATGGACAATTAAAACATTATAATAATCATACCAATGAAAAACGATTCTGAAATTAAATTACATGGTACATTCTAATATACAGGTCTGTTTTATATGTTTTATAACGACATATGATTTTAATCAAACTATCAAAGACTAAAAAATAAAAATTACCGCTCCTGAGTATGAATCATAATTTGTTTTATAACTTCTGTTCCGACACTGCCCGTCAGACACATTGGATTACCATCAGTCAAAACATAGTTACGTTTCAATACTAAATTTTCTTCTAAGCCAGCTAGTCTCATTTAGTCCCAAGCACTTTTATTGACAACTTTAAATTTTTTGAAGAGTATTCTCATCAAATGCAAAACACCGAAAAAAACTCCTGTTTTTTTTTTCGGGGAATATATGTACGAAATATATGACTTAATAAGTCATATAAACAGTAAAAAAAAAATATGACATAAGTATTGCGATTTTCGTTTACAGTACACAACTTTTCTATCAGCAATTTTGCTCCGATTTTTAAATGATAGCACTTTTTCTGAAAGGAAATCTGACTGGAAAAGTACTTTAGGGAGGCCATTTTAAAATTTTCTCCGGAGTTTTCCATGCAAAAATCAAAAACCAGGAAAAGATATTGGAAAATCAGGAAAAATGGAATACATTTTAATTTTGAAAATGGAAAAATTGGAATTTTACCATAATGTCATATTTATTGTTGACAAAGCAGCACTATCAACTAAATTTCGCTCAGAATGGTTTTTTCGTTAATAATGTTTTATCGTTGCTTATAGATACATTAAATTACTTATAACAGTGGCTGCATCCCATTATCCTAGGACGTTTTTTTTAAATTTTAATTTGTTATAATATGCTTAATATATTATATTATAGCTATAAAATTAAACAAGGAACAACACGGAACGACAGAATCTGACTAAATTAAATTATTTCAATTTAATGTTTTTTCAGTTGTGATACAGGTGTCGTAAATGGAAATAATTTCATAATACAAAAATAATATCTTATCGTTAAATAATCAGTTTCTAATCAGCCGCCACCATGGGTACGTATATGCTATACCAGCGGTTCTTAAACTTTTTATTACGCGGACCCCTGATGAAGGACATTTTTAAATCGCGGACCACCTTATTAATTTTGTTAGGAATTATCATTTTTTTATTACATTGTAATTTTAAACTATCATTTGTAGAAATTTCTATAAGATTATCTTCTTCCAGTGATGTCAGTCCATTAATTTGGGTTATATCAATTTCAAAAGGGTATCTAATCCAGTTTCTATTTGTGTCTGGAACAGGAAAATTATCGCGGAAGCTTCGTTGCAGATCTATTGTTTGATGTTTTTGAAAACTTCTCCGGATAATTCTTCTTCGGTCAATTCAAGAAAATTATTGTGGTTTTGAAATGAATCGTAATTTTTCTTTGATAGACGAAGGTTCCATAGTTCCAACTTTTTTATCATCGCTTCAATATTATTTTCAACTTTAAAAATTGTAACATGGGACCCTTGAAGACTTAAGTTAAGTAAATTTAAATGAGCAAATATATCTGAAAGGTACGCTAAACTAGCCAACCAAGAAAAATCATTTAAACGTTCACTTAACGTAAATGATGATTTATGTTCGATGAAAAATAATCTAACCTCATGTCTTAACTCAAACAAACGAGAGAGCACTTTACCCCTAGATAACCAACGAATTTCAGAATGTAATAGAAGTTGATAATGTTCACTATCCATGTCCTTGCAAAGTTGTTCAAAAAGTCTTGAATTTAAGGATTTGGCTTTTATAAAGTTCGCAATTTTTACAGCTTCATCTAAAACTTCTTTTAATTTTGTTGGTATTTTCTTAGAGACAATAGCTTCACGATGAATACGGCAATGATGCCAAGTAACTGATGGTATAATATTTCAAATGCGTGCAATTAATCCAGAATTTTTTCCTGACATTGCTCAAGCACCATCAGTACTAACTCCTACACATTTTGTCCATTCAATTTCATTTAATATTATAAATTCATTTATTTTGATAAATATTTCTTCTGCTGTTGTATGTATAACAGAGGTTACAAATAAAATGTCTTCGAAAATGGTATTTTCGTAGTTGTATCTTACATAACACAGTAATATAGATTTATTAGTTATATCAGTACTTTCGTCTAATTGGAGACTAAAATAGTCACATTCGTTTATTCTTCTCAACAACTGTTCTTTAATATTTCCTGATAAACTATCAATTCGTTTTTTTATTGTATCATTTGATAGCGAAATTAAATTTAAGTTATTTGCTACTTCTTTACTGATCATTATAGAAACCATAGCTTTTGCAGCGGGCAATATTAAATCCTCAGCTATTGTGTGAGGTTTCCCTGATTTGCCAATAAGTAAAGAAACGGCAAATGAAGCTTTAACGGCATTTTCATTACTATAACTTGTTGAAGATTTTTTAATACATTTCATATTTTTCCTTAATTCATATTCTTTATTTTTAAAAAAATCAATGGTTTTCGTAACATGTTCTTTATGTTTGGTTTCTAGATGTCTTTCTAGTTTTGATGGTTGTAGTGCCTCGTTTGATAAAACTTCAAAACGTATCACGCATTGTGGTTTTTGTTCTTCTTCAGAACCGCTACAAGTAAAACCCATCGATAAATAATTATTATCATACTTACGAAATTTTGTTAATTTAATTTTTTTCGTACATGGTGTCTTCTTATTATCAACCGTAGAATTATTCCTCTTTACATTTAACCAGCTATCCATTTTTTCTTAAAAAAATTTGAATTTTAAAAATAAATCACGTAAAATTCGTAAAATACGTAAGTATACAACTAATTAAATACAATCGATATGTATACGGCTATGGCGAGTAAACGACTGGACGTTTGAGTGCTGTAAATTTCGTTCGTAATATAAACTAATAGATAAATGATAATTCTAAATATAATTCAAAATTCCATGTTATGCCGATATGGGTAATTAAGATTAGAATACTCGAGGATTAACTTTTCTAAAGTTCCAATAAGTCGCGTTCAATACTTGTATAATAATATAAAATATAAAATATAAAATTTTACATTTTTAACAATATCATTATTACACACACATGCTGTTCACAGCTGAAATCATTTATAGTGTCGTGGACCCCCGGCAAGAGTGTCGTGGATCCCTAGGGGGCCGCGGACCACAATTTAAGAATCGCTGTGCTATACTATATATAAATTAGGGTGGCCCTTAGCTTCCTCTTGTAAGTTTTTTTTTTTATCTTACGATTTGTGCTACCCACTCATATGTTTTTAATACGTCAAAAAATAATATCTGCAAAATTTGAAATCAATATTTCAAGTTTAAGCCCCACGGGCACTTAAAGTTTTGTAATTTTGTCATTTTTTACAAAAATATCCAAACATTGTGCTGTAAAAATTGTTCGTTTTAAATTAATAAACTCTTGTAATATTATTTAACTAGCAAATATTACAAGGATTTCAAAAACGTTTGCTATTTTTTTATTGCTATAGTTTAAATTTTAGATGAAAATTAATTAAAAGCTCAAAATGCATATTATTTTGGCATAATACACCAAAATAGTATTTTTTTTTGTTTTATTCATCATATTAGCTAAAATATATATTATTACTATTGTAGTACAATTTCCGAGGTGGATGGTTAAGGCAATTTATTATATACATTTTTTTTTATTTATATATGAATTTGAGATAAGTGATAAAGAAAAAAAAGCACTTCGCAATATATATATTTTTTTAATAACTATATGCGTCGAAGTATGGTTTGAGGTGACACAAGTAACATTCTCGAAATTCATTAATCTCATATGATATTTAACACGTTGACTGCCACGTACTTTTTCCATGCATTGCCCCGGGGACCATGTGTAAATTTTTTTGTACACGTGACAAATTCGCAATACATTTTTTGTGTACAATTTTATGTACACGATCTTTCTTAGATTCATTTTTATTATGTTGAATAACCTAACACGGCAGTGTTGATTTTAGATAGAAATATGAATCTCATTGCCCACCAAAACATTTCTGTATTTTTAGCGAACACGTAGCATTATTTTTTATTATAATATTGACTTTTTTTTTACCAATATAAAAATTACCTTATGTCTAATTATTACCTTATTAAAATTAGTATAAAGTTTTACTTTAATTTCCTTAAAGTCCCGCTCGATCTACTGGGACTATCCTAGACAGATATGATGTATCCAAGTCCGAAGAGAAGAGTTGGTGTCTTAAAAACAGACTAAAAGAACAGATGAGAACCATTAATTTTGATAGTATAGGGTCAATTGACGAAAGATGAAAAAAAGTGAGAGACTCAATAAAGACAGTATCAGAATTAGTTTTGGGTAAACCGAAAAAAATAAAGAAGCCATGGTTTAATAAAATATGCGAGAAAGTACTAGTTCAAAGAAAGAGTCTAAGGACCATATGGCTTGGTGATCCTACAAATAAAGACAAAGAAGAACAGTATAAACGATACCAAAAAGAAGCACATAACACATTAAGAAGAGAAAACCGGTTGTACGCCCAAAAATTGTTAGAAGCGGAAAAAGATTTTAGAATAAATAATATACGACAACTATATCAGAAGATAAATACGACAAGAGGAGGATATAAGAAACGAGAGAGGTTTCTAAGAGAAGATGATGGGACGCTAGTGACTGAACAAGGGAAGCTTCTGGAGAAGTGGACTGGATATTTTGAGAAACTCCTTAACGGTGATGACCCAGTGGAAGAATTTCCAAAAGTAAACATAACTATAAACGATAGCGTTTATACAACACCTTCTAAACAAGAATTGCAGCACAAATCAAAAGGCTAAAAAATCATAAATCCCCGGGAGAAGATGGTATTCAAGCAGAAATTCTGAAGAGGGTAGATGAAGAAGCGATATCTAGAATTCACGAAGTAATAGAATTGATTTGGGAAAAGGAGAGACTCCCGGAAGATTGGAACACTTCGTTAATATGTCCAATACATAAGAAAAATGACCCATAAGACTGTAAAAATTATAGAGGTATAGCTCTAATAAATATTTCCTATAAGATTCTGGCGTATTGTATACTCGATAGGATAAAACCTTTATCAGAAGGTGTTTTGGGAGGAAACCAAGGAGGTTTTAGACCTAACAGATCTACAACAGATCAGATTTTCTGTATTCGCCAAATTGCACAAAAATCATGGGAATATAACAAGGAATTATACATTCTATTTATCGATTTTGAGAAAGCATATGATTCCATCCATAGACCTACCTTAATCAACATATTAAAAGAATTTAACTTCCCAATAAAACTAGTAAACTTGATTAAGGCTAGTCTTGAAAACACTTTGATAAAAATTAAAATTGCGAATGCAGTATCAGAAACAGTTAGAGTATCTACAAGCTTAACACAAGGAAACGCTCTTTCTCCTGTCCTCTTTAATCTAGTGCTTGAAAAAATTGTCAGAGGACTAAATACTATTGACGGGGTTGCGATGGGTAACACGACAATAGATTTGCTAGCATATGCTGATGGCTTAGCCTTTTTGGGAAATAATTTAGATACTGTAAAACAGAATTGTAGAAAACTAATAAATGTAGCAGGCAAACGTGGTCTAAAGATCAATGACAAAAAAACGAAGAATGTCATAATTGGAAGAAGAAGTAGAAAATACCAACAAGGAGAGTTTATGGAAATAGATAACCATAAATTTAAGAGAGCGTCACATTTTAAATACCTAGGATCTATAATAACACAAGATAGTCACAAGAAGATCTCCACCTTAAGATGGAGATGGACACTAGGATTCTAATGGGAAATAGGTGCTTTTTTGGCTTAGGGAGTATGTTTAGCTCAAAAATCTTGTCGACAAAATTAAAAATACAATTATACATGACCCTGATAAAAAATCCTAAGAAGAATCTATGGACCATGTATTGATTCTGATACTAGAGAATGGAGGATACGCCACAATGATGAACTGAAGAACTTGTTTCAAAAACCAGACATTATATCCGAAATTAATAGGAGAAGATTAATGTGGGATAGACATGCCTGGAGGAAAGAGGGCTCTTTATTAAGGCGGTTATTAAAGAAAATCCGACTGGGAAGACCGCCCTTACGATGGGAGGATCGTATCAAAAAGGATGTTAAAGCAGTAGAACCAAATACACAGTGGAGAGAAGCTGCAGAGGATAGGGAAAGATGGTGACAAATTTGTTTGCAGGGATGGTCTTGAAGGCCGTAACCCACAACAAGAAGAAGAAGAAAAATAATATAAAATACAACCTTATATATAAAATTTTTATTTTAAATTTTCTTGTTTTACATAGTATATTTTCTAACTTATATACTTATACCATTTTCGATTTGTGAAAAACACCCAGAACAAAAATGCTTGCCATATAAACTACACACGGTCTCCATCCTTTTCGCTGTTTTTTTGGCATTTTTAGTTCCTAAAATTACATTTAAATGAATATTATTTATACAAATTAAAATATTTCTATGAATAAATTTCAGTACCTTTTTCTTTCGATATCATTTCGTAACATCGTTTGCATCTTCCGATTTTCGATAATTTTCCAAAGTGTTTTTCTTAGTATTCTGTTGTAAGTAGCGCTTTCTTTTCAAACAATCCTTCTATTACAGCTTTGCTAAAATCAACAATTTTCATTTTTTGTCCTGCTACAATCGTATATATCAAAAGAACGTTGACCATAGATGTTTTACAAATAAGATCAAAGATCAATTTTCTATACCATTTAAATGATCTAAGACATGTATGATAATACCCCATTTGATAATAAGACACCAAATCAATATATTTGATTTCCCATCATTGTAATCTGCAACAAAATAAGGTTTTTTAGTCGTTATTCTTCTCCGAATAAAACTTTTCATGGTATTATCGTGATTTGTACTTAACATTAATACATCTCGGCGGTCTTTCCATTTTAATATTATTATACCACGTCTATTTTGTTTTTAAACAAATTTTCCTCGAACTAATTTTTATTTGTAACTTCTTCCAGGTTTCTTTTCCGGTTAGCTCTTAATGTTTCAACATCGTGAGTGTTCCTATCAAGAAGTTTTTCAGCCAGATCTATACTTTTATACCAGTAATCTACGAAAAGACATCTTCCCTCATCTAAGTAAGGTTCCACAAGTTCCAATACAACTTTATTAGATACTGATTGTCCAATATCAGCTTCTTTCCCTGCATATATTTTATACTATAATGTATAAAAATCATGACAACACAATTTGAAAATCTTGATCTCATAACGATGTTTTTTGTTGACAATATATTGGCGGAAATGAAGATGACTTCTAAACGGGACCATTGTTTCATCGATGCAAACGTTTTTTTCCCGAAATTAGAACGTTATTGAACTTAACTACCAGTATATCAACCAATGGTTGAATTTTGTGAAGGCGGTTATTTAAAAGAGCAATGTTATTGTCAGATACATGGATTACAGATAATATTAATTTAAATCAATTTCTAGACATGTACAAAGGTACTGTCACTTCTGTACAAAATAGTATTTTTCCAATAATGAGAAATACTCGACATTTTTCTAAGACCATCTACATAACTATTCCCACAAATACATGAAGTTCATCTTTATCCATATTAGTCCATTTATTTATTCTTGAATTAGTGCCTTTATCCGGCCCGTTTAATTTATCTTGAGCATATCTATTTGTTTCTACTAATAAAAGGTTTACGACTTCATCGTCAAAAAACAAAGTGAAAAATCAAAGGGTCTAAGTGAACTCATTGTATCTATAATATCTGTATTTATAAATCGGTACAATTATCACGTGGATTAAAAACGATATTTGAATTTATGTTTGGTACATCAAAATTATCATTCTACTCATTTTCGACATCGTCGTCGTCAGAATTAATCACATTATTCTCAGCTTCATTATCATCTTAATTACTTTGCCAATCAGTCTTCGTCGGTGTCATCAACATTTGAAAATGAGCTAGACAGAACATCATCATCGTCAAGTGAATTTTCCATTTGATGGCGATCCATGCTAAACATACACTTTTACAACTCGTATTCTCTTACCAAAATCACGTAATAATATACAAAATAAAATCACAATAAACATACTCATTTAATATGAAGGTCCGTTGAATATGCGAGCAAAAAGATAAGATAACAATATTAGATTCTGGAAAAATGTAAAGTTCTAAAAATAAACTAGGACAATAACAGATTAAATTAAATACAAATAATTCTGTGAATGGTATAGGGAACGACATATATTATTCTATTTACGTGCAGTGATGAAGACGGTCGAGAGGCCACGTGTACATTATTTTGACACGGTCGAAAATAAGAATTTTTTATATAAGAATGACTTATAAAATTACAATAAAAAATAATACCAAAAAAGATTTTAATATTTGAAAATATTTTTCTATACACATTTTGGCAAACCTGCAAAAATAAACTACTCATGCATGGCGAGTTTGCGGTGTACAAGAAAATGTACACATAGCAATCAACGAGCTAAACCCTCAAGCAATGGGGTTGACATTTGTCGATAAAAGTATAAATATGGAGGTACAAAGAGAAAAATGGTAATAAGACTAGAAAACAATTAAAGTTCAAAACGTTTGAAACTGAACCAACATGACATGAATGAAATTGTACAAAATGAAATAAATATTTTTGTGAACAATGATACCCGAGATTTTGTCAAACTATTTAATTTGGATGAAAATTGTCTACAAAGTGATCCATCGACTTTGGATGATAGTGATAGCTACAGAAATGCATTAAGTATTGTAACCGAGTTACGAGCAATGAATGATACTGCAGAGCGGGGTATTGGATTAATAGAAAATTATAATACGTTATTTACAATCAACGAGGTTCAAAAATAATTTGTTAGTGACTATAGAAAAAGTTTTTCCAATTGTATGAAAACAACATTAAAGCAATCATTATGAACAAATACAAGCTTTATAATTATTTGTATACAAAATAATAAAAGAAAAAAATATATGTTTAATGTGATTACCTAATTATTATCATACAATTAATTGCATCGATTATATGCATTATGTTGTAATAATATATTATAACTATATACTTTAATTATAAGTCTATAACATTCGATCTAGTCAAAATTGTATAATTTACAATAATTTTAAGAAATTTAATTTAAAATAATTTTTTATATAGGTAATTTTAATGTATTATAAATCGTTCAGGTGGTATGACGAATAAAACAAAAAATGTCCGGCGTTTTAGCTTTTAGTTATTTTTCACTTAAAATTAAAACTATGTCAATAAAAATAATACGAAATCGTCGGAAATACAATTTTTAAAAACCTTGAAATATTTGCTATTTAATTTGTATTTCAAGAGTTTTAAACAAAAAAATGTTATAACACTATGTTTAGATTTGTTCGTATAAAATAACAAAAATACTCAACTTCAAGTGCTCGGGGGCACGGCTTAAACTTGAAAAATTGATTTCAAATTTTACAGATATTATTTTTTGGGGTATTAAAAACAAATGAGGGGGTGCTACAAACAATTGAAAACATCTATTTTTATGGGCCACCTAATGTATATATATACTGCTGTCCTAAGAAAAAACGCCGTAAATCGAAAAAAAAAAAAATGAGATTATACCATTTTACGTTTAATATTATAGTTTTACACGTTCTTCTTAAGTAAATATGGTTATTTATACAGAAATATGTGTTTATAAGAGAACAATATTGCCGCTATTGTAATAAAATATAATCCTTGCTGAGCAAAAACGCCGTAATCACAGTTTTCTAAGGAAGATTGTCGTATGTTTTATTTCAAATACGGCGTTGTTGTTTAGGAAACTGGTCATCGATTTAATCCGTATCTTATAATTTAATTTTAAACTAATGATTATGGTTTGGAATTTCGCTGTCGTATGCCACACACATTATTATATTTTGTTCAGTTATCGATGATTTCTTTCGTGAACATACTAAGTAAAATTTTTACTTTTGCAATTATGAATAATACACAAAATTAATTTGTTTATGACCCAAACATAACTGTTATTCCTGGTTCACCAGACTCATCAACTACAATAATTGCAGCAGACTTATTAGATGGAATTGAAGGACTTGATCATGGTAATATAATTAAAATATAACTTAAAATATTAGGTTATTATAATTTCTTTAGGAAAATATAGAACTGGGTGTATGTAATTTTTCAGATGATCATAAATCTATCATAAATATATCTGAATTACGTCAATACTTGAAATACATCAAGAACGATGAAGTAGAGCTTTTCACAAAATCCGGAGAAATTAGGAAAAGAAAAAAATATTTAAAAAACGTAGAAATGCGAAAAAAATTATAATTAGACTTAGGAAAAGATCGACATGGGGTGTTACCAGGCTGCAGAAAAAGTAGAATTCGTTGATAATTTATATAGTTTAACAACTTAATACCCCGACTAGGATTCCAACAGGTAACGAATTTGAATATATTATGCTGGAAAAATCCAACCCAACTAATAGTAATACAATTGAAACTTTAATTAGGTCTCAAATACCTATGTCTCATTTTTAGAAAGTGATTCACCATTACTGATGAACGTAATTTATACTTGGTTTAGGATAGTGATGGCAGGAATGAAGACGATGTTCTTAAGTAATTTAACTTTTTTGATGACAATAAACCAAAAATACTGAATTTTCTAAGTCAATGAGCAATAAGTAATAATATTACTACTACTACTAATAATAATAATAAATGTGGTTGTAAGTGGGTTTTATTACGATGCTCTAGCTCGGAGTTTTATATTAAAAATTAAGGGCTATACTGAATTTTATCCTTGTTCGAGGTATACTATTGAAAGTATATATTTAGAAAACATAATATGTTTTCCTAGGATAATTTTTAACAAAATGACACATTCCAATTTTTTTGAATCGTTCAAATAATAGATATCATACATCTAATCAATTACTGAAATATCACATTTAGATATCATTTATAATTTCCCATTAGATTATATGCATCTTGTATGCTAAGGTGTTATGAAAAAACTAATTTTATTGTTGATGGATAGTATAGAAAAGCACCTTTATCAGTTTGTTTATAAAATATAAAAGTACAAACTATTTCCAATAATCTTACTAAATTCATAAATCATTACAGATTTTTCAAGACCTCCTTCCCAGAAGTTTATATGAAGTACCTAGATAAAAAACCACAGAATATACATTATTTCCTTTGTATTAAGTATTACAAAGTATGCTTAACGAAGGTTGTTAATCTCATTGTATGTGTATACATATATGATTTAGAACTATTCTGACATCAAACATTGGAAGGGACCTAATATATTTTTGTGAAAAATTATTGGTATATTTTGTTGATAAATTTTGAAAATTATATGGGAAAAACGTTATATCACACAATGTTCATGAGTTGTTGCGTATTATAGATAATTACAATAAATATGATAGTTTTTACAACTGTTCTTGTTTTTCTTTTAAAAACTTTTTACAATTTTTAAAAAAATTTAAAAAACCTCTCGAACAAGTTATAAATCATTATACTGAATATTTGTCATTTTTTAAATTTAAAGGTTCTACTGCAAACAAAATATAGAATTTAAAAAGCCACATAATGAAGGACTACTTACCTACCATAAAGCAGAGCTCCAAAGTATAGGTCGCGATCATTTTAGTAGGTCACGTTTTATTTTTAAATAATACATTTTTTAGACTCTGGATGGAGCGAGAAATATATTGGTTTTAAAATGATATTTATTTTTTCTTTTTATCCATAAACAACGTCCTTCCAGAAATATTACTCCAATCTTCAAGTACCTTGTAGCACTTTTTTTAAAAAGGAAATCAGACTGAAGATGTACTCCAGAAAGGTAATTTTTTGATTTTCCCAAGAATTTTCTCAATATATTGTATAATCAGGGAAAACTGACGAAAAGCGGGAAAATGTAAGAAATGGAGGTATTAGTTAAAAAAAAATAACGTTATTTTTTAACTATAACCTACTTTACTAACAGCAATTTGCTCCTATTTAGAATGATGCTACTTTTTCTGAAAGGAAATCTGACTGATGTGGTACTTTAAGGATGTCATTTTTTGATTTTCCCAAGAGTTTTCCAATAAATCGGAAATACAGGAAAATGTGCGAAATTAGTTAAAAAATATTACGGACTTTTTTCCCCTGTGAATAAATTGTCTACCAGCAAATTGGATTTATACTTGCAAATGAGAGTATATGACTGAAAAAATCTCATGAATCATCCAGAAATGAAAATTAAAAACAAAAAAGGTCATTATTATTATTGTCACCAAAAATTTAAAAATTTAAAAATTAAAATTTTTTTTCAAATGGTCGTACCATAAAATGTCTGGAATTCTCTGCCATAGAATACTCCGATGTATTATACTATATGGTTTTCACTTTATTATGATTATTTTATCATTGATTATAAATACTATTAATAGTTCGTAACAATAATAATATATTATTTTCGAGATTATTTTATAATATTTTAATAATTTCAATATTTATTACTTATAATAAATAATAATTATCGTATGATAGAGGACTCCCAATAGTCAATTTTAATTTTACACATATATATTTAGCTTCGATCAGTCGTTTAGTTTGCTTTAAAGTAAGTACCAATATTTTTAGTTCAACCCGTCGTTGGTATCGCTATGACGTAATGTCTCACCCGAGATTCCACCATAGGTGTTGGATGAGCCCAGTGCTGTTTTTTTCATAATTATTAATTATATAATAATCATAAAATAATGAAACCAATACCAAATTATTTATATTTATTTTTACAAAAAAATGTTCTTATAATTTTTTCTCAAATTTCTCTTAATCATTAATGTTTTAAACAATACAAATTAAAAACTAAACTTTTTTAAAAAGCCATCTGTATCGTCCGAATCTTTTAAGTAATTAATTTTGTCCAATTATCTAAGCCACAAAATTAGACTATCGAGCATTTAAGAATAAAATAAATAAATTAAAAATACATTTAGCACACATTTAGAAAATATATAAGATAAATTAAATATTTTTAATATGTTTAGGAATGGACAATTAAAAGTCATAAACAAAGAATTGTGGGTTCGTTGGATTCAAGTGACCCGTTTTTTGAAGCAGAAATTTATTTGAAAGCCTCACTTCCTTTAGCAATGAAATAATTTTTATCATGAATGGATATGATAATTTACTTTTTATTGGTAACATAAAAGAAAAAGATATAACAAAAATTAACATTTTTACAAGAGATACTCTTAATGAAGTTATTGATGAACAGGAACAAAGTCTTAACTACGGCATTTTTAAGAGCAATATTTTAAAATTTAAATTTCTCAACGGCTACAAGAAGCAATTATAAATGGTGATTGATTATTATAAATTACAAAGTAAAAAACGAAACCGTTAACAATATCTGAAAATCCGTTTGAACATAAAAGTAAGAAAAAAATGCCAACAAAAAATACCTCGAAAAATACAGGTACAGATTTGTAATAGTCTACTATTGAATTAAATACTAAGCAAAGGATGCACATATTTAATGTTAATCTTGCGGGAGAAAAAAATTCAATTGTTAGAAATATCAAGCACCGAAGTTGGTGTCAATTTCCTGTCAATTAATATCGGTTTCATTATTAAGCAATAAAGACGAATTAAAAGATAAAAGTAAAAGATATGAAGAGTGAACTAATAATATGCAAGCTATAATTACATGTTTTTGTGAGAGTAGAACAAAAGTGGTTAAAATTATTTCAGAAGGAAAGACAAATAAAAAATTATAAGAAATTACTATCGTCATTTAAATACCCATTTATATTCTAAAGTATAAAATAATAAGTTTAAAACAATGCATAAAAACAACAATTCTTTAAAAAAATGTTTTTACTGGTCTATCAACATATAAATTAGGTTGTGATACCTGAGTCACCTATGATCGAGCCTATATTAAAATCAACATCAAAAGAAACATCTGACGAAATAATTTCTGATTTACATTCTATGAATGAATGTGTAACAGTGAACAATACTCGGAACAATCACAAATAGAAAAATTCCAAGTATAGTCGGACAGAAAGAAATAAGCGAGCAAGGGAAAAAAGTTTAATTTAAGACACCGGAGGCCAGTTATTAATTACAAACTTTTATAAATTGGACTACTGGACTATTAGATAATAGTATAAACGGATCAGTCAAAATCAGTTCATGAACAATAGCAAAAAAAATACTGTGTTATCCACTAAAGCTTATACCAACAAACCAACTCAAGTAAAAAAAAGTATAGACAATCAAAATAAATCTGTCAAAAAAATTACAATAGAAAATGGTAGTTCATCAGAAGATGAACCTTTAAATATCATACTGTGAGATGATAAATTATCTGATTTAAATGATAGTTTGACAGATGATAGTTTAAAGATGAAGTTGAATACCAGACACTAATTTGGGCAAGTATAAATTCGGGTATGTATTTATTAGTACAATGTGTCGGAAGTGGTTCTATAATTTGTCGTAAAAAATCAAGGTTTTCATATATATGCTGTATGACCAGGGTTGATAATAAAAATTAGTAAATAAATGTTCAACATAAGGAAAAAAAAAACATTAGGATTAAATGGAAAAACTCAGTTTTGTATTAAAGATAATGATATTTCAAACATAAATCTTGAAATAGTAATAGTTATACTTCTAGAGCCCACATTTTATCATAAATCAAGAAAGCTGGTATATGAATGTCCAGGGTTTTTAAGTATTCAGGAAATGTAATTTATTAAATTTATTTGCTACATTGTTATTCCTAAATATTAATTAAATTTATATAAACTAATGAAATCTTATTATACATTATTTAAACTTGGTATTTAAAATGAAATTGAAAGTCTAATAAGTTAATGTACCTAGTCTTAGTCATTGAACTAGTTTTAACATTATTAATTTAAGTTTGATATTATTTTAAATGGACACTAATAAAATGTTATTATATAAACAAGAAATAATTAATTTTTTAATTATCTTATTTTATTTTCCAATGAAATTAAATGTTTTGACATTATAGGTGCCAGTGTTGATGTATTATTATTTGATATCAATAGAAACCTTTGAGATTGTTTTCTGTTGTTTTTCTTTTCTACAGGACAATTTTTTTTTGAAAAGCTGAAAGTTTATCTGTAGCAGTTATAATATTTTATCACAGCCTTGGATGTATTGTATATTAACACTATTGATATAATTGAATATATTTGAATGATTAAGCTATCGAGTGTGGTATTGTTTTTTTGAGCAATTAATTCCGCAATTTTATAAAAAGCAATTTGAATATTTCTAAGACACCCTTTGTGTTTTTTTTTTCTTTTGAAAACGTGTTTTTTAACGTTTAATTTTGTTGTGAAAATTATTATTAAAAAAGTATTGGAAGTTTGAAGTTTATCGTTAGTACGGTTTTACGGTTTTAACTTAAATACCTATTTCTTTTACAATTATTCATTTAGAATTAACACCTTAGCCGTGGGAACGGTGGTATCGAGTTCGATACCATCCAATGCGCAGTTAAATTTTGCACTTTTTTTCAGCAAAAAAGCATTTTGGGTGGACCTAGAGACCTAGCGCGGTCACTCAGACTATTTAAATCGAAAATAACCCTCGATTTGTTGTGCAAAACTACGTCAGGTAGGTAACGTACAGGGAAAAAAAATCAATTAGGGGTGAACCTTGCAGCAAAATAAAAATGTTTAAATCACATACTGAACTTGGTCTCTTTTTTTTTACAAAAAAAGTGCAAAAATGTACTGAACACTGGATATTATCGAACTCGATACCACAGTTCCTACAGATAACGTGTTACCCATTGCACCACGGTTAATTCTAAATGAATAGATAGATAGGTATTTAAGCTAAAACCATATTAACGACGAACTTTAAACTTCCATTACTTTTTTAATAATGATTTCTGTAAAAAAATTCAATTAGTTCTAAAACCAGCGTCAAAAAACACATGTCTTCTAAAAAAAAAAAGGGGTTTCCGGTAAAGTAGACTTATACTATAATTCCAATCATTTGATTCAAGGTGACCATGGTTGATGGTTTGTACATAAGTATCGTTTTAATTTCCTTGGAATCACTGAACTGTTAGAAAGTTTTTCACTAGTTGTTATACAATACATAATGGAAGAAGCTCCTCTTCATTTTCCGTCCAAAATAAACCCGAAACTTAAATAATTTTTACCGTACTTACATATAATTTTAGATTTTTTTACCGAATAAATTATAATACTTAAATTCTCTTTATTCTCGATATGTCGTTTGAAAATAATAATTTTATCCATTGTATTGAATATACGTATTTATTTTAATAAACTATTAATTTTAACCACGGCCGTTTCAAAACACTGACGTCCAACAGCTAATAGTTGTTCATTTGTTTATAATATTTTACCTAGACTGTTTAACGATAAATTAAATAATCATTATTGATAACGAAAATTAAGTACTGGGAAATTTCTATTCTTAATAATATACCATACGCGTGTCTGGTCACGGCGCACTAACATCGGTTGAAAACCACTGCCTGAGAAAATAAACTAAAGACCGTTCAAGATTTTAACAGAATTATTTTATTAAGATTTTGCTGTTTATTATTTTGCAGGTCAAGATTTTTCCGGAATTATTTTTTTTTAAGATTTTTTCGTTCAAACTAACTAAAATTACCCGGAACATCTTAAATAATTACGAAATATAGCTTAAATATATTACAAATTCCAACTACATCTGACCGTATAATATTAATACAATAAATGATAACTCGAAAATTTAATATTTACCTACGCATGCGCAGAACAATTAAATTCACTCATAGACAGTTGTTTTTGGAATCACTGTTAATCAGTTGAAATAAAACTGCCGTTTTTTTGCAAATGTTAATCGAATGTTGTAAGACTAGATTACTGTAACTAAAACTCAACCGTTGACGTTAAGGTTGCATAATCAATGGTTTTACGGACACTTCATCAGACATTGTAAGAATGAGCCTAAAGAATTTATATTATTATCTCATACGATCCAAACACCTATCCGGACATTTTTTTGAAAACACACACGTTTCCTTTCACCGAACACCATGGTTGTGCCACTATTTATATAGTACAAAAATATAATTTTTTTTTTTATTACAACAATTATGACTTTAAGAATTTTAAAATTAATTTTTGCAATAGATATATTAAGTATACAATAAAACAATTTACCTTAGACGACTTTCGTGTCTTTTGAAGGTTTTCTGCAGTAGTTTTTTCTGTATTCATTCATGTAACGTATTTTAGACTTCAATACTTCTTCGCTAATGAATTCTGTAATTACCTAGAACACAGTTATTCACCTAAACAAATTTGCTATTGTTACGGTATGTGTGAAATGTGTATTTTCTGATTATATCTGTATTTTTAACAATAGACAAAACTATATTATATAAATAAGTATAGTAACTATAGTATATAAATAACTATGGTAACTATAATAACTATATAGTATAGTATTATTATTATTACAGTATCTTTATATAATGTTATGTAAATATAAAATATAGTAATAATCAAATGCAAGTTAGTCAACTAGTTAAAGTTAAATTACTTTAATATAAAACTAATAAAGTTAGAAAAGAAGTTAATTTTTAAAATTTCCTAAAATTATAATTATTTAGAAGTTAGTTGATGAAAATAAGTAACTTTAGAATAAAAGTAACAAGTTAGTTTTTTTAAAAATTTTAAAACCAGGAACTAAATTATTACTAATAAATAATAATATGTTGTATATGTCTGTAGGTGGAACATACTGGACGTATCATTCATATAGTGCATATACGAGCTATACAGGACATGGACCGGAACCTTAAAAGATTGGTTAAAGATCGAAACTTTTTGAAAACCACAAAACCGTAACCTGACTAGAATGATAATTTTTAATAATTTACCTTATTTTAATGTAGAGGTATTTTCGGTTCTAAATTCAAAATGTATAGTTTATATATTTAAAACAAATATTAATGATAATAATTAGTATAAAATCGTAGATTCGTTCACCGGTAATAAACACCTCCGTAAATCATCTTCTCGTAGTCTTATGAATGTACTGATTCCGAGCAATCGTATTCCCGTACATTCTTCGAATTACTATTAATGGTTATAAGTTTTTATGTGTACAGATTTCCTACAGTTATTATATTATGCATTGTATACGTAAAACAATTTTGTATTGTGTAATAATATTTTCTTTTATCGGTGAAACCGACCGAGGAAGAACATTAAAAACTAGTTTTGCGAAGACGCATATTTACTATGCTGTTATCACTCTACAGATTCAACATAATAAAGAAAATAATTTTATCTGTGTTCCAGCATTTTTATTTTTCTGAAAAATACATGTATTTTTTTTCATTGTAGTCCTTGTATTTTAAGTCCCCGTATATGAGTCTCAAACTATGTTTTCGGTAAATTTCGATTGATATGTGCTGCTACCGTGACTAGCGGCAGTATTCGGTTACTTCATACTCCCACCGCTGTAGTAGTTATTACATATTATTCTATTACCTTCGTCGACGTTCGCGAGCTTTGCATGCTAAAATGCGCGTATAGGCGCGGTACATTTATATTATTTCCATTATTTATCTATAGTTTTAATTGTGACAGACATCGAGATGTATGTACAATATAGTGTATATACACATATAGTACGGTATAGTATATTGATAACGTAACTACTATCGAGATGTATATTATATTTTATTAAATTTGCCGAATTTGATGATCTCTGATTTGTTTGATTCGTCTCCACCTCGGATAGCAGAATAATTATTAAAATATCGGAAAGATTCAAATCAAAAAATAGGGATTTTAGATATATTTGGTACGAATATCTAATTGCCTATTTATTTATTTTTATTTATTCAAGGGGTACCACGAAAAAGAAAACTATTATTATTATTATTATTACTATTATTTACACTATGGCCTAAGAATGTGGATACTATAGACAGGTCAATTGCTGAAAAGCTGTTGTTGATTGAATTATGTCTTGTTGGGTTGCCGTCGTTGAGGAGGATTATCGAGTCATCTTATAAGAGTTTCTCGACTGTTCTCCCTCGTCTGTCTGTGTAATAGGATCCCCAGATAATATTTCTAAAAGTTGAAATCACCATTAATGGGTGTGAGAGTTGTGAGATAAGATTTTTGAGATCCGAAAGTGTAAGCCCTGTGCTGTCTAGTGCATATACGTTGCAAATGGATAATTTAGTAATGTAATTTGTTTTGATGAATATGGCGATGGCTTCGAGTGGAGTAGTGAGAGGAATCTGTTCATGCTCTGTTGATGATGATACAAAGATGCCGACTCCCCCACTAGCTCTTCCTAGGGGATCTTGGTTCTTGAAATATCCATGATAATTTTTGAGTTTTGGTTTTTTGTGTTGGTTTTTAAGGTTTGTTTCCTGGATGCAAAGCGCCAGAAGATGGAGGTTAGCAATTATACGGTGAATGTCAGGTAGTTTTTTATAATAGCTATTTATATTCCATTGTACTATTGTTTCTAAGGGTGCCAGTTTGTCTTGTGCATTGTAGGTGGGTGGTATGTGGTTTTGATTTTGCGTGTTATTGGTCATTGTATTATTATTCATTAGTTAAGTTCTTGATATTTGGTGTTTATTGCGATAGTAGGGTTTGGAAAAGTAGGTTTGCCAACTTGGTGAGACAGGGTTTTATAGAGCGGTTGGTAACGAATGGTCGGATTTCTTCTATTAAATTTATGATTGTACCTGCGTCTGTGTTGGTTTCTTCAATCAGTGAGTGAATGCTTATTGATTTTGTTGTGAAGTTTTCAATTATGTGTTTAAATTGACAAAAGGAAATGGATGTGTTGGAGTTATCTTAAAAGAAGTTATTAAGTCCCTCATCCGGTCCGTCAGCCATACGTGTGGAGGAGTTAAAGTGAGAACGAATTTTGATTTTTTTAATGGTTTTTGTGTTTTCACGTTTCTGGGGTGTCAGAGTAAAATTGGTGGACGATGGGGGTGACTTCGAAGAAGATGTTTCAGACATAAGTCGTTTGTGGATTGCATTTGGAATTTGAGTATGAGTTTTTTCTTCATTAATTTTAGTGTTAGGAATCTGGAGGTAAAAAGACGAGACGGAGTTGGATGGTGAGAGTACTGTATTAGGTGGTTCTTCAATGTGAACTGATTCCATGTTTTCTGCTGCATTGGATTGGATGTTGTTTGGTGTTTCTTTAGGGATAGTGTTTGTAATTATTTGTGAGTCAGAGGTGTTATTTGGAAATTGAGTAGCAGGTAAGCGTGTCATCAGTGAGAAACACCCAATAGTCAGTGTCTTCGAAATTGATTACGAGTGAACCGGGTAGTTTTGATATATCCTCGTAAGGGATATGGGTCTGTCTTCGAAAACTTATTATGTGGGACAAGTCATCTGTTGTAAAACCGGCTTTTAAGAAGTTGATTGGTGTGAGTATTTTGATGCCCATGTTGTTTAACGCATTAGTGATGTATGAGTGTGGAATTATGGGCGAGACATTAGAGATAATTACTCGTTTTGATTGGTTTTCTAATTTGCGGATTGGAATGGTGAAGTTGTTAACAGTAATAGACGGGTTGGAGTTCATAATATCGTTGACGATATTTTTGTTTGCAAAATAGACGCAAAAACGATTGTTAGACATTCTGAAAGCAAATTTTATGTTAGCCGAGTTAGTTATGGAACTCAGGGCTTTGATATACTTTATTTGTGGAGTGCCGTCGATTGAATTGAATATAATCGCCGGGTCCTTCTTAGGAAAACAAAAATGTACAGTCGTTTCGGCAAATTTTTTTTGTGTATGATTAGCATTTGGAGAGCTAGTAGTGGTATTTGTGTCTGTAGGAGTTGGAATAGATGTGTTTATTATATTGGTTGATGCATTTTTTGGTTAGATTTTGGTTTTTGGAATATTTGATGTGAGAATATTATGGTTTGATTTAGTAGTGAGGTTTGTTTGTGAACGTTTTAAATATGGAAAAGTGGGTTTTGCGGGTGCATTATCGCTCATCGTAGCGATAACGCAACGACCGTAGTCGAAATGATCATGTAAGTTGTTATACTCCTAACATATACATTACCGAACTTCCGCGACACAGCGTTCACGATGGGTACTGCTATCGGAAGCTAAATCAAGACGGCGCGCGATTACAACACGTGTGGTCGCAACAGTGTCCAAACACGGACTACCCATTCTAATTTGTCTGAAGAGTATTGTAGATTATCGTAAAAAGTTAGAGCGCGGCCCTCCAAGAAGACAACAATAAATTGAGTTTTATCTGTTTCAGACCAATCATTTATAAATGCCGCCCTATTGTATTTTTTTAAAAAGGTATCTATGTTTTCTGATATGGCCCCCGAAAAATTACCCGGTTTTAAATACGGTCTTTTATTATCACTCATTGTGGAATTTATTTTTACTTTATCTATTTTGTTTAAAGATTCTGGTGCAATGACACAATTATTTTTAGGTTTTTCACTCATAAACTCTTCTGGATTATTTTCTCTTCTCAAATATCTAAGTAGCCTCGCTTATAAATCGGCTACCAGCCCTGTTGTTATTAAATTTCGACGAGATAATTCAATAATTAATTTGTCTTTAGTTAATTTATGAACCCAAGTTGTGGATATAGCTGTAAAATCTATAATGGGAAGTTTTATATTGTTCTGATTATCCTTTTCCAATTCAGACATGTGAGGATTTTTGTTATTTTAGTACGTGTTTTTCCCGTTTTTCCCGTTACCTATTTATATGTGAACCTAAATGTTTTATTTATTCGAGAATTATGAGCGATAAGAAAAAATTTTTTCTTTCTTTTTTTTTTAGTTAATATTTATTGTATAAAGGTTTAAACTAACTGACTGCCTATTGATTATTATTATTATTTTCTTTAAATATAACTATAACTACACGAATAATCTGTGTCTTGTTAAATATTTTATATATATTTTTTTTCTAGTTTTATTAAATGTTTCTATTTTAATACAAATAAGAGTTTCCCTTTACGGAGTAAATTGTCTCTTAGGTTTCATAAATTATTTATAATTAAATGCAAATGATATATAATTTTCTGTGCTTATAAATAATTTTTTTATAACAATAGTTATTAACCTCTTTGGACTTAATTGTCTCTTTAGGGTTTTATATTTTTTTGTTAATTAAATAAAATAATAAAAACAATAATTTACCTCTTTGGACTTAATCGTCTTTTAAGGTTTAAAATTTTGTTTTATAAATAAAATGATAAAAATAATAATTTACCTCTATGGACTTAATAGTCTCTTCGGGTTTTATATATAATATTAATATTGTTATTTATTTCTTTATCTATATGTATAATTTTATTATTTTTTTTTTTAAATATTGTTTCTTTTCTTATATTTTTGGGTCTGATTTAATTATTTTTACATTATTTAATTCTTTATATGGTAATAAATTTTCGTTATTCTAGAATTATCATCTAAATTGAATAATAAATAGAAATATATTTTTCTAAAAATGTATGACGTATAGTGCTATAGCACTAAAATAATGGATCAGTACAAGAACAAGAACCCCATGTAAATCAGAGTGAAAATGCTGACCAAAAGATTGACCAAACCACTTTTAGAAGTAGGTGCTTACTAGTATTAAAATACATCCACAACAATTGAAGCTTTTTTATTATATTTAAAAAACTCGAAACTACAAAAGCAACAAAATTGCAGTCAATTCATTGTTCTATTTGTGATCAATATAATTTGTTTTTTCATAGGTGCGACTGTAGAATATTTAATTGATAAATCGAATTTAGAATTGTCTTACCCTACCGACCGAGGACATTTTAATGAAGATGTATCAGATTCTCTTAAAAGAGCATTTTATTATTTGGTTCATGTAAACCTTCAATTGAATTTGAGAGGGATCATAAAAATAGATCTTTTTCATTGAGCTATTATAATATGATTACTAAGACTGGTTCCAAAATTCCACGTTCTTGACTATGTTATTCTGTAATTTAAAAAAAAGCTTATTTGTGAGTCATGTTGGTTATTTGCAAACAGAAATAGTTCAAACTACAGATCTGAATGGATATCTGGTATAGATGATTGGCAACATTTATTACATTTAATGACTCGTCATGAAAAATCTCTACAACATATTAAAACCACAACAGTAAGAGGAAATTAGGTTAAAAATACTGCAATTGATAAAAGTATAGAACAACATATATCTAAAGAAGCTGAATATTGGCGAAATATTCTAAGTCGCATTATAAAAGTTCTATTAACCCTCACAGCAGGAAACACTGCTTTGGGGGGGAATGAAGGTAAGAAAAGCGATTTTAAGCCTGAGGAGCTTGAAGGTAATTTTATGCGAACAATTCGTCTTTTAGCCGATTTTGACCCATTACTTTATGAACTTTTAAATGATTCTATCAAACATATTAAATATTTAAGTTGGAAAGTTCAAAATGAATTGATCGACATTTTATCTGAAAACTTATGTCATATCATATGTGAAGAAATAATTAGTTGTTCCTTCTTCTCAATCAACTCAAGACATAACAAAAATCGACCAAGTGAGTGTCATTACACGATATGTGATTGTTGACTATGAAACACATACAATAAATATTAAAGAATCATTTTTAAGATTTTATGCTTTAGAACACCATGAATCAATGGATTATGCGCATTTGATACAAAATGTTTTACACAAACATAATATAAAAATTCAAAACTGTAGAGGACAAGGGTATGACGGAACATCGGTTATGAGTGGTCAATACTCAGGAGTCCAAAAGAGAATAAATTATACTGTTCCAACTGCATCATTTGTCCACTGCTATGCCCACAACTTAATCTTCGTGATATCTGATGCCTCTAAAATTTCACCAAGCATATCAACATTTTTTGAAACTCTACAGAATGTTTTTAATTTCTTTAGCTCAAGTGGCCCAAGANTCTGATATGAGTAAAGCACTTAAAAATAAGAAATAATCAAGTAAATTTGTATTAATTTTATTTATTTGGGAATATATTTTAAGATATTTAAATACTGTATCTAAGATTTTACAAAGTACGGATATTTCATTAGAAAATGCATCTATGCTTCTAGATAAAGCTATTCAAAATATGCAACATTTACGAAATTACTACAGCACAATATATTTGGAATCAAAACGATTATGCGATGAATGGGAATTGTTATTTCTTTCCATTCTTCGAGACCTAAATTTTGTAAAAGAGTATTTGGAGAGGTTGACGATGATCGCAGATTTGATATTTCTAAAGATACATTTAGGATTAAGGTATTTTTATCAGTTATAGATTGTATAATATTTAAGCTCAAAGAACGGTTTAATGGAATGAAAGATGTTTCTGATCGTTTCACATTTTTAAGCCCGAAATCAATTTTGAACTATGGCCAGTCTTCCCTAATTAAGTCTACATATAACTTTATTCAATTTTATAAAGATGATGTAACTTCAGATTTCACGCGGCAAATTTTATGCCTAAAAGCAAACATTTTATCTCAAAATCTAAAAATTATTAAAGATCTATGTGTATTTATTATTGAAATGGATTTTTCTATAAGTTATCCAGATGTATTATCAGCATGTATTTTATTTTTAACTTTACCGATAACAGTCGCGTCTGCAGAACGCAGCTTTTCTAAGCTTAAATTAATAAAAAATTATCTTCGGAATTCTTCTTGTCAAAATCGACTAAAAAATATAAGTATTTTGAATATTGAAAGTAAACGAACCGCGGAACTCAATATTGACAAGATAATAACAGACTTTGCCAACGCAAAAGCCAGAAAAAAAAACTTTTTGAAATAAAATAAATTAAATGTATTACTTTCTTAATTATTATACCTGAAAATTAAATCTACAAAAATATAATTACGTTGTTTAATTTATAGAAAACAATTTTCAAATTGGTTTTGGTANGGAACTCAATATTGACAAGATAATAACAGACTTTGCCAACGCAAAAGCCAGAAAAAAAAAACTTTTTGAAATAAAATAAATTAAATGTATTACTTTCTTAATTATTATACCTGAAAATTAAATCTACAAAAATATAATTATGTTGTGTTTAATTTATAGAAAACATTTTTCAAATTGGTTTTGGTATACATTTTTATATTAATAATATAATAACTATATATATTTAATAATAAGGTACAAGTTAAAATATTATAAAAGTAATGATTAATTGCTGTAATAATACAAAAATAAAAATAAAATTATAATATTAATTTGGAGCCTCTAAACAAATTTTGCACACGGTTCTCAGAGTTAATAATTGCGGCACTGCGTATGGGTGCACCGTGCACGTATGTAACGAACTAATTACTTTTAAAAGTTACTGTCTTTTTCTTAGGACCGCTATAGACGTACAATAATTTTGGAGAGATATTCTCATTAACAAGTAATAACTCAATTGTCTGAAGTACTACGACATTAAAAAATGTTTATATTGTTGTGAAGACAAGCGTTAAATAATCATAACCATAATTTTTAGTGTATAAAAACATGTATAGGTTGATTATTACACATTAGACGGGTTTTTATCCTAATGTATATACTAATGTTTAGTGATTTAAAAATACCACTATCGACTATTTCTATTCAGGGTATATTCTTATCTGTGAACACTGATTTGTAAATTATAATGCCCATTTAGGCTGTATTATTAGTTTTCAGTTAGGTAGGTAGGAATCCTTAGGTAGTGAGTTTGATCCACTCCCCCCCCCCCAGGGAGTTTTTAGAAAATGTACTGAATACTGTAACACTCGTCCTCTGTATAGAATCTCTGTTGCAGTTTCAATATCTTGTATTGTAGTAGATAAAGATAAAATGCCATGATGATTTAGTAAACAAAAAATTAAAAAACAAAGCTTAATCAAGTAAAATAAATAAATTCATTATCAAAATAAAATTCTTGAAAAAATGTATATTTTGTTAAAACTATAATGTTACGCATTTATGACTTTCTATACACGCAGTATGATCAGTCTTCATTAAATAAATGATCATCTTCATTCAGTAAATCATCTTTATTATTAAATATGCAAGCCATCTTAACAATATTTCTTCCATTATTACAAGTTATAGAATATACTTGTTGATTATTAATATCGTACTTCTCTAAAAGTATTCATAAGCTGTATAGAAAAATGAATATGTATAATAATGACATATTTATAATGATATGATATGATGATATTTAATTGATTAACTTTAAAGTATTGTACATTTATACTAATGATTGATCAATTAAACCTGGTAGTAATACAATCAACCTTTAATGAAATCAATTTTTTGTAAATATCAACTTTGATTGATTTTATTAATGTTTTAGAATATTCTTTCACATGCTCTCTTATATTTCTCAAGTTGATCATAAAAACCTATAATTTGAATAACATCATGTTTAGTTTTTTACAATTAGGACCTGAACTGAAATTAATTCTTTAACTCATTTTATTCAACATTTCAATTAAAAACATAAGATTTGTTACTCATATGAAAACCATAATAATCCATTTGAGTTTTAATAGGTAAATATTGTTAACTATGTACAAAAACCATTGAAAAATCTACATACATTTACCGAGAGATGTCCTAGGTGCACCTATGCTTATAAGTTATAACATAGGTATAATTATTCAAAATATTATTTTTCCTTCTTAATCATCTTATAATAATACAATTAAATTGAATTATTTTATAAAAGAAATTCTTATCTCCACCTATAGCGTCCGAAAAGGGTCCATAATCATTTTGAATTCGGTATCATCCATTACTTTAAAAGGTCTTTCATTGATTGTGACTAATTGTACATAGGTATCAATTACTTTTTGTTTATTTAACGCGACATTTGATAACATTTTTTTTTCTGTTAATACAATCATATTGTTTAGTGGCCATTTCTGAAATGTGGGTATTGCTGAAATAGGTACAAATAATGAAAAAATGAATAAGTTGGATATATATAGAATAATTATAATTAATAGTTTGTAATCATATCCATATATAATAACTCAACTAGTCAGTTAAACCTAGGAAGACACCTTTTAATATTGATTATTTAATTTCAATTCACTTAGTCTCTTTAAATATTTTAACAATAAAGAAAATAAAGGTATATATATTTGAAACGATTCTACCTTAGGGCACAGGCGATTTTTCGGAATTTTTTTCCAAAATGTGTGTTTTTTATACTCAATTTAATGCTGCTTTAAAAAAAATTTTGATCAAACTTCGTTCGGAAGTTATGGTCAAAAAACTTCAGAATTTTAGGTTTTTCAAAAAATCTTTTTTTATGTTTAAAATATCAAAACTTAATATTTGTTTTTAATTTGTTAGTATTTTTATGGTGAAATCAGAATTTAACAATCATATTTGCTTTTTCTTTTAATGTTAATAAACCATGTAAAAATTAATTATAAAGTTATTTCAAACATTTACATATTAAAGTAACTCAAAATTGACTTTTTGGACTCGAAGTTATAGCTATTTAAAGTTGGTAAAAAATGTGCATCGTCTTAAATAGCATATTATATTTACGATTAAGCATTATTTTTTAACAACATTAATTAAATTCATCTTCTGACTCATCTGAATTTGAACAATCAGAATATTCAGCAACTTTTTGCCTTGCTCCAGAAGGCTGTACACTGTAAAAGCAAGACGAAAAATTCCCTCGACATTGTTAGTTTACGTGCCAGTTTTAGAATTTTTAAAATGTATAGAGTGATTTACTGTCAAGTGTTAATATCGATTATCTTCTACACAATTGAGCTCTAAAATTAAATGGCATGTTAAAAAAACGTATTTAAATTTATAATATTGTAAACTTACTTTCTAATAATCACTTATTATTTTTTTTTCCTGCAAAATCACTATTTTATTAAGGCCAACAACGTTTCTATGTCATGTTGTTCAACAGGAACTAAGAAACATTGCCCAGTGTCCCGTTCTACGCCACCAAATATCCACTGACCTTCGCACACGATGGCCTCTATGGTATTTCCTTCCACCTAATTTCGGCTCATCTATCTTTACGATTTTCTCTTCACCAACTATGAAAATAATAGTTTGAAATTAAAAAGTCACCTAAAGTAATCTACCTAACCCCTGCAATTAGTGGCGAAGCATCATAGTAGACAAGGAGACAATACTTCACACATAGAAATTAGAACACGGGACAAATGATTTTGTTTTATAAAATATTTTATAAATTAAAACGTCATTTATATGTATTATAAATATGATGTATGTTTTAATATTTTGTTAAAATCGGTTTTTCGTTGTACAATTGTCAGTTATATAATTCTGAAAATAGATTGCTGATAACTGATTAGATGTGCACTGTAGGTACGGCCGTGCGTACGAGCTGGCGATGCGGTCATTCTAAATATGGCATTCTGTCAAATACTAATCGCAATTAAAGGCGTGTGGGTACAGGGGGAATTTTAATGTGAGTGGGGATTACTATCTAAGCTATGAGACGCGTCGCACCGTTCGTATTACCGCAGTTTTCAATAATATCGACGGCGACCGTCATGTTGTCATGCCATTGTGCGCTTTTTCAACGTCTCTCCAACCAAAAACGCACGCCTCGCCACTGCCTATAATTATTTAAGTTATACATACCGATTTTTTCGTGTCGTAGAATCATTCCATAGTATACAACTTTCCGATGAAAAGAAGCCAATCAACGGACGTCTTTCGAGCTATGTTAACTTGTTTTCGAATAAATTCAAGTGGCACTTGCTCTGTCCATAAATATGAAAACATAACAATTTGGTAGATGGAAAGTTGAGAATTGAAGAAAAAAGTAAATTTTCGAATAGATTGTTTGTGAATAGATTGTGATCGCACTTCACTTTTTTTTATAATCATTAATCGAGTTTTGTCTGCACCGCCAGACCAAACCATTTAGTGTTTACTTTAGAAAACAATAATGAAAAATAACCTTATTGCATTTTATTATATTGTTATTTGAAATAATACGCAAAGACTGTACGTTCCTTACGCTCAAAATGTTCAAACATTTTGACGATATTCAACATAACTAATTTCATTTGTGTAATTCGTATATTTAATAACAACTGTGTTACACAAACTATGTTAAAAATCGCTATAAACTATATGAGATAGGTACATATCGAATGTCAATAAAAATATTCACCATTATACCTAGTTGAAGATTATACCACTGAAGATAAGTGATATAATTTGTGATTATTTAGTATTTAGTATCGTTCATTTGTTCAACAACGAACCACACAATCGAATCTGGTAATTAATATTTTATATTATTGTTTATATTATTAATTATATTATTTTATATGTTTATCATAACTATAAAATAATCACGGCACGATAGTTATAAATAGGGCTAGGATTTTTATGCAATAAAAAATGATTAAATATGCATTTGGTTTATTAAAAATATGCATTTGGTTTATTAAAAATATGCAATAAAAATAATCTTAAATAAACCAATTAATAAAATTAAATATGTTAAACGCAAAAATATATGATGAAATAAATCCTTAAAATATAAAAAACATTTTAAAAATATTTCTAAAATATTAATTGATATAAAATTGATAAAGCTACTCAAATAAATTACATGATGTTTTAAATTTTCAAAAATGATCGATTTTCTGTTTGACCTTAGTATGTTTTTATATTTGCTAAAACTCCGTTCGACATCACACGACGTAATTTTTGCATATCTAAATTTTGTTACTTCCCCAGGAGTTAAATTTGGAAAATCTTCATCTAGATTGTTGTCATTTAAAATATTACGTATCGTAAACATAGCTTTTAGCCCGCTATTTTTTTCTAACACATTTTTATATATTTGTCGAATTTTTCAGCGATCGGTCCTATGTTTTGGCTAAATTTAGATTTAGTGTTTTCAACGATTTCCTAATTCTCATCGAGTAAAAATTATGCATTTTCTAATTTCAAAGTAGATTGAGTGATAAAACCAAAATTACTTTTTATATAAGCTAAATCATTTTGTATATTTCTATTTTAAAATAAAGCTATAGCATTCTTTATCGATTTCGCAGTATTTTCGTCTAAAGACAAAAGCACCGATTTTATGGAATTGAAATTATCAGCATAATATGATGCGGCTCCTAGCCAAGTTCCCCATCGGGTAAGTATTGGCTGTGGAGGCAAAGGTAATTCTGGAAATAATTCTCGAAATTTCAACACACGACTCGGAGTTTTTAAAAATACTTTTTTCACACAATTTATCATATTATCGATTTTCGGATACTCAAGTCTTATTGTTTCACACTGTGGGCTACACATGTCAAATGTATCATATTTGGAAATAATACAGTTAGTGTATTAGCCGTTTTCATCATGTATGGTGCAGCGTCAGTCAAAAATAAAAAAACTTTATTATATTTAATGTCGTTGGGCCAAAGTATATTTAAAGCATCGTGAAATAATTTCCCTACTGTTTGATAATTGCACTTTGAAAGTTCCTCGCAAGTCAATAAATACGACTTAGAACNATAAGACCAAGTATAACATTAGCTACGTACCTTCCGTCAACGTCTGTAGTTTCATCAATTGAAACATAAATGGGGCCCTCACCAATTTCTTTACGAATACGGTCAATTATTTCATTGTAAAATAACTGATATACATTTGTTTCGTATTGTAGATTGATCCGGAATATGTTTACCAGTATACTTTTGCAAAAATGTATTAAAAGTTGTATTATGCAATTTCCATAAAGGGATATCAGAATCTAAAAATGCACGACATAAATCGTTCGAAAATTCTGAGTTCTGATCTTTAAATGAGTCTTCAATAAATATTTGTTTCATTTTTTCTTTTATTGTTGAATTACTGAGGTGTTTTGCTGTACTTAAATGCTGAGTTACTAGAAAGTGCTTATTTGATGGGACTGTCTGGTCACAAATATTGCAAAGTAGTGTTTTACCATCGGTTTTAAAACCTGTACTAGAAAACTCTTCGACATACTGTCGAAGTTTTGCAGAAGTATTTTATGTTCTTGGCATTTTATAATTGAATGTAAGTATGTAACGAAACCAATACAGTTCGCAAATAACACGGCAACGTATCACACGATTTACGACGATGACTGTCAAAACACAAACTAACTTTTAGCTGTATGCCTGTATGCTTTTATCCTTTAAGCGTACAAGTATATGACAGTAAGATAAGATAAGATAAAATTACATTTGGATATTTTTGTACGGCGATGAAATGAATTGTAACGAAATATACTATAAAACATGCACTTTTTGTATTTTTGTAGTCAAAATGTATACAAATATTCATTTTGTTCAAAATATGCAAAAATATGACAAATAAAAATACCACCATTTACCTCAGCAAGAGCTAATTCGTGGACATTACTTAAAAAATAAGTAATCAGAAGTTGCAAAACAAATATACCAATGAATATAAATCCTAACCCTAGTTATAAATATAGAGAATTCGTTCTATATTTATATCAGTAACTATATATGTATACTCGTATATGTATATGCAATGATGTACTATTTATAACGACATTAATTAGAATCAGCTATATTATTATTATTTATTTTACCAATTGTCTGACCAGAGATTGTTGCCATTCTTAGGTGACAAGTTTGAGAGATGATTTTCAAAAGATTGATTTTTATGCTTGATGAGTATTTTTTTCAGTGAGTTAGATAGATTGTTATAAATACGTTTGTGGGATGGAAGGCGTGAGCGTTGGTATTGGGCCCTTGTTCTACGCTTAATGGATATAAGGATGCGAATATGTTCCGGGACTGACGAAGCAACATTTGAATAATGAGTTTTGGTAGGACCGGAAGCCCAAGCTGCAGATTGGATTACACTTGTTAGGTTATTTATCGCTACATCAATTTCTTGGGGAGATTTGAGACTAATTTTGAGATTTATGTTTTGATCGACCAAGTTGTGGAATTTATGCCTATCAGTAGTATAGAGAAAGAGTTTTGGTAGGATAGGCCGGACTGGAGGACAGGCACTGATAGTCAGGAGTACTGCTGAATGATCTGAACAGGGTTCTAAGAGATTGGTAGCCACGCAGAATAAGTTGTGAGGTGTGTTCGATACAAATATGTCCAGTATGTCTGGTTTTTTCCGCAGGGAGGTGGGCCAATATGTTGGTCCAGGAGGCGCGAGAATTGAGTAGCCCTTAAGATTAATAAAGTTGTAGAGAACAGAGCCTCTTGGGTTGTTAGTACGACAGCTAGGGTCCTTGGCATTAAAGTCACCACCTATGATAAAGTTGAGACTAAAAGTGCTGAAGTAATCCATATAGTTTTGAATATTTATATTATGCCTTGGAGGAGAGTATATTGCTGCTAAGGTTGTTGGTATATTGTTGAGGTGTAGTAAAATAGCACAAGACTGTAGATGCGGTTGACAGAAATTTGGAAGAAGTTGGAAAGAAAAGGAAGATTTAATATAAATTGCAGCACCACCATGAGCGGTATTATCTGGATGANGCTTGCCTTAAATGCACGACTCCGCATCCTTAAAACCCTAATCTCTAACAACAAACACACTCCATTAAATACTAAACTCTTAATTTACAAATCCCTGTTCAAGCCGATGTGGACCTATGGTCTTCAACTCTGGGGCAATGCCAAAATATCCAACACTAATAAAATTCAAACTTTCCAAAATAAATTCCTTCGCTTAATTACTAATTCTCCCCCTTACATCTCAAATCTAACTTTACACACCGATCTAAAAATGAAATCAATCCATGAAGAAGCAGTAGCCTTTTACAAACGATTCCACTCTAAACTCCCTTCTCATTCCAACCCTCTTATTTCGAACCTTGCCACTCTCACTATTCCTGGGAATCCTCCCAGAAGGCTCAAAAGGAAATGGTGTCGAGACCTCCTCACTGTTTGATAAAATTAAGCAATATAAATAAGGAAAAAAAAACCATCAAGTTAGGGTAGTGTTACCACTGGGTGACTCCTCTCTTCATTTCATCATGTTTTTTTATTTACTCATTTATCACATATTCTTATTGTTCCTAGGAACAGATTGTATATTATTCGTATATAAAATTAAAAAAAAAAATTTTACCAATTGTCAGAGTTTAATGGAAAAATATGTCACAATTAATTAAAATAATCACGATATTTATCTCGTATTTCTTGTGCTTCCATATTGGGATGTCTGTGGTTATTATTCTATATTACTATATGTATAGTAATGGTATATTCTGTAATACATTTGTATATTGACGCCATGATCCAGGGAAAACTCGGTTATCTTTATCTTCATAATCAATTAGATCTCCGATAACATATCGTGGGTTAGTTTTTTTCAACCAATTATGAATTGCATAGCACACAATGACAACATTATCCAGTGTTTCTAATTTTAATGAAATCGGTTTTTCAAACAATCTAAATTTACTTAAAAGTATGCCAAAGGCATTTTCTACTACACGTCTCCCTCGGGAAACACGATAATTGTAAATTCTCTCTGCTTGAGACATATTACATCGGCTATAAGATTCCATTAAATATTTTTTCAATGGAAGCGCGTAATCAGCCAAAATAACGAAATCTTTTGGTATTGCAAGTGAGTTTGTTTCGAGAGCGTTACATGAAGTACTATTTTGAAATATACATTCATCTGATCCCTTTCCTTTAGCTCCAATATTGATCTACAAAAAACAATAATTTGAATCCACCAAAGCCAGTAACACTAGTAAGCCTGTAACTGTTTTTATAAATAAAATAATCTGAACCACTTCCGGGAGGAGTACGTGTTACAATATGTTTACTATCTAAAGCTCCTACACATCCGGGAAAGTTCCATCGCGTTCTGAAACCATATTCAATATTTTTCCTATCATCTGTTGTTGCAGGAACCTAAAAAATTAATATTATTACATAAAAATACGAAACTTAGTCTAAATTTTTTAGGTCGTTAAAATACTAGGTCTAATTATTATTAATATTCAGATATTCCCAAAGATAATTCCGACGAGACTCCCAAAGAATGTTACAAAGAAACCCCAATAGATAAGCAGTACACAGAATCAAATTTTGATTATAATGCCAGTAAGAGTTCTGAGGACATGTCACAAAATGTATTAAAAATATCTATTTACACATATCTAGATACACCTTAAAAGACAGTAAAATGAAAAATTGAACCACAATCTTCAACATTGAAAAATAAAAAACTACTCATGATCATGAAATAAATTTTATGTCTAGTGCTATTGAAAAATTATAGGAAATTTCAAATTGTGCATCGTAAGTCACTGTAAAGAACACAATTATGATCTTTTCGGTAAATGTATAGCATCTATGTTACGAGGTATAGGACCAACAGCTATAAAATTGCAACAAAATATCATTATTATCGTTACAAACGCTTTAGGTCAACCAGAATATCTCATCAACAAAAATTCAATGTCAGAAAGTGTTCTGTATGTGTTATAATACAATTTACAGTTTCACTTTAATATTATTAACTCTTATATTTTGACTATTAAAAACAACGTTATATAGTGAATACTGACTGTCGGTATTGTTGTAATTCAAAAATAAAGGCGGGGCAGGCCAGCCTAATTATATAAAATTGATTCACACGTGTAAGTTAAATATAAATTTGATTACCTTTCTTCTTCAGGCGGCAAATTGATCTGTTGAATTTGATAAAGGTGACCGTAGTAAATAAAAAGATTTTAATATAACAACTGTTTCCTTTTTATTAAATTTTTTAAATATAAAACACTGTTCTAGGTTCCCGTGCTTTTGTAAAAATCTCTGCGTAGTCTTTTACACTCGCTTGTGATCATCTGTCCAAAAGCATCGGGAACAATACATACACTGAGCGTGATTAGAAGTGGCCGGCCTTCTTATAACTGGAGATCTCTGTATGTGTGCGTGTGTAAATGTGTTATCTTAATCTGGTTAATACTAACAACTTAATCTAATAATTAATGGCTACAAATTATTATAATTTATTTTAATTATACATGATAGCTTAAGTATTATCTCCTTACGATGAGTAAATATCGCACTAAAATATATGTTATTTGATAAGAAAAAATAATGGAATCGGATGTAAATGTTTAACAATCATTTCCGTTATTAATTGTTTGATTTATTTCTTATATAATATTTTAATTTACATAATGTATGATAGCTTAAATAGCATATCATTACAAATTTTAATAACAAATTGATTTTATAAAATCGATGGTAATGGTAAATCGTTACGTCCGGGTATACATTAAATTCATCTCCTTATCCTACTTTTCCGACTTCTTACCTACAACAGTGGCCCACCCGCTGTGCGAAGTATGTCCATAATTGTAAAGCTTTCCTTCTGCACTCTTACTGATGTTGCTTATTTGACAACATTTTAGATTCTGAGTGCAGCGAAGAAGTTTATGGTCTGCAAAGTTTATTTTTTTTCTGTGAACAACTTTATACCAGAAGATTTGTTCCGATTTTTACGTGTAGCAACTTTTTTGAAAGGAAATTGGCGTGAAGAGGTCATTTTTTTATTTTTTCAAGAGTTTTCTCATCATACGCAAAAAACAGAAAATAAAAACGGGAATATGTACGGAATATATTTATATAATATTATGATTTTTATTTTTTTATGGACAACTTTTCTACTAGCAATTTTGCTCCAACATTTTATTATATCAATACTTTAAAGAGGTAGTTTTTCAATTTTCTTAAGAGTTTTCTCAGTAAATGTGAAAAACTGGGAAAAAACATTGAAAAACCGCGAAAACTTAGGAAATTCTGGAAATCGGTACAATATTAGACAAATGTTATAAAAAAAAATATTTAGAACCTATTTACTATAATATGACATATAATGCTAACAAAGCATCACTATCAACTGAACTACGTTTTGAATCTTTTTTTTCATAAAACATGGTTTATCATTGCTTATAGATATCTATTAAATTCCCGTTTGTATTCTACCTTCCAACTTCCCACCTACACCAGTGGTTGCACCCGTCCCTATTATCTTTTCTTTTTTATTAATACACTTCGGTGTCCTTCCTCTCGTGTTTATTAATGGGACACTCTATAGAATGGATGCTTATTCCATTTGAACTAGATGCCGTTTAGTTATATTGCGATCACCGACTTCTTCTAATCTTCGTCTTTTAGTTACGTTGTATTACGTTGAATATTTAATATATGTAAAAAAAAAGATAAAGGTTATACAGCACAATTACCAAATCTATCGAAAATAACATCTCTTAAACAGTGTGGCCACCTTAGTGCACTACACTTTAATTTATAATATTAATTACGCACGTCACTCCCATAGGTGCGTTTCAAGTAGTTACTTGTGGCAGAGTGAGAGTCGTCCAGGTATATATATATATATATTTCGTATGACAAAGTAGAGAAACAGATTTAAACATGTAAATATTAACAGAGACATATACTATAGTAAATAAAATTAAAAATAAGCTTAATATGACAAGTGTTAACTATTAAAGCTGGAATATATTTGAGACTATATGCTATAAATTAATTTCCAGATTTCGTATCCAATCGACTACATCCTTGTTAGCTGTGGGAATATCATTTAAAGTGCCTTTGAATAAACAAACCGGGCGGCATTCAGTTGTTATATGGGAAATTGTTTGCTTATCATTTTCACAGACACACGAAGAAGTATTATGCAATTTCCATTTGAACATCATGTGATTACACCTTCCATGGCCGGTCCTAATGCGATTCAGGGTTACCCAAATTTGTCTAGACAAATCGAAGCCTGGTTGTTTGGAAGTTGGATTGGTAACAATGTTTTGTCCATCAGGGTTTTCCACCATCCAATCCTCAAGCCATTAGGTATTTCCCCGGTGTTTTCCAGTAATAATATCTCTGCGGTTTCCCAGGGTGGTTTGCGTGACTTAAGCCGCAGTCTATCCACATTTAATCTTACATCAGCGTGTATCGGGAGGCTCTTGTTATTGTTGATTTTAGTCCATTCCCGGATAAGAGCTTATTCTCTTCGGATCCTAGGAGGAGCTATATTGCTCAGTACTGGGAGCCATTTTAAAGGGGTAGTTTTTAATGTCCCCCCTATGATTCTCATTACTGAATTGAGCTGTGTATCAAGTTTATTGGTATGTGTACTATTTATCCATACTGGGGCGCAGTATTCCGCAGCTGAATATACTAGTGATAGCATAGTGATTCGTAGGGTATTTGCGTTATCTTCCCATGACGTACCACTCAATTTGAGAATTATGCTATGACGGGTCTTTATTTTCGCTGATAGTTTAGCTAGATGGTTCTTGAACGTGAGCGTTCTGTCCAGTACCACACCCAGATACTTGGGGTAAGGGTTATTTTTCACTAACTGCTCTCCAAACTGTACCCATATCTCCTGGTTTGCTCTTCTGTTATTCAGATGGAAGAACGTGACTTCCGTTTTTGATGGATTTGGTTTGAGTCTCCGTTGATTGAAGAACTTATGTAGTATATCAAGGTCTTCAGACAAGATGTTTTCTAGGTCATCAAAATTTTTACTCTGGCAAGCTAAGACTAAGTCATCAGTATAGATAAATTTTCTTGCAGTTGTCGCTGGAAGGTCCCTAATATATAGGTTAAAGAGAAGGGGTGCCAAGACAGAGTCTTGAGAAAGGCCATTATTTAGCATCTTTATTTTTCTTTTTTCTTCTCCAATGTAAACAGTAAAACATCTGTTACAGAGCATTTTGTTGATAAGTTTTAGTACCGTTTTGCATGGAATCACATCCAAGAATTTTAATAAAAGCCCTTTTCTCCAGACGGTGTCATAGGCAGATGATAGGTCTATGAATGCCACTGCGGTTTTAACGTTCCTATCATAACCATTTTCTATATGGGTAGTGACTGCCATAACCTGATCACAGCAACTCCTATTAGGGCGGAACACAGTGAGATAATTTATTTATTTATTATTTATTTATTTATTTATTTATATATATACGGAATAATATTCCAATTACAATAATAATACGTAGATTGAAAGAGTTACAAATGTACAATACAACATTAAGATTAATTACAGCTAAAAATAAGTAGAAGTGGTAAATACGTAATTAATATAAGATATGAATTTAAAAAGAAATAATTAATTAATATAACAAAAATTGTTGATCAATATAACAAATATTACATAAATTACATAAATTAGCCTATTGGAAAGTAAAAATACTCATATTAAAAGTGAGTGTCTTAATCTGTTGATTTGGCAGCTATATGAAGTAAATCTCAGGAAATTATTTTGTATTCCCTCTAAACTATTAGATAAACCTGTTTTATTGGTTTCCCATATGATGGTCGCATATTCCAGATTAGAGCGAACTAAAGAAAAATAAAGACTACATAATGCTGTTTTATCATTAAAATCTTTACAACTGCGTTTAATAAATCCTAGATTAGTAAGAGCCTTCTTTTTTATATAATTTATATTATAATTAAATGTTAATTTACTGTCAAGCCAAACGCCTAAATCTTTAATGATTTGTTCTTGGATTAAGTTTTCATTGTTAAGTAGGTATTGGTTTTTTATAACTGATATTTTTAAAGAAAAGGTAATAGAGTTGCATTTGGTACTGTTTAATTTCATCCCATTTTTTACACACCAATCATAGAGACTATTTATATCTGTCTGTAAGGTATAGACATCATTTATACTTGTGATTTATTTAAATAGTTTAGTATCATCAGCAAAAAGTAGAATTTTAGAATGTTTGATAACTGATGTTATGTCGTTTATGAAAATAAAGAATAATAATGGACATAGATGATCCCCCTGTGGGACCCCCCATGATACTTTGTATGACGTAGATATGTAATTTTTATATTTGACCGCTTGGGTTCTATTTGATAAGAATGATTTCAGCCAAGATAGAAGAGGGTTCATAATACCCATTTTTTTAGTTTTGAAATTAACAATTCATGGTTAACTTTATCAAACGCCTTTTCGAAATAAATATATATTACGTCAGTTTGGGATTTTTGAATAAAAGAATTTAATATATTTTTTTTTAGTAATAGTAAATTAGTGATAGGTGAATATTCTTTTCTGAAACCGTGTTGTGTATCTGATATGATTGGAGAAAGATAAGAGGATAGTTTGGCATTAACATTTTGTAAAATATATTCGGTAAGATAGATATTTTGGAAATAGGTCGATAATTTTCTATATTTTCTTTTTTTCCCTTTTTTAATATAGGTGTAATGTATGACTGTTTCCAAGATGTGGGGAAGGAACTGTATTTGATTGATTTATTAAATAAGTAAGTGACAATGGGTGATAAAATAAAGGCACATTCTTTTAAAAATATTGAAGATAAACCATCAGGACCCGGAACAGTGTTAGAACATTTGGTGTATAATTCTTGAAATACTTCCATTTGGTTAATTTCTAATGTGTTTACTAGGGAAGATAGACTTGTGATGTTGTCTAGAATAGGATTTTATATAATATTAGATTCGAAGACTTGAGAAAAGTAATTACTAAAAGAATTTACAATATCTTGGCCATTATCTGCAACGTGGTCTTTATATTTCATTTGGCTTAGTAAACCGAAATCTTTTTTTTTGTCTTTAAAAATTGTCCAAAAATATTTTGGGTTAACTTTAATGGAGTGCTGGACATAGTTAATATATGTTTTATAATCGAGAGTTCTTAATATTTTGCATTGGTGTCTAAGGTTAGAAAAGATTTCATAATTTCGATGAGAGTTTGATATTTTAAATAAATTATGATAAATTTTTTTTGAGATATTAATTTTTTGAGTTTGTCGCTGAACCAGGTTGGATAATTTGATTTAGATTTTTGGAAAAATGGGATAAACTCGTTTATTATTGATAATATTTTGGTATAAAAAATTTGAACATTGTTTTCTAAGGTATCGTTTTTAAATTCCTCTAGCCAATTTATAGAACCGATAGCTCTCTGAATGGACAAGTAATTTCCTTTCCTCCAATTAAAATATATTTCATTGGATTCTAAAGGTTTAAATTGATGATATGTGTAGGTTACATTTAAAGGTGGGTGGTGATTATCTACTGGTACAATAGGGTGTTTATCTTCACTAATATGTATATAATTGGAATTAGATAATATACAGTCTAGGGTTTTATAATTTTTGTTTTTAATTGTATTTAATTGCTTTAAATTTAAGTATGGTAAGCGTTCGGGGAAATAATGTTCAGTATTTGAACTTACGGAGGAAGGTAAATTAAAATCTCCCATAAGAATAAAATCACTGAATGAATAAGTATCAACTAGATTTTCAATAGTAGCAAAGTAATTTATATATAATTCTTTATTTGCATGAATGGGGAAATAACAGCAACCAATTTGTATTTGTTTACCATCTAATTTTATCATTATGAAAATATTTTCCATATTGCTTACACTAATATCTAAAATTGTAGAGAATATTGATTTATTAATTGCAACAAGTACTCCACCACCTCTAATTTTTGTACTTGTTTGGGAATCTCTATCGTGTCTATATATATTATAATTATTTAAACCCAGTTCACTTGAATGTACATTTTTGGAAAGCCAGGTTTCAGTAAATAATAATATATCGTAAATCGAAAGTGGTGCAAAGGTATTTAATAAGTTTAATTTATTATTTAGACTACGAACATTTTGGTAGTACATATTTAAGTATAGAGGTGGAGGAAAACTAATACGTTTTTTGGTTTATTAACAATAATGCAAGGAGTACCTTTAATATGTTTAATAATTAGATCTGATTCACCATTTTCACTGCGGCGTTGAAGCTCATTACGGAGTTGTTTCAGAAGGTCACGTTGTGCCATAGTTCGGTCCGAAGAAAAACGTAAGCTCCAGGATTGATGCGATTTGAGTTTAATTTGAGATGCGAAAATAGAGAAGACATCCTTTTGTTCAGGAAGACATAATTTCAGTAGCCTTGGCTTGATTGTGGTACTCGAGCGATAACCCAAACGAACAACAAAAATTGGATAAGCTTGTATGCCCATAAACTCCAATACATTATTAATTTAGGATAAATCATCATTCTGTTCGTTGGAAGTTGAGTTAGATTCCATGAGATTAAATAATAATATATTTTTTTGACGATGCTGCCTGTCTAACATTTCAGATAACAATGCGTTGGTAGAAGAAATATTGTTCGAGCTAGTCTTGATTCCCTTATCTTCAGTAGCCGAAACTCTAAGTTTTAGGGAATTGTGATCTGTAGATAAAGATTTTAATTTGGAGGTCAGATCGTTTAATTTAGTAGTAAGAACAGTTAATTTTTCGGATTGAGAGTTTATCATACTGACCATCTTATTTTGAGTCGTTTTGAACAGACTTGATCAGTATATCAATTTTGTCTTCCATGATTACAGAAATAGGTAGGTATTTAAATTGTGATGGTAATGGATGAAAGTACAATTTTTTGGGAACACAGTGTATATGCGAGTTTAAAGTTTAAAGTCTAATGTTTTATTGTAATATCGTCAATGGTACTAGCAATGTGATTGTAGATCAATCTTTCTAGTAATTAGTAGCGTACGCTTAGTAGAGATATAGGTCTATAGCTGTTCACATCGTTTTTTGGTTTTCCTGGCTTTAAGACTGCTAAAATTTTTGTATGTTTGAAGAGTATCGGTAGTTTTTCCGTATAGAGAACATCGGAGAAGAAGTGAGAGAACCATACAATTGTCTTGGGCCCAAAATGTTTTATAAACTCCGGGTATACTTCATCAAGTCCAACAGCTTCCTTAAGTATAACACGTTTTAATGCTAGTTGTACTTCTTCGGGAGTAAATTTGTCAGCCCACTTCGAATTTTCCATTGCACGGGCTTTCTTTACTTTAAGGTTCATAGTTTCCTTGATATATCTTTATCGATTTTGGCTCTTGACGTTTCTATTAGTCGATTCGCAAATGCATTAGGTTTTATTTCAGGTTCACGGCTAGAGTGTTTGAAATCTAGACGTTCTACAGTTTCAGTCCAACGGTCCTCGCGTCCTTTAGCTAGCGATCCTAAGAGTTTGTCCGCGGTTTCTGCTTGGCCATTCCTTTGATACTCTGCGTACAGTCTGTCGCTTTCCTCATTCCAGCAGGGAATATATTTGTATCTGTAGCCTCGGGGGATATAACGTTTTGCAGTTCCCTTAACCGTGCAAATGAAGCGTTCATAGTTATTCACTGTTGGGTCGATCCACCTGATGTTATAGTCTAGGGATTTTGAAAAGGCAGGCCAATTAGCTTCATAAAATTCCATTTCGGTTTAGGTATTGTTTTTACTAGTGAAATCTGGATACCAATTTGTATGCGTACAGGTCTATGTTGTCTTTTTGGGAAACTATTTAGGACAGATCGTTGGACATGAAGTGATACACCATTATGATCTTTAGAGACAATACAAAGGTCCAAGTTGTACCCTCGATTCCATCTTCCTGAGTGAAAAGTATGTCTATATTTTCCACTGAATATCAGTTGCATTTTTTCAGTTTCTATCCATTCGCTAAAAACCACCAATTTTAATTAATTTCGTCGTATCCCCATCTGGTGTGGTGGTTATTAAAATCACCAGTGAGTACTGTGGGGTGATGGTATGGTGGAAGGGTTGGTAGGGGCCACTTTTAATTTGGGGGCTTATAGATGTTAAGTATAATTATATTAGTTACGTTGGTAGCTATCACGGAGACGAGCCCAACCATTATTGTATATATGTGACTCGAGTTAGAGATATTATTTCGTATAAAGGTAGCGGTTCCATATTGCTTGTGATAGGTAGCAGAGATAAGTTTATAACCATCGATGTTCCCTCGGTAATGCATTTGTTCTTCATCTGGGACATGAGTCTCCCGTAGTAAGACTACATATGCTTTAAGTTCAGGTAATAATCGAACTAAATAGCTACTCTTGTCTCTGCTGAAGCCTTCTACATTCAGATGTAAGATAATTAGCTAAGGGCCAATATCTCGGGTCAGAGAGCCGTGAAGTAAGCTGTTTTGCGTGCAGTTAGTATTTATTTTTATTATTTTTTTTTTTTCTATTTTTTTTTTATTCTTTAAATATACAAAACATCATATAAATAAAGAGATATATCTACTCATTTAAGCCGAAGCTTGTGGTGGAGTAGATAGTTAACAATAGATATTATTTGATAGATAAAATAAAACAAAAATAAATATAAATCTAAATACATCATGTACATCAAACAAAATTAGATACATGCGACTTGTTAGTTATAATTTGTACAGAATAAAATGAAAAATATAATAATATGACTTGTTTTACAGTTATGTAAGCAAAAATAATATTTATGGAGGAAATACAATAACAATTTACAATGTAGTAATTAAATATATACAATTAGATTACAAAATAAGACAAAAAAACAAAAACAAAATCACCGAAAATACTATTAATTAAGAAGTTATTAAATTTGAGAATAACCATTTATATACAATTTTTTTCCCATTAGCTTTACCTTCATGAATAATTTTTTTTTTTGTAATGTTGGCATTTGGTTAAAATAAGTTGGACCTAAATAGTCAACAAACGATTGTCCAAAAGATTTTTTTGAGTAATGTATAGGTAAATTATAAGCTCTGTGTTCTCGTAAATGTGAATAATTTGTTTTGTTACTTAGATTTATTAATTTTTTTACTGTAAATAAAATTGCATATTTTTTGTATAAGTTTCTTATCGGAAGAACCCCTAAATTTAAGTAATTCATTTTTGTTGAACCTACTAAAGATTTTTTATTTAATTCTTAATACATTATTTTGATTGGATTGAAGTATTTTTAAAAAATTTTCTTTGACACCACCCCATACTAAAAGACCATATTGGCAGATAGATTGATATCTATGTAATGAATATCGAAGTTTCCCTACTAAATTTTGAATATGAAAATTCCATCTCAAATTATTATTGATAATAATACCCAGATAACGAATTTTTGAGATTTGAAAAATACGCTTACAATTCTGTATATTGCATGTCAATTGATTTTTACAATTGTGAATTAGTAATGGAATTTCGTCATTAGTAATCCTATTTATTAATAACTTCATATAAGTTGTTTTATCAGAATTCATAGTTAAACCCAGTTCGTTTATGCATTTATAGGTTATATTTAGACCTCTCGTTGCTTTTAGGTTTACCCCCTCCCAAGATATATCCGAAAATAACAGACAGGTATCATCTGCATAAGTCACTATTTTGCCATCAATATTTAAATCACAGACTGCATTAATGTATAGTATGAACAAAATGGGACCTAGAACACTACCTTGCGGGACACCGTATTCGATAAAAGTTCCATTGCTTATAACATCATTTAATTTCACCATTTGTTGTCTATTTGAGAGATAACTCTTAAACCAGCGCAGACTTTTGTTAGTTATTCCAAAATTCGGTAATAGCCGTAATAGGATATTATGATGAATAGTATCAAAAGCCTTTGCTAAATCTATAAAAACAGCAATCGTTTTAAGTCCATTATCCAAAGAATCATATAAAAATTGAGTTGCATTATATAAGGCATTTTCAGTGCTTATACCTGGTCGAAATCCGTATTGGTTTTTAGATAGTAGGTTGTTTTTCTCAAGGTAAGAAATCAGCCTTGTTTTGATTATTTTCTCAAATATTTTGGAAAAGTTGAATAACATTGATATAGGTCTATAATTACTAATGTTTTTCCTGTCCCCACCCTTAAATAAAGGCTTAATAATTGCGATTTTAAAGTTTTCCGGGAAAATACTATTTTGTATACTAAGATTATAAATATAGACATTTAATGCTGGTATTAATGATGATGTTGTTGCTCATGCTTGCTGTAAGGTCATGGAGACAGTATAGCAGTCGGTTTTGTTAAATCTTTAACCGTTTAAAAAAAAAAAAAAAACATTGCCCAGGGTACACTACGTAAAAGCGATTTACCTTTATATCCCAGTCATCCAGGTGAGAGACCGCGGTATACGTAAATGTGCTACACACGTCACCCAGGTGTTATACCCAGTATGTGATATTGAACGAAACTAGAAAAAATATTAAAGAATAGTATTACTCTTCAGTTCAAATTGAAAACGACTACAGACGAGAACGGAAACGAAGTCATTAAAAGAAATTTGTGATGGGTTGTTGGGCTAATTGCAATATGCAAAAAAGTTCTTTTGCCGTATCACATTAATCGTTTACGTTCTTGCTATTTTACTTTTATCCATTTTGATTTAGAATTCATAATTTCGACATCAGTATTAACGTATAATGCAGTTTCATTGAATGTGTTAGGCGTTTCAAGTATTAAAACGCAAGTCTTACTCACTTTAATAACCTCATGTTCATCAAAATCATATTGATTTTAAATTATAAACGATTTCACAATATTTAACATTGCTTCTAGTTGGATGGTAGATGATGTGATCGATGATATTTATTGAGCGAACAACTAATAAATTTATCTATGATCTATATTTTTTTTTTCTGTTTTTATCTTCTGGTGGCCTTAGGTATTCTATGTGAATTTTTACATTTTTATAATAGTTTAAATAAACCGATATGTATGGACGTTCTAGACTTGTTAATTTTAATAATTTGGCTAGAAACTTACATACGAAACATAGAACTGTTGCGACAATATAATTTTCTCTATCTTCACATGGTTCATTTTTATCGGTATTATTTACAATTTTATTTTCAATATTTACCGTTATAATTAGCTCCTATATTTTTAATTCGCTTGGCCTTTTGACTTATCCGTCTAAATAAAATAGAATATTATTTAAAAGGGTCTAATACATAGTAGCAATTGAAATCGCCAAGCAACAATTTTTTTATTATATATATATTATATTATATTTTTAAATAAGTACATTAGCTTACATAAAATTAATTCCTCTTAAATTTGACTTCTAAATGTCATGCAATAAATCAATTATTATATTTATGAATATTCGGAATCCAAATTTGTTTTCAGATTTGATGTTAGTCCCTTTAATTAGGGCGTATAGAAGAGTTTCATAAAACGTAAATATTTCCCATCAAAATATTCGTTTAAAAGGGTGCTGAATCCAAATTTGTTATTAATTTTTAAACATAAACCTTAATTATGAATATTAATGGTATAGCCTTACTTAACAGTGAGATAACAGTAGGCAATTTATTTTGAATAACAAGACTTATAAAATATACTTTTAATTATTCTGAATCATTATCAGAATCGGAATCAGTTTCAAAATCACTTCGATTCTCTTTACACATTACTATAAAAGTTTAGCTTGAATTGAAAAATGACTCGATTTACTCGAGAAGAAGTCGTTGGCCATGAGCAGCAGCTAAAACCAATACTAATGGAGACATAAAAATCCTGAACCCTAATTTTCTTGTATAATTGAGAATGACTACAGTCGAGAACGAAAACGAAGTCATTACATTTTGGAGTGAAATTGGTAATAGAAAAATTGCCCACAAAAAAAAAAGTCGTAATACGTATATAATTAAATTTCTTACGTTTTTTTTGGTTTTTTGCATTTTATGAGACAACTATTGAGAGAATTGAAAATGACCTGCTTATGATATCTCCTCCCACCGATTTTTTTTTCAGAAAACATAGTACACGTAAATTTCAAAATAGACCTCTTGTAGAAAAGTTTTCCAAAGAAGATGAAATAACAGTTTTGTAAAGCTATAAGCTTCTTCGCTCCACTCAGAATCAAAAAAAAAAAACAAAATTACCCATTAAAATAAAATTAATACATCCTTCGATACGCTCAAAATCTAATACATTCGTCATTGTAGATATATCTTCTGCAGACTAGAAAATAGATTCTTTTATGCGACACCATCTATGTTCTATATTACTACAATCATCTATCCTCGGCTTACTTTTGGTTTCAAGTTTTTCTTTGCATTTCCTTTTGAATAATTTTCTTATGTCTGGTTGCTTTAGTTGACACAAATTCCACTTATGTCCTTTGTATTTTGGTTTTTTTTAACTTCATAAATTTCAATACAGATTTGATCATTACCAGGTTATGTTCGCTGTCAATATCAGCTCCTGGGTAGAATTTACCTGGTCTTTGTACATTTTCTTTACCAGTATATAGTCTAATTGGTATTTTTTAATATCACTAGGCTTTTTATACGCATAACGTTTTCTTTTGTGATACATGAATAAAGTAATGGTTATAACTAAATCACCTTATCGGCAGAATTCGACAAGACAGTCACCTCTTTCATTCCTTGTCCCGAGTCCGTATTTACTAACTTCTCTGTCGTCTGTATTTTCACCCACGATCGCATTCTAATCCCTCGATGATACAATTTTCCTTACTGTTTGTGAGGTTTATGAGTTCTTCTATCTTTTTGTAGATCTCTTCTACTTCTTCATCGTTCGCTTGTGTTATGGGCATAAATGATTGTATTATTGTAATGTCATTAAGAACAGATTTTAATTTGATTAATATCAATCTATCATCGTAAGAAATGTGACTTCTCATATATTGTGCCCATTTTTTATTCAGAATAACGCTTACTCCATTTCTTCCATTATCACCACCGGAGTAGATGACACTGTAGTCTCCCGATATAAAGTTGCCTTGACCATTCCATCTCATTTCACTTATACCCAAAATATCTATTTTTAAACGTTCCATCTCAATCTTAAAATTGTCTAATTTTCCTGTTTGCAACAGCGTTCTGACAATCCTTGTTCCTATCATACTACAAAGATTTCTCATGATGACGACCTGAGGTACTTTGTTTAGCCTCTTGCCAGGAACAAACTCTTCGATAAGGTCGTTTCCATACATTATATCGTTTATTGTGCTAGTACTTTCAATAGTTAACAATTTCAACGATTTATTTCCAAATAATAATGTTACGCTTCGAATACTTCTAACCATTCCAGCCACTTCAGCTATGGTAGAGACGATTTTATGAACATAAAGATGCATTTTATAAACTGATACGAAATTTGTAGAATCAATAAAATTACTAACAAACATATATTAATTGTAATAAGAATGTATTAATTTTGATAATATATTAATAACTAATGAACTGTATCTATTTAAATAAATCGTCAATTAAGAATAACAAAATAAATCACTAATGTAAATTGGTCATTGGTATCTGAAAAGTGTCTAAAGATTATAAGCCATTAATTGTACCATGAATATGTCATTGTGGTTATTGTAAACCAAAATATCAAGTATAAGTATTTACTATTTAGTTCCATAATCATCAAGGGCCCAATCAAAAATATTGTCCAGGGCCCCAAAATACGTAGTGCCGTCATTGACACGGTGATTTAAGACATTTATACTTTGCATTTGTGAGATCACAGTTAGAATATGTTTCTCTAAATAAAAGAACCAAATAGGTTCTCAGATAAAACGTGTACGACTCAAAGCAACTCAAAATCGTTTTTTCCGTTTTCTATCATTTAAATTTAAAGTTGAAAGTCTACGACATACTGAATATAATGGTATCTTATCATATTTCAATTTAGAATTATTAAACAAAAGTAGAGATTACCCTCACTACACATTTTTATCAAAATTATTAAATAATTCCATAGATTGTGCTTATTTATTGTTACAATTAAATTGTCGAATAAATAATAAATCCACTAGAAACAATGACTTTTTTTAATTATTAATATTTATTAAAATTATTTACGACCTTCCTTCACCTGCTTAATTTACTGATATTTATGGATCCAATAATTTATGGATTTATGGATTTTATTAAATACTGAATACATATGTTCACGATCCGGATTTAGGTAAATAATATTTTAAATTAACAATCTTGTTTAGATTTTGTCGAATTTTTCTCGAAAATAAAGACTAGGTGTTGCATTGTATTATGTCGTTTTATATCTAATATTTTTTTCCCACCACTTTTAGACATTTTAATAGGCTCCTTTCAATGGAGCCAAATAAGCTCAAACTCAAGAATATCTAGGTACTTTTTTGTTATTATGTTACAATGATTTTGTCACTGATTACAAACTCCATCATCCGAATAGTGGTTCATTCACAGTATAGTAATTGGTACGCTGAGTTGGTAACTTTTTAACAATAATATTGCAAACAGCCAACGTCGTTTATTTAATTTTCATCTTTATCTATGTTATCTGCAATGGAAACAACATTGCCATTTCTGCAGAATCGGCATTTTTTCAGTTTTGTTTTTTGGAAATATATCGATATTACTACGGAGTTAAGGAGTATGTTTTAAATATGTAAACGAGAAAATATAATGCAACGTATATCATACAAATAAACGTTGAAAAATACAACTTTGAACACGAGAGAGAAAGTTTATTATATTAAGACATGATCAAATAAAATAATAATATAGTATATAGGTTTTTTTTTAAAAAAAACAATAGAATACAAACTCTAAGAGTTTTCAAATAAATGCTTAAATTTGAATTCATAACTCTATATAATATTATAATGAAACAATAATAATACTCGTATCTATTAATAATAATATATAAATAATCATAATAATAATATATTAAATCATTTTTTTTTCTGTTTAACAATTTTTAATCACGAATATAATAAAAAAAATCTTATTGTTATATTCAAATTGAGCAGCACTAAAAAATCGTATATGTAAATACGTAAATAATTATTACCGGACGTATTTAAGTTACATATATATTTTTTTATTTATCATATAACTATTATAGAATAATATGTTTACCCAATGGCATCTATTTTGAAGAAAACAAATAGGCGAAAGGAATAATAATAAAATATCAAAGTATTGTAAAGACTAAATAATAATAATAATAATAATAATCGACCAGTACTTTTGAAAAAACACAATTTTTTTTTCAATTCGAACCGATGCGTGGTAAGTGTAGGTATTTAGAGATAAAGTTAATAATATAGTAAGACAAATAATGCAGATATACGTTTAATATCATGGAAAATAAGAAAGGAAAACTAGGTGTACTTATATAGAATAAAACATGGTTTTTATCCTCAACTCGAGTCGGTATAGTACCTTTAGTGTGACCGAGGGGAAGGGAAATTCGTTTCCGCAAGAAAAAAAAAAGGTTCGGACTCCATCAGGCGTATCTGTAGGTTTTGATAATAATTAATTGTTTCATCAAGGGGCATTTTATCCCGTAAAATATTTTACATTAATACCGCATCCGGATATGTAAATTTAAAACCACTTGTTCAAAATGAAAACGTCAATTAAAAAGTATTTATTTATTCATAGTTATTACTATTGTTTTATAAAATAAACTGTTTTATCTCTCGCTTATTTACTGTATACGATATAAACTAATCTGAACTAAACTTATATTATTATTATTTTTTACTATTTTAATTTTTAAATTACAATATAACTTTGTCTGCTCTATACTTTTATGTTTTTTTTTTCTGCGGTAACGATACATGCCCAACCGATAGGGGGCTAGTTAAAGATCAATGTTGCATATTACGAAATAAATATTATTTAAGGCGAGATGTTTTTGTCCTTGAATGTAATTATTATTGTTGAGTGTTTAAGCATTGGGCATGGAACATAATAGAGTATACCTAATCAGTGGCGTATTTATCAGGATGGATTGGCGATGAAATTTCAAGTAACTTGTACACTTTTACAGCCCTCTAATTACTTCAATCGAAAATGTAAATCAGTAGTAACAACAAATTATAATATTTAAATCTTGTATAGATAACCTGGGGTTTAGGAATTTTACAACTTAAAAGTCATCAAAATAATTAACGCTTAAAAATCAGTTTTTGACAAGTACAGATATTAACAAAAATCAATATGAGTTGGGTACTAATATTATAACCACTTAAGTCTAAAAGAATACAAAGGTTAAATTGTTTTTTTTTTTTAATTTTAGTTCTATCGCACAGGACAAAATCTGGATTTTCGTTGGTGACAAGAACTAATGCGCCTCGTCACAAAGCGGAAACAATTTTTTTTAAAAAGATTATAAAACTTGTAAAGAATTTTTTTTAGAAAAACCATCGAAATAAATAATCAATATACTTTATACTACTAACTAGTACTTTCAAATTCTGTATAAATTTAATCCGTTGTAGTACGTGATGATATTAATTTCCATATTGCACTCTGCCAGAATTTATTTCAAGCCGAAAATACACACAAATTCTATAATTTAATGGGCGTTCTAACTCTATCCTTCATAATAAATACACCACTGGGTATATTATTATAATTTAATCTGGATATGTTTTGTCTAAATTATCATTACACGATTTCAATTTCAAATTTACAATGAATAATAATAATGCTTATAATATAATGTAAACTATTACACCCAAATTTTACGAGTTAACTTATGGCGCCTAAATTATTAAGAATAAACAACGAGAGAAGAACTACAATAATACTGTTTTATGGATCAATCAACTATATTATACCGTCGTGTTTTCTTTATTCAAAGTGAAAACCCGTTTTTATAAATTTAGTTTTAATAATCGGTAATAATAAAATAATATTATTCGTTGTAATAACTGTTCGACAATGTTGGTGTTGCAAATCTTGTTAGACCGTGATATACGCATAATATGATATCTCCATACTGTTAGTTTAAATTCCAGAGTGAATTGATAGTGAATAGTATCAAATTTAAAGGTAAAGACACTCTTTGTGTATTTCGGAGGTTTTTTCTCGATATTTTAATTTATAAGCGAGATATAAGCGTTTTAAAACAATGATAATTCACATATTTTATTACGAGTATCTCACTAGAAAATAAAAAAAAAAGGAAAATCTCAATGGCGGATGCACCATTCTTACCTTTAAGATTAAAAATACGATAATTTGTTCTAATATTCAAACTAATCATAAAAAGTTGTCCCTGCTGAACTCAAGTTTGCTACGTCATATACGGTTGTTAGGCGGATACAGCGCCTGCGGGTATCGCGTTCTTATGAGACGTACTGAAATTCCAACGAGAAACCGGCATGAATTGAATTAGATGTTCGGCAAATCGCTCGTTTTTTAAACTATTTAACTATACTTAAGATAAAACTTACATCGAAATCATACACGTGTACAAATAAGCACATTGGTAATCATAATAAATGTAGGATAATCATATTATTTATTCTAACAGGTAAACGATTTGTTCAACTATAATAATAATAATACACATATAATACTATAATATAGAGAAAATGTTGATTTATTTACAAGAAAATGTTTGTGAAATCGTATCGTTTTTTTTTTTCTGTTCATATAACTTCCTTTTTCATTATTCTTTTCGGGTATTATTATTATTATTATTTTTTTCAATAGGTAGTGCAAAATGTATGAGCATATTTTTTTCCTGTTGCCAGCTACGTATAGTCGATATACAATATCAATATCGAAACGAATCGGTATTTAAATTAAAAAAAACGCACCAACCATACTGCTTTATATTATAATAATTGTTATTATAGTTCCTGTAACTATTATCGATTTAACACGGTAAAATCCATTTATATAATATTTAAATATATAAAATACCGAATTATTTCCTACTCTCTAAATGATTTTTAACCGTATTTTTGAGCCCGTTTTTGTATAAGTTTTATGTACCGATAACCTAGAAATACTAGAGGAGGACAAATTTTAGCGATACGTCTACTTGTATATTATAATAATATATTGTTATCTGGGAGAAATTGATTTCAAAATCCACATAGAAGACATGTGCATAAAATAATTATTACCCGTGACATCATTGTAATAGGGGAACGGGCTACTTGTTAACATCGTCCTACTCTTATCATAAGAGTCAGCATTTTGGTTGATCTCTGGTAGCTTTTAGATCTGGGAATAAAATATCGAAAAATATTCCATACAGATATCTTGTGTTTCTATGACCTCACAGATAGGTAGGTAAACAACCCGTGGTCGCAAATTTTCGATATTTCTTTTTGGGCAGATTTTCACGATATTTACTTTTAAAATCATATATATAGCGATTTTAATCACACAGGATTTGGGTACATATACGTTATACATTATACGTACCCATTTCTTTAAAAGTATGACGACAACTAAAAAAATACTAATTAAATTAGAAGGAATAATATTCGAGGGAATCTAGAACATTTTTTAATTTTTTTTTTGGTAAATAATTCCTTTTCTCGTTAGTAGACAAATCCAACAAGTTCGATCCAGTTCACAACTATAGACTATAATATTTTTAAACGGCGCCACTGACTATTACCCACACGGCCACACATAAAATAGTATACCTATAATAATATGCGTAACGCGTAGAACAATATATTTAAATTAAATCATTATTTTAGTTATTAAACATTTAAACTGTATATTAAGCAATAATGAAATAAAGTATATGCATTTAAATATAGGAATGACGTCAAGTGTACTATTACGATAATAAAAAGTTATTATTATTAATGTCCCACGAACCAGTTCCGAAACGAACAGTTTCCGGACGGTTTTTTATGGCATTCGAGTACAAATTTAAAATGACAAAATAATCGCGAAAATTATACGAAATCTAATGCTGCACACGTGTTCTAAACACTATAAAAAATCGATTAACAAACTAAAATCTATATAAACAAAGATAGAAAGAAAATTACGCGATTAAAGATAATCGTGTACAAAAATAAATTATTATTTACGGTCGACCGTTGAATATTGGGCCACTTTTGTCGGTGGATATTTCATATTGTGATTGCCGTTAGCTTCCCGCTTACGAGATCCAATAGTGCGTTCATTAATCTGTGAAATATTATAATACACAAAAACACAATTAAAAATAATAATAAAGAAATATTCGGGGTGTGGAAGATTATATTAAGTATACTTTCTATAAGTCCATGATCTAAAATTATAATATAATTGATAACGATAACACACTAAGGGCGTACTACAGCCCGTTTAAGTCAACTGTATACACACTGTTTTGTGCGGCAAATAACTACTCGGGCTATAAAGTTAATTAAGGAATCAAATTTGCACCGAGAAAAAAGAGAACTCGTACTGTGCGACGTTGGTTTTGTGTTTTCGAAACAATTACAAATGTAATAAAAAGAAAGTTATTATTTTTTTGAAAATCGGATAGTTTTAAATAGTTTAAACTAGAATAACGCGTTTCGTAATAGTGGTAAAGAAAACAAAAACTAACGTTGCACTGTGCACGTTCTCACGGCTAAAATTTCGGTTTCTTAACTAAATCTCAATCTTAGTTATTGCAGTCGTGCAAAAGGGTTTTTCATAGACATTTTTGCAGTTAATTTCACGGTTATATTTATGATTATGACACTGGACTACTTGTATTTGAAAGCGAATTTAAATTTTTTTCGAGTTGATAACATTTAATTTTGCTACAAATTTCGATAAAAATTACTATATACACAATCCCTTAAAAACAGTATACAGCACGCTCTCTTAATTTTATTTACCACTTTTAACATTGAAACATATTGATCTTCTTGAGTTCCATTATTTTTTATTAAATCAAGTCCATCATTAATTTTAATAATAATTCTTAAATATACATATTATATTGTAATAATAATAATTATAAGTTAACAATATTATGTTGCATTTGCTTAATATTTATTGTTAGATAAGTTACAACTTACAGTGACAGGAGGAGAAGTACTGTAAATAAATAATATAATTATTTATAGTTTCGAATATATGAATAATACATATTATACAACTATTCGATAAAATATTAAAATAATCAATAAATACCTAATGACATTTCACTGATACATTTTAAATATCATAGGCACAACTAAAACCCTCACGAAAATTCTGAAATTATACGTATTAATTCTCATAAACCCGAGGAGGCTACGGTCCTATATCCCCAAATACCCCCAAATAGTTTTCCAAAATTCACGAGAGTAAATAAGAGAAATACTATTATTAATAATTCAATAATTGTTTTATTTCGATATTCAATATACTAATATATTCGATTCACAATACTTTAAAAAAAAAAAATTTGGAATACAAATATTAATATAACATCAATCGTTAATATTAATTATAAAACACTTCAGAATTTATTTAGACAGTAGTCATCACATTATCGCTTATAATCATGTTAACATAATATCGAAAGTGACGAGGTATCTATTAGCCCATGGGGCACGTAGCTGATATTTAACAGCTAGGTCATTAAACTTAGATTGAATATTTAAAATTTAAGTACACCGTAGTTACGTATTATTCAAATTTCAAAATTCTTAAAATCGGTTATTTCTTCCGTGGTCCATATCTACGGAATACCTATATTGATAATTTTTGTATAAGGTACTTATATAGTACTAGGTATTACAGGTATACAGTTATTATTGCTTGCAACGCGTAACTATACTTTTCGTCTACCCAATGTAATCGAAAATGATCATTAAGCATACGAAAAATAAGTAACTAAATACTATTCCGATTGACTAATTTTTTAAATACCTACATTTAATAATCCTTGACATAGGTTTTTTTTAAGAGAAACTTCTTTCACTCGCACGGATTGTTAAAGTAACTCCTAACAACTAATATAAATGTTGGAGAAGAGATCTTACACTTTTTGGTCACCCCCAAGAACCCCCTCCCCTATTTGCGCCTATGATTCTATAATCATAATATAATATCAGTTAATATTATCTTGGCTTTAGAACTTGAAGCCTATAAACTATAAAATTATAATAAGTTTTATTATAATATTAAACATTTAATACAAATAAAATACAAACCCATTCTTGGACTGTCTCATAAATTGTTGAATTTTCCGAGCCGCTTGGTTTTGCTGTTTTTGAGTCTGACTTTTCCTGTTATTTTTATTACAAGTTATTATGATCAACATTTACTATTTGAAAACGATCATATTAAATAATGCATTTACTTGATTACAGAGAAAACGTTGTTAGAGTAATGCTGAGGAACTTCTTTTTTGAACCGTTTGTGTCTTCTGTACAAACGATATTGATTTTGTATTAAAACCGCGGCTCTTGTCATCTGTTTGTAGTACGCATACTGTTGAGAAAAATCGGTGTACAATTGATTAATACAAAAATTCATAAATACGTAAATATTTTCATTTGTTTTTTAATCTGATTAACAAGAAAATTAATATTACATTCGCTTTAGATGTATGATTTGAGTTTAATATGATTTTTAGTTTTGGTTTATTTTAAATAATATATAAAATTTAGCGAATTGAATATTAGGTGTTAGACGAGTTGCACTTTATACTTAAATTGGTCAAATTTTACTTGCGTTAAACATTTGGTTAAAACAAGGTAATGGTTGTACTGCACTCGGGTCCAACGCGGTCAAATTGTAGACATTTTATTTTAAATCCAAATATCCGATAAAAAAAATATTTCATTAAACAATATGTACTATTTATAATACCTAAGAGAAGTCAATAAATTATTGAACAGCGTTTATATTCTGAGATAGATGATATAAAATTGTTTGTACATATAAGAATCACTAACTTTAACTGAACAGCGGCGGATTCAAATCTAAAATGTTTAAATTATTAGGGTTTTCTTATAAATATTATTATTGAAATTCTTTTTTTGACCTAAGTGCAGTATGATTATTGTCCTACCTGTTTTCGATTTAAGTGCAGTTAGATTAAAATAAGTGTAATTCGAGGCATACAATATTTGAGACCTTATCGAAATATTTGAGTCAATTTTATTTTATATTATCATTTCAACCTGTTTGTAACGACGGTAATAATTCTGTATGACTGAAGCGGCAGAAATTTCTTTATCTTCTTCTCTTTTCTTGTAAGTCCTGTACGCCTTTTGAATTATTTTAGCCGCTTCGTACAACTCCCTTTGTTCATAATCTATATAATATATATTTGAATGATATATTTTGTGTATATTAAAATAAATAAATAGTTTTTGTCTTTTTGTGTCGAATTTTCCCGAAAAGTATACACTATTGAACAGTATTGACTTATTGTGTACGTTTTATTATGCAGGCACGTAGCCAAGAGGGGTCCATGGGATCTGAACCCCATCGAGATTATCGGTAGTTGGTGATCAATTTATATTTAAATATTTAGACCCTACTTCAAAAAATAAAAAATCCTGGCTAGGATTCCGGTATTGTGTATATCTTTACCTCGTTACTTTAGGACATTTTTAATGGTTTCCTCTGGATCCAATACGCTCAAACTCGGGGGTTAGAGTTGTTTTGTAGACTTTAAATACATTGAAGTGGTAAAAATTGGATTGAAGCTCACCATATTTGTTGCGGGAAGAGTGATTTTTTAGCTTTTAACACCCTTACAGACTGCCTAAATGAAACTAGGAGGATCTAATTTTGTATGGACTAAAGTCCATTTGTAATTTAAAATTTCAACCACCTACCCTTATTATGATTATTTGGTGATTTATTGCTTTTCAAAAAATATTCCTACATAATTCAAAATAGACTGGGAGAATATTCGACACTAGTAACGAGGTTTTTTTAATTAAAATAATTGGTATAGGTAATACATTTACGTACCGGATAATGTGAGATTGGAGAAATTATTTTCGAAATATTGATTTTTCGACGAAGCGTGAAGAAATTCACATAAATCAGCAGCGGTGGGTGGCGGTGACATCGGCGAACACTGCGACGCACTCGATACTGGACTTAAATTCGTGCTGGACGTGGGTGTCTCTATTTCACGGTCTTTTAATCTATATCACACGATATTATTTCAGTGGAAATCAGTTTAAATAAAGAATAAAATATCATTTTATACACAAAATTAAATAATCTAATTTGAAAACAGATTTATAAGACGAGTATATTATGTTACCGATAGTTATAAACATGATCATTGAATTCTGCAGTGTTTATTTCAGAGCTGGTATCAAAACAGCACGACGACACGGAAGACGGAGGATCTTCGAGGACTTCCATAGAAATCGACGATTCTGTAATGTTACAATGCGATCCGTTTTCGTTCTAAAAAATATAAATAGTGGTGCTAATTTTTTATATTTTTGTGGTACACAGAAACAAATAAATAGCAGCTATAGTATACATTTTATACCTCCCTTCCTCTTACATCTCTTTCTAATATTTAAGTGTTTAAAGAAGAGGATAGCCACTATTGAACTTTTAAAACTCTATATTCATAATGATAATATTTATTTAGTTTTCAAAATTGAATTTGCACTGCGTTATTTGTACGCGTATATTATATAAAAATGCATCGCCACGACAAACTGTTAAAAACCACTGAAATTATTTTACTTATAGTTATCACGAATAATGTGCTATATAGTATTCAAAACTATTATAATAACGGCACAAATATTATATTATATTCTGTTAATTAGAAAATTGAGAAAGCTGGTAGTAATATTACAATTTTAAAGATAAAGCTTTAAGTATAAAACGTGATGAAAACATCAAAAAAATCATACCTTAATATGATCGGGCATAGCCGCTATGAATTGTTCGGCCAACGCCAAAACTCGTGCGTCTTGTTCCCCTGTAGAAAAAAAAATGTTAAAAAAGGACATACGCCAAAAATGTACGATTTTAAAGATATAATTATGTTACTTTATATTTCAATGGCGTATTTAGGAGATTTTTTTCATTAAAAATGTATTTCTCATCTAGGTATTTATACCTCAGTATACCTTTAGAAATGTATAATATATATAATAGAAACCATTATTGCGTGCATGGTCACGTATTTTTATACACATTTTGTCAACTATTAAGAAAACTATTGGGATAAGTTGTTTACAGAAAAAAAACAAAATTGACTTATGAGTATATTTTGTTGGATAACCGATGATAATAATATTATGTAGTGCAATTATATTTAACGAAAATATATTCGACCGGACAACAATTATTGAAATTTTAGTGATTTCTTGTTGAAAATGATAAGTTATTTACAACACTGTTGATCTCATTGACATTCAAACTATGCGTATCAAAACCGTATTACTCCATGAGAAGTTGGTTCCATTAGTAATGGCTGTTAAAGTACTGTGCAATTATATTCATATTTGATATTCAATACCGAAACTATTCCATAAAATATCTATTCCAACGAAGATTTATAAAATAAATATAATTCCAAATTATAATATTATTGTCCTGTATTAAAAAAAAAAAAAAAATTACATACATTTTTATTTCCTGAAGTGTATCTTCGAATTAAAATAGTTCCAATGCAATGTAGACACTTGACGAGGTCGAACAACAAAATCGATTATCTTTAGTAGATACGTCACGGTGTTTCTTTTCAAATTTCGGAAATATAATATGCATAATAATATATAGCTACCGGATATCCCATTAAAACCGATGGTTAAATTACTTCAAAATCTGAACATACTTCACGACGAGGTTAGGCCTTACGTTGTGGGTGTAAAGTTTGGAAGGTAATGTATATAAGATTGTAATTTGTTTAGTTTATTACATACATCGACAGTATCTTTGTGGCAGGAGAAGAAATTAAATATTTTTATTCAGTTTGAAGGGTTAACTATGGTCTCTTAAATCCACTATCAGTAAATAAGACACTTTTAAGTCCTCTAAAACGGCATAAAAATAATAATACATTTTAGTTTTCACTAAAATAAAAATGTTTAAAATTCAAAATATGAATGGTAGGTAATTAGATATGTCAAATTTCGTGATTTCAGACCAACAATTATAAAAAAAAATGACTGTAAGCATACTTAATTTTAAAATTTAAAGTTAAACGTTTATACGATAATACGCTTCTACGTGTCCCTGTATACCTAGTACATTATTAATGCCTATGATTTGTATAGAATGTGAAAGCAATATTAAATAAATGCAATGACACAGGTTTAGGAAACTGAATATCTGAATAATTTTATACTCAAGTGGTTGTATACGATTTACCAAAGGGAATATTATTTTATTATTAAGCATAATATGCGACAAGTTGTGTGCCGCACTTCACACACACACACACACACATCCACACATACACATAAGACACAAATCTCACAAACGAACCAATGCAAATAAAATCGACAGACACTATATTAGCATAAGTATAATAATAATAATAATATCATACATGGGGTGTATGTCTTATAATACAATCTCCGAATTGGTAAATATGGTAAATAAACATAACAATGAATCAGGGGCGGATCCAGAATAAGATAACGAAGGACGGCATGATTTTTAAAATGTATATAAGACACACACTTATGATGGAAATCAAACTAATAGTATATTGGAGAGCGATTGACCCTCCCCCTGGATCCGCCACTGAAATATATAACAATATTATTTGATTCGAATGTTATAATATTATAATATAACTAATTTCGTACACATATTCTTTTATATCTAAATATAAATTATAGCGTAATATAACGACGGTATAATAATATAATAATATTGTCGACGGGTTATGACGATTATAATAATATAATACACATGATAATATAATTTTAAACATCATTAATTTATTTTGTAGTGTTCAATATAAATAGATACGTCTAAAAAAATATTTACGCGACTTATTTATACTTCAATATTTGCTAAAATATTATATACCACTCGGCATATATAATAATATATGTATAGATTTTAATTTATCTGAATTACAATATTATAATCAAGTATACACTGTTAAAAGCGAAATTTTGAAGTATATTTTGTTTGTTTAATATATAATAATATAATAAGATATAATATTATATAGAAACCAAATTATTAAATAAATATAAGATACTTACAAGTTATAAAATCGGACTTGGTTAGAACGGGTGACTTTTCTGACGAAATTCCACTGTCCGACGTAGGAGATTGTAATGGTAAAAATAAGTTCTTTTGGAATCTTTATAACAATAGTAATAAAATTAATATTTAGGTATTATACATATAGAGTGTCAATATAACGTAAAACACTCCTTATCCCAGTAAACGTTAACTTTTCCCGAAATTTGATTTTTATAGCTTTTTCGATGAGACTGCACTGGTGTATACTTTTTGTCTAGTATTTTTTGTGATATAGAATAGGTAATAGATTTGTATAATTGTATTATTAGACTGTTCTTATATTTTGTGTTTAGTATGCATTTATATAATTATAGGTAATTTCTTTGTCCATTAACAATGGGTTGTACGAGAAAGTAGTTACTGAAGTGTACTTTCTTCGTCTTCATTTTCCAACTTCCAATTTTGAAACACACATATTGTTATATTTTTATATGTATATATTATAGCCTATAAATTATATTATCAATATTAATTTATTTTAAGTCATGTTCCACTTCATATTATCATAAACGAGTATAGCGCACTTACGCGTGTAGTGTAGAAGAGTATAATTATACAGAAAACAATATTAGAATATTTAAAAAACAAACAACCCTAAAATGTTAAATTTCTCTTATTTTTTGTCATCCTCCTATTAACACCCTCCTAGTTTTTAATTTTAAGGAAAACTTTTAGTATGTAAAGTAGGATAAGTATAGTGGTGGAGCATCATTCATGGAGTAGGGTGGTTTAATAATTGTTCGTTTCTTAAATATGCTAAAAAACCGTTTCGGAAGAAAATTAATACTTTACGAAATAATGAGTGTCTTACGTTATATTTATCATTCTGTATAGAAAGCGAAATGGTCAGTTGTATAAGGTTTAATAATTTTATTATACAAAAGTACTAAAACATTTGAAATTATTGAAATAATTTACTTTTGAATGGAAGGAAAGTAGAGTGAAGGTTTGCAAAATTGATCGTAGTTATAGTCGTCCGTTTGCAAAAAATCGCTTGGATGCGGTCTTTTTGAACCTTGCGTTTCTTGAGGTTTTATATCGTTTTTATACGGTCTGTTTTGTTCTTTTGAACCTTAAATGTTAATATTAAATTAAATATTTTCTCCTTCTCTTAAACAGTGCGTTTAAATAATAAATAAAACTAACATAATACGGTAACCGATTTATTATTATTAGTCGGTAGTGGCATTAGATTATTTGGCTCTTCGAATTTTTGATTAATTTCTTTTTTATCATCACTATAATAACAATATAAATAAAGACAAATAAATGACACATCAAGTTATACGCATTAATTTATTTCGTACCAGATGATTCCGTTTTCGTTGGGTCTCAAAAATACATCGTTACTTAATTGCTCATCAGTATAATACTGATTTTGATTGAAATCATTAAAATCTGAAACCATAAATAATATTATGTATAATACCGGTTAAAATATTATTATTTGTTTCCTACATTGATGAACCGATTCTAAAATATCGGGGTGAGCGAAATCTGGATTGAAATTATTAGAGTTTTGAACGGTCTGATACCACTGACAAAGTAAAACCGCCGTGTCTTTGTGTCCTTTTTTACAAGCCCACATCTATACAAAAAATATGATTACGTTAGAATAAATTCACAAATATTTAACAAACATAATTTTACGAGTGGCGTATATCCTTCACGATCCTGTTTGGAAACGTTGACTTCAGTTTCCAAAAATAGTGACACATTTTCTAATTTCCATTGAAGAAGAATACACACGAGTCTAAAAATCAAAGAAGAGAAGATAAAAATAACAATGTATTATTTAAATAATTATTATGATTGCTGTTGTCTTAAAAATCGTACTTAGAATATCCAAGAAAAGCCGCCATGTGTAATATAGTTGTTTCTGTTTCCAAGTGCTTAACATTACATTCAGATTCAGATTTCCAAGAGAACTGTTTCATTTTTTCACAATAATTTACTAATTTGTCTTCAAAGTTTGGCTTGCCAAACATTACGATATTTTCTTTCTATAATTTAATAAAATATTATTACTAGATTACCATCATTTATCAATCGTTGTTTAAAAGTAATAAAAGCCATTCGTACTAGTGGATGATCATTTTCATGACTGTTTGGCTGTAAATAATCTTCGAGGTTATCGAGTTTTTGAAGCAAATGAAACTTGAGTAGTGAGGGCGTGTGCGGCGTTGTCAACGACGATATGGTGAGTGGAAATTCGTGTTGGCGATATTCAAAAACAGCAGTGGTCGATACCGGTCTTCCGTCAATAACTACTTGTAATGCGACGGTCCCTATATCGTGAGCTGCGGCAAATTTAAAACAGTTTTTTTTAATTAAATAAAAATTTAATTTATCTTTTTTTCAAAAACAAATCAATACAAATATTAATATTATATACAATGCTATTATTTTATTTTATATAATAATTAATAATTATTCTCTCTATATGGATATTTTTACAATATTTACCCGGACAATAACACCGTAGAACACCTCCCTGAATCAAAGTACTTGGAACCGTGATGGTATCGAACATGACTGTGTACGACGACGAAGAAAACCAAGGGCCTGTTATAAGTACCTTGACACCTCCCTAAATTGAATCGTTTTATAAATATTGTACTATGAAACAATTAGGTACTTGTAATAACGAACCTCGGGGAAAGCCCATTCGGGGCAATAATCGGTTATTTGCAATACGTCCATGTCCAGTTGTGTTTGCCCGTGGTGTGGTTGTAAGTCCATCGGATTCGCCCCGATATCCGTAACTAGATCTACAAAAGTGTAAACATTTTGTTTTTCTTATTGTAAACTAAAAAACAAAAACGTCATCAATTACATACTTGAAGCTTGTTGTGTCGCGTGTTCCAAGATATCGAGTTCTTGAAAATCGGTAAGCATATCAAACGCGTCTAGACTCACAAACACATCGTCTCCGGTACCGTCTAAATTTTTATTATTTCTATCATCGTCCAATCTGTAAATAAATCAGAAAAATAATTAAATGTTCAAAGATTCAATTTAATGAAAAATAATTTAAACGCAGTACGTGTGACAGCTATGAATCTCTTTTATCGCTTGTCGCATTTATTTATTCCGAAAATGGTATAATATAGTGCATCACGGCGCGTGACACATTCACTAAGGTATTCAATTTATTTTGGCCCTCGTAACTAAAATTGTTAGTGACATGCACCATCGTTATGCTGCTTCCATTATGGGTAACGACAATTTAAGCATCCCCAAAAATCTCTTTTCTCGAACCATTTTTCTATTAAGAAATTGAGTACTATTTTTTCATCACCAGATTCCTTCTCATTTCCAAATATAATTAAATGTAAAGTGTTCAAAGTCTTCCGAATTAGATTCTAGTATGCCGAATGATGATAGATCATACAACAGTAAATCCAAAAGTTACTCAAGGCCCTCGTAAAAAAATCTATACCCGATTCCACATGTTCCTCTTACCAATACTTCACTTTTTACAGAGAATACCAAAGATGAGCTCCACATAAAAATACCAAAAGAATAAAAAGTCCGAAATTTAATTTAGATTTAATTCGTCAACAAGCGATTTTTATAAACTTGGTGAACAATAAAATTATAACAAGCAGTGAAGCAGCTAATATTTGTCTCTAAAACAAAAACTGACCAATAAACATTAGCTTCTTAAAATATACCTTGTTTAAAACTCTAATAAATGCGTTAAGATCTTCGATTTGTATGAACAAGTAGATATCCTCCCGGTGGGTTTAGTAGTAATATTCAAAACTATAGTACGACCGGTGCGCAGTGTGCTAAACTAACTATAGTGTAAAAATCAGAATGTTCAAAATCTTACGCCAAACCATCAATAAAAAATATAATATAAACGTTAGACGAGAAAACACTCGGCGTATCTCCATATAAAACACAAATATTTTACCGTAGTAATTGATCGGCGTTGGCACATGAAATCGGCATATTGGCTGATAGCGTCTGTTGTATATCGTCGTGAGATAATTCTAATGTCACGTTGTAAAATTCTGGTTTCACATGTTCCGACTGTTGTTTAAGGTGGTGTTCTTGCCCATGGAACAGGTGAACGTGGTCATCTTGATTCGGCGAAGTGTGGTAAGACGGTTTCTCGGTGAATACGTGGATCACTTCGTCTGTAGCTTGTGCTGGTTTATATGATATCATCGTGGTCGGAATATGGTTATTATCGGTCATGTTGATTGTCTGTTGGTTATTTAAAACGTGATTGTTGTCCCTCTATATAAATTTAAAAAAATTATTATTTTATTTTTGCAATAATATTAATAATAGCGGTCAGTAACGATTAAAATTGAATTAAATTAGGACTCGACAATGTGTAAATATAAATATTGTTGATCAAGACTTACACATTCGTGTTTGAGGAGTATTTGTTGCTGTTGTGAGGGTTGATTACGAAAATCTCTGGTGGAATTCACCAACAAGTTATTGTTCAAAGCAGCGGCATTCAAATGACTTTGGTTGGCCTGAAAATTGAAAAAAAAAAATATATTCGGTTACATGACAATATAATAATAATAATATTAACATAATATTATAATGTATACAGTAATACAGTAATACATTATAATGTATAACAATATAATATTATTATGTACATAAGTCGGCGGAAAAATGCAAAAATAAAATTCGTATACCTTGTTCACGTGATTATTCATGATTAGAGCGTTCATTGTCCTGGAGGAGTTAACATGATGGTTGGCGAGTAACATTGTGCCGGGGCGTGATCTACTACCAGTGGTCGAAGACACCTACAGGGAACAGAAATTCCGCACGAAAACAAAATAAAAATGTTACGATATTATCAAATGATGCATTTGCGAAGAAATTAAAAGAAAAAGTCATGGATACTGCTCCAAGATAGGTCACTAATGTGAAGTGATAAGTGGAAAGGTTCGATGTATTATAGACTAGATAGGCTAATTATAGTTGTAGCTAATACTCAGTAGCATTGCAACATTTATCTACTGCATTTAATGATAAATTATTGCAAACGAAAAAGAAACACGAGTTTGAGAAGAGTTATGATACAATCGTATCTTAATAATAATAAAAAAAAACCACCGGAAGTTCACAAAAAGTTGGTCGTTAGACATGAAATTTGCGTGTCAGAGGATTTTCTGAATTGATTTGGATATTATAGAATCACGGGACAGTCGCGAGTCGCTACATCGATTATTCTGAATTATTTGAACCAATTTTTAGTTTAAAAACAATTAAATTTTTTAAATCCATTATAAAATATCAAACAAATTTGAGAAAATTAGATGGTTACAGATACAAAAACACACATACACATACACACACGCATAAATATATACATACATACATACATACATGCATACATACATACATACATACATACATACATATATACATACATACATACATACATACATACATACATCATAATAAAATAAAGTTTGCTACACCAAATTGTAAAATGAGAAAAAAACCCGAAACTAACAAATGGCCATATTTTGATAGCCGTCGCACCTGATTGCTATCAGACGGTGAAATCCTTCTGATCGGACGCGAGCACGATTGACCATCCGGGCACGTCGAGTCTGGACATCCGCATTCCAGTGTTCTACTCAGGAGCGTTGCCCTAGCGTTCTTCTGCCATTCCATTAATTGTGTGACCATGGCTGCAACGCATTCAGCGGTCTAAGGACAAATGTTGAAAAATATATTATCGTCAGTCCGATGTACACCGTGGAATACTTGGTTTTGATAAAAAAAACAAATTATGGCTGGCTACCCCAAGACAGCTAACCCGCAATGTTTCGAATATCCAAAGCTCAGGTTTTTTTTTTTGGAATAATCATAATACCTGTGTACAATTTTGTACACTTAGTTTCGAAGGCAATCATCGAAGGAAACTTGTCCGTTATACCCTCTACAAACCGCTAATTTCACATAATATTTATATCACAATATATTTATAAACTTTAATATTATAGATGAATCGTAAAATACGTCTACAATAAAGGCGTAAAATAACATGTACCTAATAAAGTGATAGTCCCCGATACTCTGCCACTACACGTTTTAAAAGTAAACCAACTTCGCGTCATTTGAGAGGGTGTCATAAAATTAGTGTGAAAATAATAAATTATAGCTTACATATTTGTACGTTTCATTTCATTTTCGTCTCAACGATAGATAAATAATAATAATATCTAAAAACACCTAATCTAAAATTGCGATTTTTATTTAAACAAAACAGACACTATAGTCTTGGTGTTGATCCGTGGTTTGTATGTGTAATTTAACTTAAGCCTAAAAACATACAAACAAAATACATTATGTTCCCGTATTTCATATCAGTGGCAAGGTGTTCTGATAAAAAAAGTTTGATTTTAGCAATACAACTGTATGTGTAAAATAAGTTAAATGTACTTATTGATTAGAATCCCTGTAATAATATTAAGTGTAAGTAAAGTTTAATATACAAAAAAGAATAGACAGTCTCTAATATTGATAATCGATTATTGCAATCATATTACCCGTAAGCTCTCGCGTGGGGTAAATAATCTCCCATGCTATTTTCGCATGTAAATTTTATTATCATTATCTAAATAAAAAAAAAAAATATTTTTCAATGTAATCATCTGAATGAAATAATAGATTAATTTAAATATAATTATTTAGATAATTTATAAAATAACTATAGTATAGCTGCTTATAAAAAAATTTGTTAATTATAAATTTAATAGACATCGGTATTTTATCATTTATATTATATTACATAGATACAGTCGATAGCATAACTCACAAGTATAATAAGTGACATTTTTGTTTGTGACAAGTTTGTACAACTATATCAATTAAAAACTTAACTTTGCAATTATATAATTATAGTTTTTGATTGAAGCACTTTAAAGATATGTTTATTATTAATTTTATGAACTGGACTAGTCTACCCACAAATGTAAATACATTTATTTTTACATACACTTAACACATTTGTATTTAAATCGGGGCTTCAAACCGAAATGATTTTTTGTAGTCTTTTCTTCTATTTTTTTTTTTTTTTAATAAAAGTTCGGCCACTATATGATATTATATAAAAAAATGCAATTATCTTCCTATGAAACGAAATATTTGTATAAATGAAGAAATGATTCCTTTTATAAGAAATTTATCTATAAGGCAATATTTAAGAAATAAACCAAACTCTCTCTCTCTATATATAGTTTCAATCCGCAGATTGGTTTGCAGCCATCTTCCATTCTTCTCTATTATCCGCTTTCCTTTTCATTTCTACGTATGAGTTGCATCCTTGGTNCTTACCGTCTATGCATCCTTCTATGATCAATTTTAGTAGTCCCTCGTGTCGCATTATATGGCCTATCCATTCGTTTCGTCTTTTAACTATATTTTTCCATATTAATTTTTCTTCTGATATCCCCTCTCTAGCACCTCTTCATTTGTTACTCTGTCCATCCAGCTTATTCCCAACATTCTTCTGTAACGCCACATTTCAAACGATTCTAGCCTTCTTCGATTTTCCGTTGTTATTGTCCAGGTTTCACACCCATAGAGGGCTATACTCAATAAATGCCTTCAATAGATTTTTCCTAATTTTTAGGCTAATGTTTCTTGATGCAAGAANTCGCTATTATTTCTTCCATCATTACTGATGATGCTCCCTAGGTATGCAAATTCATCTACTTGTTTTACTGTCTGGTTTCCTCGTAGCTTTATCTGTATTCTGGTTACATTCTCCCTACCACAAACGAGTACTCTAGTAAACCAAACTCGTGGGGTACTAAAGCATTTATGTTGTGTGGTGAAAGTGGCGTTGTATATGATTTTGTGTAACACTAAGGTTCAAAAACCGAAAAAAATGCATAAATTCAAAAACGATTTGGTTAAGGCTCTGGAGTTGTTTTACATCTTAGTAAAATCGTAAAAAAAAATCAAAATTTTTTATATCTTGACAATTATTTTTTGTCGTTCAACCTTTTTGAACATTTGCAACAAATTGTGATTTATGCCGCTGGTACGATTCGTGTAAATCGAAATCCACCGTTACTTGCGGATAAACAGTTAGCCGAAATGGAAAAGGGGCTACTTTTGAAGTTCAGTCAGATTTACCAAATTGTAATGTTGGAGTTGTACAATGGTACGACAACAATGTAGTAAACTTGGCATCAAACTTTATTACATCTGGAAACACAGATTTTACTAGATGTTGGAACAAAAAAAAAGAATGTATGTAGACGTTGATAGGCCTGAGATTGTACAAAAGTACACAAATCTATGGGTGGCATAGACAATATAGATAAGTTGATAAGTTATTATAGAACATTTTTATCAAGTCTCGAAAATGGACTCTACTCATAATTGCTCATGCATTCAACATGACTACTGCAAACTACTAGTTGACTTATATGAAAGACGCTAACATTTTGTTATTTTGAAATCACAACAAAAACCCTTCGTAAACTTCGTGTAAAAATGGCTGAGTAAAAAAATTAGATCTTTAAGCACTATAAAGATGTAATATCATAAATTAATGCTAAGTATATTGAAGTTAAGTAAACGTAGTTTGTTTCAATAATTTTTATACTTGGCGAGGAATTATTTCTTAAACGAAACAAAGTGTGATAAACAAAATAATTAAATGGCCAGTGCCGTATTTCCCAGTAAACACTTTAAGCTAATGCTTAGGGCGACAAATTATTTTAGATTCTGAGTGGAGCAGGAACAAAAAAAATCACAGGGAGCTAAGTCCGGTGAATATGCTGGGTCACTAGTATATTTTTAGATGCTAAAAATTCACGTATGGAAAGTGCTGAATGCGCTGATACATTATCATGGTGCAAAAACCACGACTTTGATTTCTACGCTTCTGGTCTTTTATGGCGTACTTTCTCTTTTAATCGTTCAAGTACTTGTTTATAGAACACTTGATTTACTGTCGGACCCGTAGGTACAAACTCATAATGGACTAATCCAAAAACATCGAAAAAAACAATGAGCATTGCTTTGATGTTTGACCGGATCTGACGACATTTTTTTGGACGAGGTGAATTTGCGGTCTTCCGTTGCGATGATTGAACTTTGGTTTCGGGATCATATCTATATACCCATGTTTCATCACCCGTAATAATTGATTTTATTAAACATGGGTCATTAGAAACCCGATTTTTAGTTCCAAACACACTTCAATACGATGTTCCATTTGCTCTTCGGTTAACAATATTGGCACTAATTTTGCGAGCACTCTTTTCATACCCAATTCATTTGATAAAATTGAATAACAAGTACCAATTCATTGGCTACATCTCTAACAGTTAATCTTCAATCGTATCTAATATTGTTTTGAACAAGAGCAATGGTATCATTTGTTTTTGATGTTGATGGACGCCCAGGACGATGGTCATCTTCAATGGATATCCGACCTTCTTTAAAATGTTTGAACCAATCAAAAGTTACACAACGGCTTAGTGAAATATTTCCAAAAGCCAATTTAATCAATTCAAACATTTCGGTAGAATTTTTACCAATTTTGAAACAAAATTTAATATACGGTCGTTGCTCTGTAATATTATCCATCGTAAAATCACGATTTAATACAAAATTACCAACTTTGAACACGTATTGTCGATGACTGATTTGAGATAATTACTATAATTATATACTGAAATAATGGTCATTATTTCTAGTTTATTTTGGTATATTAATATTGTCGATAACTTAAAATGTTTATCTGAAATAATTTTAGTCTCGGTATTTATAGTCTATCGGTAATTTTAGTCTCGGTGAACACACCTCGTACATTTAATCTTTAGTTAATCTACTTTCTCTTTTTCTGTGTTTAAAGTTATATTCTGAATCATAGAATCCAATAATTTTCCAAGGTTATAAAATTCATTAGAATGCATAGTCGTTACTTTGTATGGATTAGGTTTTATCCTGGCAGATGAAAACAAAAATGCCCATTCTCTGCTGGGAAATGCTATTTTGTGTTTCTTATATTGCTCTATAGTAGTATGTATAGATTTTGCCTCAAGGTACGAATAACCAGATTCCATAAATTGTACACCAATTCTTTCTATATTACGTATGCGATTCACTGCATATACAACATTGCTGCCCCAATATTTTTATTTCTGTTTTGGTCTCTACAAGTGTCAGAGAAAATTGAAATATGAGTAACTGATTCTGGTAACTATGAAAAATAATTTAATAAACATGCACCTATTTCCACACTTCGTTTTTTACTATTAAATTGATCCCAGACATAAAAATACCCGTAATTTTTATAAGAATCAAATATTGTGAAGTTATACACATTTTTTACACATGTTTTAACGTCACTTAACACATTTAAATGCAACATAAAGACATTCATAAAAATCACAATTGTTATAAATCAGTTAGATCATTTTGTAATTTACTAATTTTAGACATTCGTACTTATTTCAAATCAACACGAAATTTGGCGGAGTAAATAATGAACTATCCACTTACAAAGTTTGTGCAGAATTTTATAATTTAATTGAATATGTACTTAAATTATTTTTAAAAAAATTTCACTTTTCAATTATCATACTTGTGGGCTACGCCATCGCAGTTGCAGTTGTCACAGTTGTAACAGATATTTAATTATATAATATAATATGATTAATTTTGACATAAATCAATTTGACATAAGTCACAAGACAACAGGTTAGATAATAATATGCGATGGTTTTAGTTTTTAAAATGTCTCAGTCGGAAAGCTATTTCAGGAGCAGGTGGCTGTGGCATACTTTGCCCCTTCTCTATGTACACCACTGTTACATATACAAACAAAATTATAATATTTAAAAAAAAAAAAAAACCCGAAACAATATAATATAGAAAATACACAAAGCTCAATATTAAATTGTTGAGCGCAGATATTATATCAATGGACGAAACATCAAACATCAGACTTTCGGAAATACGATTTTATGTGTTCGATCACCAATATAGTGCAGTAATTTTAATTATGTTAACGGAACCGAAAATATTATAATCTATCCATATGATATCGTATTTATTGATAAAATTCAACTACGGGAATATTGTTTTTAAACAAATTGCCCATCTTTGGTGTGTTTAGCCGGGGAACTCGTTAATTTCAGTGATTCGCTATTTCGATGATGATGATAATAATAATATATTATTATAATGTAATTTTTTCTGTCGAACGAAAAAATTACGTATTCATAACGCATTTCACACAATTATATAATTCATACTTTATGGTTTAAACTATAATACGTATATCTATATATATCTATATAATAATATATTGTTAAACATAATTTTCTCTCGAGAGAAAGAGAGAGTATTAAAGTCTTCGAAAAGTTATACCATACGATAACATTCGTGGGTGTAGTAGAAAATAATAATATGTTGATGACACGGTTTCTAAAAAATAGTCGCCATCAATTTAAAAAGCAATATTAAAAGTTGAAAATATACGCTACGAAACGAGCGGATTTTAGATTTGAAAAGTTTGGTATATATAATGACATCGTGTTATTTGCATGTTAACAACGTCGGATAAAACGGGACCCTTAGCTATACATAGTAGTATTGAATTTATGTATGTAAAAAATCGGCTCTTCTCTGTTTTTTTTTTTTTTTTATATGTCTACCGTTTCAGCTAGGAAAAGTTGATTATCATTACGTCGAATTTCTCCGCGTAGGTGTAATACGCGCGCCACTATGTTATTCCGCATTACTTTCAAATTACTTTTTCTGTTTATAATATCTGATAATATAATTTATCCACGCCATTCGTTTACTAGACTCTTTTAAACGGGATAGATAGGTATAGCTATAGTTTTCGTCAAACGCATTTAAGTATTATAGCACATTCAGCGTGCGGTAAACGAGTATAATAATTACACGGGTACCTATTTTTATTTTTATTTTACAATGCGGACCGTTAAAAATGTGTAAAATTTATATAATTTACATATAAAGCTAATGTGGCTAACAAAAAAATTGAATTGATTATTTTTAAACAAATCATTAAACATGGAAACAATTAATTAATTTTCAAAAGATTCAAAAATCTAATGTAACTCTAGTCCATAATTATTACTATCGTGTGATATATATATATATATTTTTTTTTTTTTGCAACACTGGCTTTGTTTGCACCAAGTCATCGATATTTTATAAGTATATCGAGTTTCTGGTATTAAAACTTTTTGAATCGCTACAAAAATAACTACTAAAATCGATTTTGTTTTGTTCGAAAAAAAAAAATGGTACATCGTAAATCACGTAGTTATTAAAGCGATTCTCCCGGTAGTTGTTTTTCTCAATTTACAGAAAACCTACAGTGACATTATTCGGGAATTGATCTCTTTCACGTACTTTCAAACATACTGTTTGTATTATTCGGTTTCATGTATATATTTATAGTGTATACGAGTAGGTACATGGATAATGTTGTTGTTGTAATGGTGTATAAAACTTTTGGGCGATTCTTCTTTTAAAAAAAAAATACACACGCAAATCGAAAAGGAAAACGGTTCGTTATTGTACACAGGTATAAGATCAATAATTTCTAACCTAATCCGAAACTATAAACAGTATAGTTTTACTTAAAGGTGGCAAATGTCGAATAACAATATAATTATAGTACGTACATTATGTATTTTTGTTTTTTTTATTAAAACCAATAAATTACAATATAAACATTTAAATCAATTTACTCCAATATTATGCAAACATTGTGGCGGGGCAAATGCGTTACAACAAATGATTCATATATAAAATTAAAAAATAAAACCGATTACACCGATAATATTGACTTTTATTATAACACTATATAATATTACACAGTTCATTTACTAAAATTAATTTATAAGTTTTCTGATAAATTATCAAAATAAATAATTATATTGCATTGATAATCATGTTTTCTATCAACATATTGAAAACAGTTGGTCCTAGGACCTAGATAATCAACAAAAAGTTTACCTAAAATCTCTTTTGTTGTACCAAACTGTAATGTCGCGTTTATATTATGAAGAATTAAATGTTTGTTAATACAAATATTACGTATCATGTTAATAAGTAACAAAAAAAAAAAAACTATAATATTGAATATATCTAAACACTATTAGGATAATAATGTTACCAACCGCAATTCAACTGTACAAAACTGTTTTACATGGGAAAAAACTACTCGGGCTATAGAGCTAATTAAAATACTAAATTTCTACTATAATAAGTTATTATTGTTCTGAAATCTGATAGTAGTATTTTAGTGCTAATGATATCGATAAGTTAAAATCAACGTTGCACAGTGCGTGTTTTTTTTTTTTTTTTGTCATGTTTTCTCTTTTAATGAAAATTCAGTTTCTTAGTCGAATGTAGAGTCAAGTCAAAGAAGATTTTTTTCGCGTAAAATTGTTTCGCCGTAAAAATGTTTGCCTATTCCACGACTACACAATGAATATGCTTAATATTCGGAACTAAATTGTTTATGTATTTAAAAGTGAATTTGAATATTTTAGAGTTGATACAATTTAAATTTTCCAGAGATGGCAAGAAAGTTGCCTCAATGAAATTCTTTAAAGCGCCCGAGGTAGTGCGTTCTCTTAAATATCATACATTTAGATATGTAAAATAAATTTAAGAAATGCACTTTGAATTATAATTTTTGGAAGTACGATCGTAGATGTAATAAAATATTTAGAGCGATTTAAAGACCGTACCGTTTAATGATAAAAAGGTTAGAGTAGAATAAGATATTTATAAAACATATTTATACATTTCCCTAACATTTAGAGGGAGGAGGGATCTTAAAACGTCCCTCATGTACGATTTATATGTATTAAGTATTTAAATTTGAGTTTTTTTAAACGAAACAAAGTAATGGTATCAATAAAATGAGTAGCCGATATTTTTTCCGAATGCCGGTTATACGATGAAATAGGAAGTTAGTTTTTTTATCTCAATGACATTTTCTATGTCCTAAATCGACAACTTTCAACTTCGCGCGGTGGTTCATATTATTATTTACATGTGATTATTTTACCGAAATACAGAGTGAATTTTTAAATAAGGAAATACAAGTTTCATTTTAAAATAGCCATTATATCTACGGATATTTTAATAGTAAAATTGATTTTGACTTTTTCGTCGTCTTAATATATTCAAAGTCTTATTCTTATTATTCCGTACACAATAAATAATTATTATAAATTTATAATTTTCAAATATATTTGAATCGCTCTTTTTCTCTTATTAGTGTTATTATCCTAAAATAAAATCTTGGAAAACGTATTGTTTTTCTTTGTTCTAGAAGTGTTTTAGGTTATACTCAATGGCATATTTAGGATTTTGTTGCCCTAGTTATACATTTTTTGTATGCCCTCTTCCTCACAGTTTTTTTATAGTGACAATTTTTTTTATGGATAAAAAAAATTACAATACATATGATATGATAATAGTATCATGTAGTATAAAAAACTATCGAGTACCCTAGAATGTTAAAATGCCCCTTAGAATGCAATATTAACTTTTTTTTTAAATATCTAGTAAATTATCATCTTTCATGGCATTACATAAATATAGCACCGATTTTGTGGGTATGCTTTCTGGTAAATTTTTTTCACTAAAAAGTGAAAATCCAAAGACAAAAATAATATTTTGACCAATTTTATAATGTCGAAAAGATGCACTTGAAAAGATGGTACTTTCGGTATCAAAAAACACAAATTTATCAGAGTGGTAGTACTGTTTTTGAACAGCTAACCACAAACAAAAAACCAATACACGCGCGTTTATTATAAAAATGTGGAGATTAATTTCACAAAATAGCTGTGTTGTATTGATATTAATAGAACGTTTTGTTGACATTAATTTACCTATTTAAAAAACTAGTTTTAATTTTTTTTTTTTACAACTGCTTAAATTATTATAAATCTGTTTAGAAAAAAAAGTCCCAGTTAAATTTGCTGCCCCCAAAAAAGTGCTGCCTGGAGCAATTGCTCTCCTCGGCCTCCCTAAATACGCCACTGGTTATACTATTATTTTAAAAAGATATATCATAATACAAATTAATAAGCCGTTTACATAAAAATTGGCTCATTTACCTATTTATTAGTAAAATCAGAAAATTGTTGAAAATGTTTTTATTACTAAAACTTGAACAACGGTGTTAATATACGAAAAAAAGACGAATACACTTCGCATGGTGGGTGGTAGAATACAGAGGATAATTGAATGTATATCTGAATGAAAAACAATTCTAAGCGAAGTTCAGTTATAAATGTTTTGAAAGGACGTAATATCTACGATTTTTTAAAATACTTCTGCATCACTTCTAGTGTAGTTTCCATTTCTTTTTCGTTTTTGGTTACTAAACCAATGTCTTCAGCGAATCTAAACAATTGTATAAGTTCTCTTTCATTCTTATTTTTTCGTCTATTGAGCGTGTCCTTTATTTTTTGGATTGATTTTTCGACGCATATATTAAACATCATTGGCAAAATGGGACACCCTTGCCTAGTGCCTTTCCGTATTTTTGCTGTTGCAGATTTGTTTTCTATTCTTATTCTGCTGTCTGGTTTCTGTAGAAACTGTGTATTAATTTTTTATCCTTGTAATCCACTCCTACTTGTAGAGTCTGGAATAATTTTTGCCAGCTCACTTTATGAAATGCCTTTTCTAGGTCTCCAAAGACAATCAGCGTGTTTTTATTCAATTCTAACTGCTTCTTTTGTCCCTTTATTCTTCCTAAAGCCATACTGGTCACACCCTAGTTGCTCATCTATTTTATTTTCTATTCTTTTACATATTGCTTTTACTAGTATTTTTGTTGCGTGAGCCATAGGGCTTAGTGGACGGAAGTCATTGCATTTGTCTGTGGTTGCATTTTTTGGTATTGGGATGATAATAATTTTCTGGAGGTATTCAGGGATGACTTCTGATTCATATATTTCCTTGACAAGTTTAAATAACTCTTTTTTAACTGTTTCCTTTGATTTTTGGATGAGTTCTATAGGTTTATTATCTACTCCAAGACCTTTATTTCTTCTCATTTCTTCTAATACATTATTATATTCGTCTTTTAGAATAGTCCCATCATGTTTATCCGCAATCCCACTGTTTTGCACATCATTTCCATCGGTTCCTTATTATAGTTTCTCAATATATTGTTTCTATCTTCCAACTTTATCTTCATTATTCAAGGTTAAATTACCATTCTCATCCCTGATTCTGTCATTAATACTAATCCATATTAATATATTTTAAACCTAACCTAACTGTACGTGGAGTCCTTACACGAGAGTAAATGCGCTATCGCATGCTCGACAAGTATCAATTTATTATTATAGTATTATAGCATTAATGATGACTGGTGATTGGTGTTATCGTAAAACAAGCCTACTCATAATCAGTTTTGATTTTAGAACACGGCAGGTAACATTATATATTATCTTTGTATGTGTATTATGTCAATCCCCATAAAAACCGGTTGTAGATAAAATATTGTGCCGCGGATAACGTGATCACTTGGGTTCGGGACTTACTTATTTTTTAAAAATGGCTGTAGAATAATCTAAGTTTGTATAAATTTGTTTTAAGACGTAACGAGCTAAAATACAAACATATTAATTGCATATTTTACCGGTTTTTAGGTAAAATTCATATTTGACAAATGTTGGCAATTTAGTTGTTATTATTAGCATATTTACGCATTTTTAAGTGTTATGGTCAATTCATATTTTAAATTTTAAATCATTATGTGACATACGTTGGTTTACTTGTAAATTAATACCAATGTTAATACTATCGTAGATAGAATAGAACGAAAATAAGATTGAATATTATTAGCTGGTCGTGGCAACAATTATAGGGAAATACCTTATTATTTCTGCGTATACTATATAGCTCTATTTATAAATTATTATTATCGTTTATTAACGGAAATCATTTGAGTAATTAAAAGATAAAATATTAAATAGGTATTCAGTTTGTTTTCGTACACGCTGTGGTTTTTGTACGTCCGTTATTCTCCTAGCTTAAATATTCCGATAGTAACGAACAATACGCGTATTAAACAATATATAACCAAGTTTGGGGAATATGTTTTTTCAAGTGATGGAAACATTTTGTTTTGCAAATTTTGTGAAACAAAAATAAGTATAGATAGGCGATATTTGGTAACATAGAAAATGGAAAAACATAAATCAGCCGAAAAACCTAAGCAATATTAAATGAAAAATAATTCAACGAATATTAAATTATTTGATAAGTCGATGAATATATTATAGCCTGGCGGAGTTAAACATGATGAAGTTTTGTTGTTCTTGACCCTTATATGATTAACTTTGTAAATTCAATAAAAATATTATACTCAAACATGATTCACTCCACATGCGTTGCAGAAACCATGTGTATTTTAAAAATCTTTAAAAAGGGCCTATCTCACGTTCAAATTTTCAAAGATTATGCCCCATTATTACCACTGCCACCTGAACCGGTATTAACGAGGTGGGATACATGAATTCAAGATACCTTTTATTATTGCGAACATTTTGAGATTGTAAACTCGTTTAATAAAAATGATACAATATCTATCAATTTCGACTCCACAAAAATACATCGGAAAACAATATATTCAAAATCAACTTGTATTTATTAAATCTAACTTTTCATTTTTACCAAACGCAATTACATGTCTTGAAAAATAAGGAATGGCACTTACTGGTATTATTACCAGTGCTTCGATAGTAGAAAATGCAAAAATAAAATTAACCCAAGCAGGTGGAACACAAGGAAAAACAATAGAAACAGTGTTGGAGAAAAATAAGGATTATAAATTGATGATTAAAATTTCCAAAATGTTATCCGAAAAGCAAGACAATTTCGAGGGTTTACCTGAAGATTTAAAATTAATAGTTATTTATTTTATTTTATTAATATAAAATTTTATTTATTTTAAAAATGCATCGATAACGTTAATAGACGTAGAACGTACCTTTTCAATGCATAATAATATGTTAACCAATAATCGTCGTACATTTAAATTTGATAATATCAGAAAATGTCTTATTGTACAGTCCAACTTTACAGGTACTCTACTATTTTTAAAATTAAATCAATACAAATTACTATTTTGCTTTTGGTTTGAAATTAAGAAACATGTGTTAGAATTTTTGAAAATATGAAAATGTAACAAAAGAGGGGATAAAAGGCAATTTTTAAAATTCATATCTTCTAGGAGTTTTAAAATAAAGAGGCACTTTTAGAGAGATTTCAGGAAGGATTACTGCTATCCTAATTCCACCCTCCAAAACTACCATTGAATAATAATATCTACTTCCAAAATTTAAAACCCTAACTATTTATATAACCCGACATACAGGAACCAGTTCTATACGATGAATATGCATAGTGTTGGAACCTTTAAAACCTATACAACTTACCAGATTTCCAATTTTTTTAAAAATTGTTCGTGGTTTCGAAAATTAATTCTTTAAAAACCGAAAATTGATGTCAAATTAAATTGTATGAAAAATAAGATAAATCAGAACGAAGAAGTTGTATAAGTAATCAACAGACGATTTAAAATAATAATATTACAGTGATACCTTGTGAGGTGAGGTTAAAATTTTTCGTAACGTGAGACTCTTGGAGAAAAATAAGCTCCAATATTTGGACTAAAATAAACTCTACAGACATGTAAACTGCACACAGATGAAGCCACGAATAAGATCGCGGGTAATACAGCTAGTTAAACAAACGGTGTGTTGAATATATTATCTTACTTTTCTGTTATCAGGACTACAAATTCTGATATTTGTCTGCGAAAGGAATTTGGTGGTGAGCCCATAGCGAGGTTTAGGTTTACACTAAATACACTAACTTCCTTACACTAGTATCAGAATTACAGTATATACGATTTTTCACGACAGTGAGTATTTCGAAAACTAATTTATTTATTTTATTATTTTCAAATATTATGAGTTCGTACAAATTATCAATTTTTGAAAGCAAATCAAAGTTTAAAGGCAAAAAATTGCATTTACATTAACATACTAGATTTCTGATCGATACAGAAAGGATACAACTACCATGAGCTGTATTTTTCTTACAGCCATCACAAGTTATAGAAGTAGTATTTCGATTAATCGCGGATGAGTAAATATCACATGTGTGAGCCATTACGAAAAACCTCAAAGTGAACTGCGATAGTGGACACAGGCACGATAAATAATAATCGAATGTCTTACGACGGACAAAACTGTACTGTATAATAATACTATAATATGAGAGCAGGCAGTTTTTGAGTGACGAGAGGCTGAAAAAGCTTGTTGTGACTCTGATCACGTCATGAGAAAATCGTGGATACAATTCGATTGACGCGATAAATTTCTTTATTTTTTTATGAACGCAAGTCGAATGTTTCTTGTTTTAGATAATCTTTGTGTATTATGTCCTATATTATTTTAAGATAATTCAAATTTCAAAGTAACAATTTGTATCATATCTCTTTATTATGGTTGCACAGTGCATATTAATCGATGATAAAATTGAGGGGGTCAGTACACAACTCGAGGGAAACAACTTTATATAACGTCAAAATCAAGTTTCTTGAACAATCGATGTAGTAAGAATAATACAATATTGCAATATTATATTTGTGCGTAATAATTTTAGACTCTAAGTGTAGAGAAGAAGTAATTTTACTAAGATATATGTTATTATTTTATTTTCTTGGAAAGTACTTTTATAGTTGATTAAAATACTCACATTTTTTCATGCCGTAACTTAAAATATACAGATTTTCTGAAATTGAAATATTTATCGACATTTTAGCAATTTATCTCGTAGGTCAATACATGTTTTCTTTTTTTTCTTTTTTGAGTTCCCATGTAACAACGTGAAAACACACGACTAATACTACTCCGCTCAGCATTGTTTTTCATATGTAGTGATTTATCGAACTATATTATTTACATCGATACGCAACAAACAGAAAATCCAAAATAATGAAATATCGTACATTTTCAATTTTGTCTACGTTTTTCTCGATTTTCTCTAATTGTTAGAAGAACTACAAGGCGAATCAAATAATTACCTTTACAGTGCATCAACTAAACTCTACAAATAATTTTTTTTATGTATTTTTAATTTTGACTATTCAACAATCTGTTACATATATTAACAATAAGAATATGGGTGAGGTTTACATAAAAGTTCTTAGGACGTAAGTTGAAAACGTAATCTATTGATAGCACTTTGACTCTACGAATAATAAAAACGTTGGCGAATTGTTAAGAAAAAAAAAATTATAACTATAAATAAATAAAGTTGGGAATGTAGAATTACATCAAGTTATTTAATTTATATCTGTGCGCAATTTATAAACCATTGCTAACGAAAAGAACAACTCTGGGTGAAGTTCAGTTATACATGTTTTGAAATTTAAACGCTTATAAAAAAAATTATTTCTGCTTAACTTTTTATAAATAACTCAAATCTAACTTAAATGTGAATATAATTAAACCATCAATGCCGCAACATGACGGATAAATATCTCTTGTTATTTTTTGATAAAAATACAAGAAAAGACAGTACAGTAAAACGAATATATTTTTTTCAAAGCCACAAACTAAAAGAGAGATACGACAAAAAAGGTATAAATAATTTTATTCCTAATTGATTGTCACGATTGACTATGCCATTAGTGAAAATTCCGTTTTCAAAATTTTAATATACACAAAAAAATAAATACATTAACATTAATTTACATAAATAATTATTCTGACTATATACCTATACTTCTTAAAATTAATTATTTATCGAGTAATCAAAATGCGTATACTGTTTACCTACATTAAAGAACTTCTAAATATGTAAAGTATTTTCTTTTCTTTTCTTTTCTTTTCCATTTTTTTTTTTTTTTATGAAAAGTCACTATTTCTTAAAATAAAAACAAATTAAGAATGATTCAAATTTTCTAGTTTTTCTTCCTATCTATATGAATAATATATATAAATATTAAATATTGACTGCTTAAAATGAAACTGATCGTTCATAATATATATATCTACTAGAAAAACGCAAAAAAAAAACCAATTTTTTATTTATTTATTTTAGATATCGAGTGTAGAGAATTTCCAATTATCAAATTGTATAGTTTAATACATAATATATACAATGTGCATACATTAACTAAATTTTTTTAAATATTTAGTTATATTTCATTGTTAATGCATTTTTAAAAAAGATCATCGTAGGGATCAAAAGGGACAAGAAGGTAAAAAAGGCATTAAAAAGAAGTGCACATAATATATAAATAAATAGGAAATACAAATAATATAACTTACCTACCTAATATAATTTTGAAATAGTTTAAAACATATAATTTCGAAAAAATATACAAAAAAAAGAGCTGATGATGCTAATTAAAATTATTTAATTTCCGTCTGTATAAAATATGATTCTGAGTGAATTCTTTAATTAAACATGTTTTGAAACACAGTTATTTTTTCGCTTATAAACCACTACTATTGTTCTAAATATTATCGTTTTGACCACCGAAAAAAACGTATGTTTATGATGAACCTCGCGTTAAATAGTTGTTTTTTATATTTTTACCCAACCAAACAATTGTATTCATGTAAAACCAAATAAAACTTATAAAAACTAAACAATTTAAAACGCTTATGAATAGCAAAAAAATAAAAGTATTCTGCGAAAGTGTTTCGAAAGTTTCTACAATTATTTTTAACCTAAATTAGGTACAACAAAAAAATAAAATCAAAATTAATAAAACCATTATTTTGATGAATTACAACATTTGGCCTACATTTTTCCGGGGTTTGACATTTATTAAGAAAACTACACAAAATTAACAACTTTCATATACGTATCAGCTAGACAAAATTTTTCAAAAAAATTACTGCAATTAATATTTTAGCAAGACTTCTAGTAGACAAATAATCAAAAAGTTAGATTTTAAAAATCTGAAACTTGGATTTATAAAACGTTTCAGAAACCGGGTTTCCGGAGTACACGAAATTTGATTTCTGAAAACTTCAAAAATAAACTTTATTAGGCATTTTCACTTTCATCAAAATTTCCGAAAAAACTTTTAAAAAAAACTTTTTTTTTCACATGTTGGCCCCTAGTTCTATTGGCCAATCAGAGCACGAGGGACAAGGGTGGAAGTCTTATAAAAATTGTATAATATTTAGTAATTTTAAAACATTATTTCGAAAAAAGTATTAAATAAAACACTTGTGAAAAGAAGATAGTATAAGTAGGAGTTGAAATTTTAAACCTCCAAAAAGGTTTGACACTATCACCGTGTATATACAAAATTGTGTTGCCGTGGCTTCAATTATCTGTAGAGGTGTACAAAGGTGAAAAAACTAGGTCTGCCCACAACATTAGAACTAAATTTATATTGAAATTCAATCCAATTTTTATTACCGCCAACAAAACCACTCTAATTTCCGAGTTTGAGTTAATTTGATTCAGAAGGAGCCGCTACATATATCCAAAAATAACTGGAAAAAGATAATATATTATAAATAATATATACTATTCATATTACCTATGTGTAATATATATAACAGCAAGCACAATACGGTGCAATAGTCTCTATTTTATGGAAAATTCGACAAAAACAGAAAAAAACAAATTTATAAGATAAATGCTATAATGTGCTCAACTTTTTTTTTTTTTCGTTTGGATAGGTATCTACTAATTCTTGCGTTTAAATTAAAACTAGGAATAAATGTAGGACAATGATTTCATATACGGTATGCAAATTAAAATGAATGTACTATTATGGGAACTTATTATATCCGTATAATATAATAATTTTTTACCGTAGAATGTTTTTTTTTTTTTATCATTTCAATAACGACGTGCATTTATATATTTTTTTTAAATGTTCCAATATGGATATTATTTTTTACATTTAAAAAAAAATATAAATAATACCGCGACCGGGATATTTATTATGTTATGATGGAAACCACATGCAGGGTGCAATAAAAAACATTTTAAATCTTAAAAATATCATAAAATTATTATTACTTTGCAATAGCTCAATAGATAATATAGTTATAATATGGGATATGTGTTCCGGATTTGGAGGAAGAGGTCATTGAAATCGATAAATAATTGTTAAAAACAGTTTTAAGTAAAAATCTAGAATATACACTGTCAACCAATACTCTACTTCGAATTTTTAACTGATAATGTTAATTGTATTAAAACATGCGTCGTTTTATATATATATATATATATTATGCACGTATTCATTAAACTTTATTGCGACATTGATATTACGTCTGATTATATAAATTAATAATTTGTGTATTCACTAGTGCCGGGTAGCATAAAAATAGTTTTGTAAATTGTTGGTTTGATAATCGACTGAAGGTTCTGTAAAATTACACTTATTGAAACAGATTGCTTTTCGTGAACTAATTTCATTATTTTAATAGGAAAGTCCTAAAAAATATGTATATTAGTTAATGATTTTATTCGTATCAAATTGTACAGTGTTATGATAGTGTTAAAGCTTTAATAGGTAGTATGTGTAAAAACCAAAAATTAAAATTCGGTTGCAAAGCTATTAATTATGGTATCTTAATTTTGGAGAAAGAGTAATAATTTCGCTTTTAAATTTAACAATTTAAATCATCATATTTTTCAAGAAGATTTTTGATCTGTGAATCACCATAATCTAGCTATGATGGTGGTTAATCGAAATTTGAAATTCATCAAATTTATCTAACGAAGACGAGACTGATGAAACTAGTTTTTTTAAATTATATTCTATAGTTTGTATGGTATCCACAGAATAGCGCCTCAATTAAAAAATAAAATAAACTAAAATTAAATTGAATTACTTTGTTGCGTGATAACAAAATTATAATAAATTAAATGAGGAGATTGTCTTCGAAATATTTTGTGGTTAAACAGCTTTACAAATTCTACAGAGCTGAAATGAGTTCAATGATTTTTCGGTTCGATAACTCTGTGTTTGGTACCATATTTTATTTATATTATAAATTGGTTTTTAATTTTACATTAATAGCCAAGTTAACGGTTTTGTAAAGTTTTTATGTCCAACATATTAAAGTAAAGAATAATGTAATATTATTATATACTCTGTTTTCTATTCTTCATATTCATTTGGATAACTTAGCTTAATATTAATACAAGTTCCTAAATTTCGTATACCTTTAGAATTAAATACATACATCAAAATTCAAATCATTTAGTCAGTTTAGGATGCATGTCAAATCGTTAATTGTCTTTAATAACCTTTGTGTCAAAATATTAATTGTTCCTACGTTTATTTTTTTTCGCATAACTAAATTAATCTAACACATAACATTATTGGAAGGAATTCTCTCGTTTTACCACGATATTTTTTTTAAAGAGAGAACCAAAATGTAAATTTTGTTATTCATTTAAATATTTGTATTTCTTTGACATTAGTGTCAATAAATGATGATAAATAATGATGCCATGCTACCCGTGATTTGTCTGTAAAAATATACTGCGCGAGACCGTTTTTTTACATTACATTTATTGCATAGAATTACCAGATTTTCACTATACACACAAAGGAGAACTGTATATATCCTGTCGTGATTACTATTTTGTTAACATTAATATAAATGTTTGTTTTTTATTTTTAATGTTTTTTTTTCAAGGTTTTTTTTTTTAATTTAGATACTTCAACTTTATTGGGCAATGTTATCAAAATAATGAGCACGCTATAAGTCTCCCCTTGGTATAATGTGTGTTCCGAAATTTTGAAGTGTAGGTACATAAATAATTTGTTAAATATTTGTTTATATGTAACCATTTCATTTCATTATTTTATCGTGAAATAAATCTATTCGTGATAATGACACAAGAAATACTTATACATTTATTTTAAAGAGAATTCGAATTTTATTTCAGTTGAAACGTTTTCAGATATAATCGAAAATGTCATTAAAATTGCCTACGCATAAGTCCTTAAATGTTGAGTGTGTGATATTATCCTCTTAACGCATACAGACTGGCGTGCGTTTATTATAATATTTAAAGTGAGCTCAATGACCCAATTTATAATTTTGCGGAAGCACCACAAGTTATATCTATAATATTACTCACCGATACTTCCATTTCGTTGTTAAGGTCAGGGTCTTCTTCGTAAACTGAAAAAAAAAACAAAACAACAATGGACATTTTGTTTATCAATATTACGATTTTAATATTATGTTTATCAGGCCATTTTTTAGTGAATATCCAGTACGTGTTCATTCCCTCTACCCGTAAAACAAATTCACTAGCACATAATCAAACTTCCATCTTAACTTTTGGATTGTCCCCAGTTGCCCCAATTCCATTTATAGAAAATACAACATTTTGTAATAAAATTTATCAATTCTATCATTTACCATTTATTGCCTAGCGGACACATAGTAAGCAAAATCTTACTCTACTTGGTGTCCGATATGGACTTTACTGTATGTCCATATGGACATGGAAAACCTCTTTAAAAATGCTCTGATATTCGCAAAAACTCTATAGCCACGTCATTGTTGTTGTAAAATACTTACACATAGGTTTTAACTGAGATAGTAATTCGTCTTTTGTCCACTCTTTACGATCGGCCCATAATGCGAGGCTCGGAGAAATCACCGACAACTTGTTATCGTCCGGATACGGTACGTTTAAATAGTGCACCAACACCATATCTGGATTCTGTTGATAACCAAAGAAGACGTTAAGACATTAAGTTCGGTTAGGTTAAGTTAATTTATTATAATACTTAAACTACTCCACATCTAATATTAACATGAACATGAAAATTTATTATATTTTTCAACTTGATTGCCACGATATGATAAAAGTATTATCTTTTTAATTTATGTCAAAATAATATTTTTTACAATTTTTATTATCATAGCAAAATAATTAAACCTAAAATTTGATTTTTTTTTTTTTTTTGAATAAGGATGATAAATGTTTAACACGGGGGTGTTATTCCGTGAACATACAATTTTACTGATTAAAGATTGTATTTCATTTTATTATTATTAACTATAATATAGTTGATAATATGAAATGTAAACAATTCTCTTATATTTTATAGGTACGTGGTAAATTATTACAAATAATATAAAAATACCCACTTGCAGTAACCAGTAACATCTTCTATGGAACGTTGGAAGTATCGCTGAGTGTACGTAGCAACCATATATGCACTAGACAGAAAAAAAAAAAATTGTTATCAAAACTAAAAACAAGAAAGTTCATCGAAAATAAAATTACTACACATTAGATTATATTTTATAGGTATTTTAAATTTTGAGTGAAGCCTCATTGGTTTTTACTATGATGTGTATTTTTTATTTACGTTGTCTGTCTGTAAACAACATTTCTCTTAAATATCTTGCTACAATCAAAACATAACAAGATACCTTTTTTGTTGAATTTTAGCTCCAGTTGGTACTTTATAATAAAGGTCATTTTTTTTAAAATTAATATAATCATTAATATTTGAGGTAATGAAAAAAACTGGTTATTTAGGGTAAAAAAAGATTAAAATAATAAAAATATGATTGTCATTGACAACTGTTTTCATTTATCTTTTTGCTTTTATTAAGTTTTTATAACACTCGCGTTCGTGAGAATACACATCGTTGAAATGCTGCAATAATATTGACCGAGCTCCCGCTCAGAGTCGTTTTATGTTAGCGAAGATTAATCTTTGCGTACAGATATAAATTAAATCTTCCTCTATATCCTACTTCCCCAGGTTCTCACTAACAACAGTGGCATACACGTGGTCCGTCGATTTTTAATTTTTATATACGTTTGTTATAATTTTGTACGCGTTTTAAATTTTTAATCCGTCCAATAGCTGGTGTATAAAATGCTAAGAGGATGTTACCGCGGTTTTCAGCTCAAAAAAGCGCCACTCATGCTTCATAAAGTGGTCCGATTTCGATGATTGATTTTCTGTTGGGGACAGGAAAACTTCCTACAGATCGCATTGAACTCGCGTTTTTCAGTATTTTCTCATCACACTTTATAATACTTCTTAAAAAAAAAAAAATGGCAATTTTTAACTTTTTTAACCATATAATTTTTAATACCCGTTATTTAAAATCAAATAATAAATCGGAGTTCAATGCGATCCATACAATGTTGTTGTTTATCAATAATTACAACAAAAATGGTAGGAAAATACTATGTTAACAATGAGTTATTTCTATTCCCGCAAAGTCCTTTTCGTCCGTAAAACAGTTGTATTCATTCCCTTCAAATCAACAATGTTTTAAAATCTTCAAGACGGTGATTTAAATTTTTAAATTTTACAAAATCTGAGGAGATTCGAAAAACCGACACAGCCTAATTAAAAATAATATATTAGACGCCGGATTTGTCCAAAATTGGATATTACGAAATTCCTCGTTTCGGTATATACTAATCGTAAGATGCGTTTTATGGGTAATTAAATTCCGGCAAATATAACTTTCGGAAGACTTATATTAAACTAGGTAACAATAATATAATAAGAGTTTCGGTTGCTCGCGTCCGGCCCGAAAGTCCGTCGTAAGAAAGTCGTAATATCGTCGTCTCCGCGGAGTCACCGTACGTAAAATTAGAGTAATTTTAATTGGACACGGGTCGGGAGACGAGCGGATCGACAAAAACGTGTTCGTAGCCGCTGGAAAGTAAATCTCGTACTCGCCACACCGTGACGTTATTGCGGTGCCGAATCCAATGAAAAAGTCTCCCACGGCACGTAACCCTAAACGCGAGTTCGGATCGTGCAAGTTGCTCTTATCTTGGTAAGTAAGAACCCGTGTGCGTTATTAGTTTTCTCCAAAGGCGCGGGCGAGTTAATCAAATTATCGTGCAACTTAATATTAGATATAAGCCTTTAATGGTTAAATGTTAATGGCAAAATGCAAAATGTTCAGTCACACTATATTTACCTCTTTATAATATATTTATTTTATTAAGATTATAGTATTATACAATGTTGTTATAGCTGTTATGACATTATATAATAATACTAGCTGACCCGGCAATGCTTTGCTGTTACTTGATTATAGTGTAAATAATGGTAATAATAATAATAGTTTTCTTGTCCGTGATAATCAAATTATCATTAATGTCACCTTGAATAAATAAAAATAAATAAATAAATATATATATATGTGTACCAAAAATGCCTAAAAAACCCCTATTTTACTCCCTTAGCGGTTGAATTTTCAAAAATCTTTTCTTAGTGGATGTCTACGTCATAATAGCTATCTGTATGTAAAATTCCAGCACGATCTGTCCAGTAGTTCAAGCTAGGTGATGATAAATCAGTCAGTCGGTCAGTAAATCATGTTATTTTATATATAAGCCAATTCATTAATGGCTGGTTTCACCTTCGAGAGTTACAAGTGTGAGTTACCGATAACCCTGAGTTAACGAAAAAAAAACCACTTCACCACCTGGAGTTAGGTGGTAATTCCAAGTTAACGGAAATCTTAACTCCCATATTTTAACCCGACGGTATTTCTGAGTGTTAGCGACTTAACTCCTAGTTAGGACCACGATATCAGTTTTACTACCTTCGTGTTATTGTTTATTATAATATTCGATTTTTAAGTTTAGGCAGAAGGGGAGTATGATAAATTTGCAATTGAACACAAATTTTGTGTAACTTCAATCCATCTATAAAAAAAGAACATCTAGATCCCGAGTTTTGAGTTCATTTGGTCTAGAGGCTAAAAGTATCTAAAAGTAGCCGGAAAAAGATAAATATAAATATTATAATGCACATTATTGTGTGCCAGACACAAAATGCACGATCATCTTTTTTTTCCCCCAAACATTCGACAACAATAATTCGAGTTGGATTCGCTAGTATAACAATAGCACGACTACACACATAGTGTTACACAATAAATACGGGAGTTTATTTTTCTTTTAATTGTATTGTATGACAAAAATAATTCGCGGTAAAACTAATTTCCGAAAATAAACCTCGGTTGGTATCTGTCCCTCCGTGTGAGTGCTAAGTACACACCCAACGGTTCCAGAACGCCTCATGGAAAGAGTTTTACGCAAACACAATAATAAATATAAACAATAACACTTGTAAAATATCTCACGCCTGGCTGTCGGCCGACTGGAAATGGCACGTCATGGTGTAAATACAGACGATACACGTGCGTTTTGTGCCAACATAATATTTTATTTGGTATAAACGATATAGATTAACAGACTACAAAACGAACGTACAATATTTTTAAAACGCTGTATTAAAAAAAAAAAAAAATGTTGTGCGTTTATATTTACTTTGTAACGAACTAACCGTCTGGAATTCTAAAAAATTATATTTTATTTCCATCAACAAGCTCAATATTTTCGAATTTTTCCTTAATTTTACATTCGCCTCAATAACTCCTCTTAAATCTTTATAGACAAAGGTAAAAGTTTGATTATAAATGAATCGAATAATATTATGAGATTATACAAAATACATTATACACTTGTAATATCGTGTTACGAAAATTCCAATAACTTAAATTAAGTTGAAACCTAATATCGTACGAAATATTCAAGAAACAAATATTTTAAATATTTTTATTAAAAAATTTAACAATACATTAAATTTTATTTTGATTATTTGATTCTGAGCGTAGCGAGGAATGTATTGACTTTACTATGATATTATGTTTTGTTCTTATTTTACTGCCTGCAAACAATTTTTCTACCAGAAATATTTTTCCTATTTAAAAACAATGAGCTACCTTATTTGTTGTAGTTTGCATCTAGTTGGCGCAATGAGGAGGTCATTTTTTGATTTGTTAATTTGCTAACGGTTTGCCTAGTTTTTTATGTTCATTACATAAAATTAAAAATCCGGTTCTCAATAATTCTCAATGTATTCAATATTTATAAATTGTAATTATATTATTGAAAATTTGTCCCATTACACCAATCGAAATTCTATTAATTATTTCAATAGAATTTATGTACGAAATATTTACTGTGCTTTGCGTGTAAACTGTTATGCATTTCTCGCAATACCGAAAAAATAGTTTCCCGAAAAATACATATTATATAGGTACTATTATCGTAAATCCCGTAATATAATACGGTTTTTTTCAATCCGTTCAGAATCTAAAAATAATATGCTATATTATTATTGTGTATGGAGAAAGATGCCCTTTTGAAATGTAAATCTTAGAATAATAATACGTATATGGGTAGGATAGGTTAGCCTACATCATAATCTAAAATAGCAATCGAAAGATGATTCTAGACACAAAAAAAAAAAAAATACATACGTGTATAATATTATAATATATGGTATTCCGTCGCTTTCGGTTCACCGTGCGTTACACATCCGTCGATGCGGCCGTAGACAATATCGTCTGACCGTCGCAGTTTATAAAATATTATAATATACGACGACACTTCGACAGAAATAGGGATTTCAGTCCGAAAACGTCAAAACTTCTAGAGAACACGATTAATAGAGTGGGGGGAGATGAAATAACTCAGCTGGGGAATAACGATATGTGTTACTAGAACTTGGGATCGTTTGCCAAAAAAAAAAGAAAAATGTATGTTTTTGTTTTCGTACGCGTCGTAATATACTACACACAGTTATTGAGTATAGGTACCTAATATCTCACGGGAATGTATAGTTTATATATATACAGGATGTCCTACGATGATCTGCCACTTCAAAAAACTTTTGTTCTATTCAATAGTTTTAGTGTACTTTCTTTTTTAAATAATTAGTATCGATCTAAGTTAATATATTAAAAAAAAAAAAACAATTTTAGGAGGAAGAACTTAAAATAAAAATTAAAAATTTTTGGTGGCTAAAACTTTTGTTTTGGTACGGCCTTTTATTTTTTACAATTATTTTGAATTTTTGACAAATGTGAATATTACTGTAGTTTATGATCTATTGTAATCTATTGTAATCTATTGTAATATTTCATCAGTAATCAATATGTTATTAACTCAGAGCTCATCAAATGACAAGGATTTTCTTATTTATGACTTAAACACTATAGTCAAATTTTTATTTTTTTTTTATTTTAGGAACCCTACTTGAAAAAAAATACCTACTAATTTTTAAAAAAAATACCGGTATACCAAAAATATTGAATAAAACAAAAGTTATTTCAAATGACAGATCATCGTAGAACACTTCGTATAATAATATACAGGGGGATACGCTAAATGTCCGGAAAAAGTAAGATTAAATTGATTCTGGTACAGATGTCGTCGGGATAAGGGATATAAGGGTATAAGGGATCTTATATTTCTCAAGTATTTACTATACATTTATTAATTTATAGTATTTCTCGCTATATAAGGCTCACATTTACCGGCAGTAACGATCAAATTGTATTGCATCGGTTGTTTTTTAAAGCATATTAAACGAGTACACGTTTGCGGGGTTTTTGAGCTACAAGTCCCTAAGCCCAATATAACATAAATAATAATTTTAATTTTGAATGTCGCTAAACTAGAGTGAAATAAAACTTTCCTTCTTTTATGTTTCTTTTTTTTTATACAGGTATACAATTCGAAGTTTTATTGCAGTTTATTAGATATTATTTAAAAATTGTATAACTGACATAGATGACAATATCGTAAAATTAGATAGTAGGCGAGCTATCGTAAGTGCCATTAAAAAAGGTAATGACCCAAAATTGAATTTGAGGATTTAAAATGAAAAACGATAATAATAATAATAATAATTGATTATAGATAGTTATGCGGCGATGGAATGATTTAATAAGAAAACTAATGAGAATTACGTGCCCAAAATATAAATACGCCAGTTGCTATATCGGGCATAATATTTTATAATATTATAATATCGATCCGAATAATTAAGTTTTCAGAACAATTTTGGAATTTATCCCTTTACGAATACATCGCATTGTCAGAACGGTAGAGTGCAGTAACACGAAAAATGATATTTTGGTTCATATCACTTTTCTTATGGGAAAAACGCAGTATTTTCAGGTATCTATAAAATTTAAAAAAAATATATCAAGTTAAACGAGAGAATAATGGATTGTCATAACGTAATAGCGCACAGTGGGGCGAATGGCATAGAAAGCTGGCAAAAATAGCATTTATCCAATTTACTTATCTTATCGAATTATTATATATATCAATATAGGAGTTCGTACTGCATTGGAAACCGGGTTTATGCACGTGATTTGGCTTACATTTATTTAGTTACAGCAGTCGTAATATAAGCCCGCCGTATAATTCATTATTAAATCAATCAATATAATTTTGAAAATTTAATTTTTTTTTTTATAACTTACCGATTTTTTGTCTATTGAACTCAATTTATCATGGAACCACTAGCAACAGATGATAATTATAATAACGAAGATGACGATGATGATGATGTCAATGATGACGAACACCAAGACTAATTTTATTTAACACTTTAAATAATACATTTTTCTTATTTTGTTAATAAATTGAACAGCTATTTCTGTAAAAATGACTTTAAAATAAATAAATACCTTATGTTAATATAATGTAAATGATTTTTATATGTCTGATAAACAATAATAAAAAATAATATTAATTTTGGGAAAATATTTTTTTGCCCCGTGATTTAATGCCAACTTTGAGAGCTCGTTGCCCCATGCTATAGCGTACCTACCTATATTATCTCGAAAATAAAACATTATTGCATCACAATAATAAATTCAAATAGTTGGCACTTCAGCCCACTACACTAGGTAGTGTATATTAGCTCCAAATAAAAAAAAAAGTAAATTTGGTCACGAGATAATTATTGTATTTTTTAAAAATTGTATAGTTTAAATGTATAAAATATATTTATATATAAACTACCCAAAATCTTTTTTATAATGACAAATAAAATACTTTTTTGCTTTCCAGGTATAGATGTTTAAAAATACATAAAATCTTTATACTCGTTTTCCCTCGTTCGAACACATTTCGGATTATTTTGTTGCGCGTATTGAACCGTCGAGGTTTATTGAAATCATTATAAAATTATCACAATAATAAAACTGTTGGAATTTCTTTGCGAATAATAATATATACAGAGCGTAATAAAAAGAGGGGGGATTTTTGAATTTATTATAATCATATTATAATTCGTATACTTGTAAATCACGAGGGTTGCATATTTTTTTTCTATATAATTCCCGTCGTGAAAAAAAAAACGCGTATCTCGGATGCTCATGCAATTATTGTGGCATGCACAATCTGATTACTCCGTCCCGCCAAATCTCCGACCTTAACCCCGTGTTTCTTCTACCGCCAACGATTTTAACATGAATAATCATGAAAAACATATACGCCTTCGTCGCATAGATATACCGCAAAGACAACTTAAAATAAACCTCGCGAGCTTTTCAGTAGTATTATAATATAAACGGCAAAATCCACTACATCGTACATTCCTATAATCGATTTTCCCCAACACTTATATTATTACATTGCATTCGTCTCCGGATGACTACAATAATAATATGTTCGGCGGCATTTAATGTTTCGCTTTATTAAAAATCTAAAAACATATTGTAGAGTATACATCGCAAATACTTACGCTTATACACAAAAGCGTAATGGATGTATTATATTGTACATGTAATAATTAAATTTGAATGAAGAAAATTGAAATCGAACGTTTACACCGAGCCATTTCATTGGAAAATGTACCAATGGTGTTATCGTAATTTAATTTCTTAGTCAAATCTGATTCTACGGTTAAAGGGCCTCGCCACTTATACGCATTTGTTATCACTATATGTCCTCGCGTAACAACAAAGGCATTCCGTATTTCCACGATTGGCGACTCCGTGGTTGAGTTGGGGCCAAAGAGACTTATTATATATTTTACAAAGAAGAGTGTTTGTCTATGGGTGTTACGGATGAATTTCGTATCATTTTAATCTCCCAGTATGTTGTTAACGGTTTAAATTAAGAGAAATTTAAAACACGAGATCTCGATAAACAATTGAAATATTTAAAAAATCAATAAATTTACCATACCTATTACCAGTAGATAACCAATAAATATCAATATTAATAATGAAAACAGAAAAATGTAAGGAAAATCGGGAAAATGTACGAAATCTATTGTTTTCAAACCGTAAATATTACGGCTTTTCAAAACGTGTATAACCGAATTCCGCTCAGAATCGTTTAGCGTTAGTAATGCTAGTAGTAGATTAATTGTTGCGTACAGATAAACATTAAATTTCCCGTCTACCTTCCCAACTTCGCACCTAGAACTAAACACGGATCCAGAGCAAAGATTTAGGGAGGGGGGGCCTAACAAGTTTTTTACAACACAAATATAATGATAATGTCTATTGTTCTATTTATAGTGCCATTATAGTTTAATCGACCACAATCTGTGATTGTCCGGTACCAACTTTGGTGGCGACGTGGCGTACTCTCGTGATGACAACGATTAATAACACGAAATTACAATATTGTAATCACAGTCAACAGATACGTAAGGTTAGGTTAGGATAAACAACGTTAGATAAACATTATATTTGGGGGGGAGGGCTGGGCCTTTACACCCCCACCCCCCGGATCCATCCCTGCCTATAACGGTGGCCCACACATCGTGCGAAGTATGATCGGTTAAACAACCGATCATTTATCAGTTTATTGGTTTATTGTTTACATATTGAACCTTTCAATTGTCCGTTATGTCGATGCGCAAATGATGTGGCGCGAGTAAACGGACGATGCTCAAACGACAACCCCGCGAAAACCGTATCGAAATCCGTTGCGCGGTCTAGAAAAAACCGTAGCGAAGGCGCTCGGACGCGGACAGCGACTTTGTTTTATAAATAACAATATACTTATTTTACCGTTTTGAGAGAGAGAGAGAGAGAGAAAACGTCAGTACACAATAATATAATATAATATAATACACAATAACGATTCGATTTCTCGACTATTCGTTTGGAAAATATCGCACAAACGACCGAGATACGTATTAATAATAATAATAATAATAATAATAATAATAACAATATGCTTCCGGCGAACAACGCGTTATTTATTTTTCGCGTACAATATTGTTTCCGCTTGTTTGAAAGCCCGCGGGCGGCGACTGCGTTTTAAAAATATATAACGTTATAGACGGATTATACAGCGCGATGTAATACGACGGCGAGATCGGCCCGAGTCGTCGTAACATACACGTAAGTATTTCGAATCACGGGATACAATACGCCGCCGTTTGGTCGACAGTGTTCGGAAAGATTTGGCGGTATTTTTCGCGGGACGGACCGTCAGCGAGAGGGCGGGAGAGCGCGGGAGGGCGCGAGAGAGCCGAAGCTTGTACACGCAAACGTCCAGGGAGCGCGATAATAAACGACGTTTTGACCCGTGTCAACGTAATATTATTATTATTATTATTATTATTATTATATGTGTACACGGTATTATCCTTTTCGCCCGACACGTCGCTACACTCGCTACAATCGAAATCGTATATCGTACGTATGTGTGCATACGTATGCATGTATGCATTATATTTTATCCCGCGACATTTCGTAAAACGCCAGCGCGCGCGTGTTCAAACGACACTTGTCACGCTCGAAATAATGTATAAGTCTCGCGCCGGAAGGAGCAAATATGATTTTGCATTTTAAAACGACGACGACCCGGTAGTGTATTACATTATTCGTTTCCTACGGTACCGCCGGTGCATTATTATTATTATTATTATTATTATTATTATTATTGTTGTATCTATATTTTATCGGTGGCTGTGCGTCGCGTCGTCGCCGGGGACTCGCGAAAACGCGTATTCGTGACGAGTGGATGTAAAAAAAAAAATAAATAAATATAAAAATTGTCCACCGGTGTCCTGCGGGTATTGATGTCGGTGCATTTCGGGCGGAAGAAGAATCAGAAAAAAAACGATACGACTAAACTATATTCCCGGTAAATAAACCGCGCGGACCGTCGATACATTATTGTGTACACGATTTTGCAATAATCGTTGTTTTTTTTTTTTTTTTTTTCCCCGTTTCCTTTTCGGCGATATTGCCGGCGGTAAAAATATGAAACAATTACTCGCATTGACGTCAACCGTATCTTTTACGCGATCGAACCGGGTTGGTCGAGAGTGACGAGCGCCTGAAGTTTATGGCCTGTACGGGGGAGAAATAAAAAAGACGGACACGTTTCTGTACGCTATAGGTGAGAATGAGCTGGGAGGGTAAAATATGTAGATGGGAATCTAACATATACATTTTGTACGCAACGATTAATCTTTGGTAACGAAAAAACGACTATGAACGGAGTTTGTAAATGTTTTAAAAAATACCGTAGTATCTACGATTTGAACCGTTATTCCTACGTTTTTTTCAAAAAATCAAAAAAACAAACAAAACCTCCCTAAAGTAACCTAACCTAACCGGCCAGATTTTCTTTCAGAAAAAGAATTGGAACAAAATTTCTGGTAGAAAAGTTGTCGACAGCAGAAAAAAAAAACACCATTGTAAAACCAATACATTCCTCGTTCCACTCAGAATCTAAAACAGACTGTAAGTCGATTGATAACCAAACGCGTGTTGGTTTATAACCGTGGTTAATAATGATATACTGTGATATTATTGTGTTGCGGTTTCTACATTTCAAAAAGTTTAACATTACACTTAATCCGCAGTTTTTAGTTTGTAAAAAAGAAAATCTGTTACGTTTTGAAATTAAAATCACGCTTTTCTCAGTTTGACAAAAAAAGTGACTTTTGGTTTCTGTACCCTTCATATTATCATTATTATAATAATATGTGTCCGTGTACCCGAATATATTACGTTACCCGTATCGCACCAAATCAGAACAGGACCGTCGCTATGGTACTGTTGACACATCATCGGTAATTCAGGTTCGGATTAAGCTACATCCGCAGGCCATGGGCACCAATTAAAAAAAAAAAAAAAAATCGCCTTTCATATTATTAAAGACAGTTACTTTTGAAGACAATTTTTATCGAATTTACTTTCGCTATGCGTATTATGCCATATCGTATCAATTTACTATTTGTTCGCAATGTCATTACCTATTACATATTATAAATGTATACATAATTTATTAAAACGTAACTAACAACTTAGAAATAATGTATAAATATTTTGCGTTTTCCCATAAACGTTTATTATTAACGACATCAGTGTATCATCAAATATATTATTATGCTGGGAATTTTGTTAATCAAAATAGGTATTTTCTACTTCTTCGGTTCGTCGTTGGTCGTCACACGCGTGTATATTATAATATCGACGTTAAGCAATATTAAACGTATACAATCCGAAAAAGGAAAACAGTTCGCGTTTTTAAATTTGAATTGATAAGATCGATTGTAAAAATCAGTTAATACCGGGGAAATAAAGGAAATGTCAAAAAAAGGATTTTATTCGAATTTAAAATATTATAATATAAAGGCTCTCGTGAAGAGTATAAAATCCATAAAATCGAATGTAATATTTAAAAGCAGAAGGTTATAGATGAAGATAAATTAAAATTTAGACATTTTAGAAATGATTTATCAAATTAAACCAGATTGTTTTATTTATTTATTATTGATAATTGATTAGTAAACTATAATTGCACCGGATAACTGTTAAGTACAATGTCATGTATACAGTTGACGAAATCGCACGCGACTTCATTCGCAGCCGTGTTGATTTTATTTTTGTTTAAATATTTTTTCAACAAATTTCACGGTCGCGACGATCTCGGTCCTCTAAGAGTGCGCCATATACACCTATATTATAATACGCGTATATACTTTTCTACGTAGTTTATATTACTCCGTAGTGTATTGGATTTTCGAATTAAATTCACGCGATACTTGCTACGCGCTTATATAATATACTATGTTATATTATATAGCCCAATCAAAAGTTTATTGTCCGTGTAAAAAGGTCAAGACGCGAAACCTAATTTTACGAGATAGTCGTTAGATTTTCACCGAGTTGAAAGTAATAATATACGCGCGTTAATACTGGAGCGTGCTGCCTCCCGTGTTTCAGAGGCTATATAGTCCATTTGGCTCACGTTTTTTTTTTTTCCAAAACGGCTCCCCTTTTTCAAAAATTAAATTCCCAAACGGCTCCAGTTGTAAGTACAAATACGTCAATTTGTCAAACGGCTCCCAGTTTTTTTAACAACACTAATCCCTTCCCAATTCATACAGACTTAGAACTGTTTCAAAAGAAGTATGTACGAAAATGTGTCGGTATTTTTTGAGCTTTTTACGCTTTAAACTGTTACTAATCTTCATTCTCCTTAAAACATCGGCATCTAAATGCAATTGGTTACTTTTCAGATGTCTACCGTACATTTCGCTAATACTATTATTCTTAATTACTTTAGTTTGATTAATTACAACTACGTGTATTGTGCATTTTTAGTGGAAAGAAATCTAATATTTTTTCATTAACATAATTTCTTTCCGATTTCACTTGATATACTGTACAATTTTATTACTTTAAATTAATGCTTGAAACGTAAAATCTAAACTCCAATAATTTTAATAGATTCAATAGAATTTGTTATCACAAAAATCAAAATATGATACGAGCGGTTTCTGTGTCACGTCTGTACGTATTTTAGTACGAGATGAATATAAGTAGTACTGACTATCGGAGCGTTTGGGAATTTGCCTGCTCATAAAACCTCTTTCGATAGGAGCCGTTTGAAAAAAAACAAACAATGCACGGGAGCCGATTAGATTGTACCGGTTTAAAGAGTCGCGCGTAAATCTAGGCGATGATGTCGACAATTTTTGGAAAAATAAAATTTTATTAAATCGAAAATAATTTTAATTCATTTTCGAATACATTTGCACGTATTATTATTACCAGTGGCACAATCATAAGGGGAGGGGGGAGAAAGGGAACTGAATGTCAAATTAAAAATAATTTTTAAATTTAATTTGAGGTGTTCAATTTCAAATATTTTCGGTTAAATTTTAACCATAATGGAAATTTAATAGTTATACGGTTATATTGTTCAAAATTACTTCCAGAATACGGGTTAACGTTATGTGCCTAATAACTAAATATTTCATTCATTTGAATCGATTAAATTAATAAAACTGTACCGATAGAGGACTGAATGAAATAAATGAAAATCCAAGAAGAGGAGATATGATACTATACGCCATTGATTATAACGTAGTCCCGTACTCTCATGTCATTATCAAAAATATTTGACGCGTAATGTTGAAATCTACAGAAAAACCGTTACAAAAAACCGTTTATGGGGCAATATGGACTCTGTTTAGCAACCAAATGCTAATCGTTCAATAAAGAGAACTTGTTATGCATTAAGTTACGTTCGAGTTTAAAAACTTAATCATTTTTTTTTTTATTATTATTTTTAATGTCGAAAAAATAAAATCAACGTTGCACAATGCGAATTTTCTTTAAGGTTGAAAATTCGATGTTTTAATTAAGTCTGTAAAACCCGAGTAGTTTATTCCCGCGCCAAAACATTTTTTTTTTTTTACAGTCGAATTACGAGTGGCATCACGCCCTTTTAAAACAATATTAAATTTACGTTAGATTATAAAACTGTCAAAAATTTAATTTATACTTTTCAATTCGTTTAAATTGTATTTTTTGCGTAGGTGTTCAATATATTGTACATTATTGACCGGTATTTTTTTCTTTTTTTTTACATAACGTATTGTACAGTTCGTACTAAGTATATAAATAGTATTATGACGCTCTGTCGTATCACATACTCGAACGATTAGATTTTTTTACAATGGGAAATAATAATGCAATGTAATACGTTACTTTGAATTATTTTTGACTGTTAAATATTTTTTGCATAACATGATAAAATATTCGTGAGAAAAAACAATTTTATTTTCAGTTTCTGAGCGATCTTTCTTTTTTTTTAAAAATTACACAATTAAACCAAAACCTATACGTATAAATTACAACCGTGTCTTTATCACTTAGTAAAATATATTATTATAATATATTGATGAGAATCGTTTATAAAACGACGACGGTGAATTTCATAATATAATAAAATCGCAAAAACTGCATTGCAAATAAAAACACTTGTATACGGGGCAATCCATTTATCATGATCCAGCGATTTCCTTGAGGGATTCTAAGTGAATTCAATTTCCATTTTATTCAATCATACTACGGAGCCTTATAAGCTTTTTATTGTAACACTGTTTTCAATGTCTGCCCCTACTATTTTTGTTATCTTAATTTAACGAGTATTTCTTATTAAACACTTTGACCACAATAGATAGGTTATCTTATAAACTATGTGTAAAAAATCAAATTCGGTGAGAACAGCCCTTAAATTATAAATCGGCAATACTTCCCTAGTCGTCCGATCTAAATTTTAAACCGCTATAAACCATAAACTCATAAACGGTTAATTTGATAAAAGTGTTACGCACATATCACGTTATTTTTAGAAAATTATTTGCAATTCGAATCTGCGTTTAAAATCGGATTTCGGTATTTGAAAATTCAAAAAGTCCAATTCATTCAAGGTATATTAGTAGAGATACAAATTTGAAAATAATGTTAAAATAAAGTTTAAACGATTTCATAATATAATGATTGAAAAATTAAAAAAAATATAAATCAAATTGACTGGAACTAATGCTACGAGCCAATATAGCTGGACACTAAAATGTATCACGATTTGTGTAAAACTCACCTCGGTCCCTTGAACTTTTAACTTCATGTGATCTTCGCGAGTGGTCTTGCCGTCTTTTCTCTTCTTCCAGCAGTATCCGTCACGCCTGTACCGCACTTTCTTTCTACTGTATAATAACATCGAACCGCTCTTGGGCCTGAAATACATAATATAACTCCGATGTAGTAGACATCAAAGACTAAAATTTTAATAAAGACGTTTGGTGTACGAGGCCGTTTCAAAATATAATTTTGATATATGTTCAGTAGTTAAGTAAACCATTGTAATAATAGAGTAAATGATGTATGTACGAGTTGTAGAAAAATCGGTAGTTTTTGTACTTCATATAGATATTAATTATTTCGTCTTTTTAAATTTGTATTCCAAGCGATCATACACACTTGAATATTACATGTAGCTAGTTTATGATAATTTATAGGTATAAATATCTATATTATGAATAATTCAGAAATATTCCTATGATCATGTCGGAAAGAAATCTGAAACACATGTGTGGGAAGTAGAGCTCAATAAAATGTACGGTTTTTATATAATCAAATCCAACGTTTAACACTGCTAAGCGGCCTCACATGAATACAAGCGTTGTAAACGGCTCGAGACTTATCATTTTACGATTTATGACTCTTGTCAAATAAAGCGTATGTAATAGTGACTGAAGATATTTTAATTTTCATTAGGTATTCAATGTGTTTGAATATACGTACACGTATGTCGTTTAAAATAAAAAATAACAGGAAAAAAACAAAATAGGACACAATTATAATAAAAACAAATTTCAACAGTTTACTAATATAAACACAGATTCATCTGTGTGTGTAAATGTGATCTACTTTTATAGTGACCGCCACTTTTTAGTTGAAAATTGCATGGCGTTTATTTTTTCGAGATACCCCTAATAAAATAAAATAGGAAAAAAATAGTTATTAGAGAAAATTGTAAGTGACGAATCAGTTGTTTATGGTGAGTCTGTAGAAATTATTCGGACAGAATTACTCGAAATGACGAGATTTAAACCCTAAAGTCATCTCCATTAAGATTAGGTAGTAACACCATTTTATTAAATCTCTGACATCATATCTTATTTTTTTTTCAAAATCTGACAACGTCACAGTAATATTTATGTGGAATCGTGTTACTTTCCTCTCGGGTAAAAAAAAATCGATTGTATGACAAAAATTCAAGGAATCTTGTATAGGTAAAAAGTTACATTGCGCGGAATCGTATGTCACCCATAATAATGAAGGTACTTATTCAAACCAACAGTGCAACTGACGGTAATAATTTTGAGGGGTTATCGAAAAACGGTTCCTAGTCAAAACAATAATTGCCAGCATAAAACATGATCCATGTTTATCTCCCTCCCCTTCTAGTGGCGCCACGATAAACTAAAATATTTTACTGTTGTACGCCCATTAAACAATAATAAAAATCAATATTCGGTAAACAAATATAATGATTGTTATTGATGAGACAAAAGGATAACATTACTGTCCGTACGTTTAGATTTTACATAATATAGTGTCGTATTCGAGTAAACGGTAAACAACGGTAAACCATTGCTTGACGAAAAACGATTTCGAGCGCAGTCCGGTAATACATAATTTGAAGGGCCGTAATTTTTTTTTGCAATTTTCGATTAAATTTGATTTTAGAACGCTTATTAAAAAAAAAAAATTAACAAAAATATAGTCTCTTGTCGTTGTTCAATTGGAGCCGTAATTGTGTTATAAAACGTGGTAGGTACTTATTTAAAATAACGTAAATCGTAGTTTTCTTCCCTGTTTTTATTTTAAATACCGTTTCGGAAATCAAAAAATGACCTATGTATTTACCAAGTAGATAAAATTGACTTTAAAAAAAAATGCTATACGCTTTTACATCGGAGCAAGTTTCTAGGATAAGAGTGGTCTGCAGTATAAAAAAAAAAAAAAATGAAGTACCATTGTAAAAAAATTTAAAAAAGTCGTCCAATGATTTTGGAGATTTTACCACATCTAGGTAAGTCTAATATAAGTAATATTACCAAGTTTCAAATCTTTACGTGTATTTATAACCGAGTTACAACAAAAAAACTCCCAAAAATTAAAATTCCTTAAAATCTCAAAAGTTTTAGCGATGATACCGTTAGAAAGTAAATCAAAAAGGCAACAAAAATGGTATCTTGTGATTTTTCTATTAAACCGTTTTTTCTGGCAGAAAACGTCGTCCATGTTTTATAAAATAATAAAATCGTGAAATTGTACGTTTTCCTACGTTTATTTTCCACTTAAGTGCTTTTATTTAAACAATGGCGTTGAAAGTCAAAAAATGATCTGTTTAAAGTACAATCTAGACAACTTGAGCTTTTAAAAAAGGTGCTATACTTAAACATCGGAGCAAGTTTATTAGGAAAAAACGCGTCCACAAACTAGAAAAAAAAAAAAGAAATAAACAGTATTGTTAAACCAATAGCTCCTTCGCCACGCTTGGAATCTAAAATATTGTCTACATTAATTGAATATAACAATGAAAAAACCGAACTACATCAGAAATGTCTACATAAAAAAAAAAAAAAAAAAATTATATTAACATCATCAAAAAAAATAGTTGTGTTTGAAAAATGATAAATTTGATAAATTAAAGGACTCAGTGCAACACTGCAACAATAACAAAGACCAGTTGTTACACTGACTACTAAGCTCTTCAATTACTTCACGTATAACGATTAATATTACGATTATTCAATGTTCTTACAACAAGAATCACAATATTCACAAATATAAGAAACGCTCCGGATTCGATTATTTCTGTTTAGGTGTACATTTCGATTTTAATTCGATTTCAACAATAATTACTGGAAACATAATACTGGAAAATCGTCGAACTTTTCGCGACTTATTTTTGCGGTATTTGTTGTAATATGATCAATAAACTATTTGAATGAATATTTCTACACTTGTTGTACGGAATTTAAAGAAATAAAGTATAGCGTACTCTGTTAGTATTAACATTGATTATAAATACTGTTTATAATCAATGGTATTGATAATAAAATATTCTCAAATATTGCTTTTCGATACTTACAATGCATCTAACTAGTAGGTATAATTAATTATATGGTTGCTTATATTTATATTATTTTTACGTAACATATCCATCTTGTAGTAATAGTTTTTATATTTTCTACGGCGGAGTTTGACTTAGAAATCTGACTAAATAGATAATTATACAGGTAAACAAAATACGCGATGGTTTATAATTTGATAAAATAATACAAGACTAGAAAAATAAAAGTCTACTAGGAATAATAAATAAATAACAAAAATATAAAGACTTTTTTACTCGCCAATTAGATTTAAAATGCAATAAATCTTGTAATTTTTTTTGATTGCAGCAATTCTTTTTTGTTACCTAGAAAAGTTGCTCAAAGACAGAAAATAACACACGAGTAAAACCAATACATTTCTAATATAAAATAAATAAACTATTTAATAATTTTATGGTTGGCCCGAATTTTATCCAAACTGAATTATGATCCAGCCCAATCCAATCCGAATTTAAGTCAGGCCGAAACTCGGGTCGGGTCTGACCTGCCCCTTAGGGATCTTATTGTCACACTTCAGAATATATTATTGATTTTAGTTTAATTTTTGAACTATTGGAACGTTTTAAACATAGGGACTTGTTTAAAACATTTTGCTACGCTGATTGCAGTATAGAGCTACATTATCCCTATATGTTCCGTGCCATATACATTTATATTATATGTTGCCAACAACTATATATTTAGAGCGAGCGATTAGAAAGTCAAACATTGCACTTTATGAGGAATAATCGGAACGAAAATAGTACAGCGACAACGGGATGAAAGTGTACAAAGAGTTGCCAGCACAATATTATGAAGAACACACTCAGTAATTTAGGGATACGAAACTCACACAAAACATCACTAGAAACTTTAATGGAAATCATAATATCGCGAACGTTTCGAGGGGGACGGATAATAAACGCGAGAAACTTCAAAGCAAATATTACCGCAAACCGCGACGTCTCGATACATACAAGAGTGGATAACAGCGCAGAACGGTTTTGCTTCTGAAGACGGGATTGGGGTGTTGAGGATGGAGGGGGATATAAAATAAATAACTGACCAAATGCAGTTATAATCAAAACTTTTTCAATCGATAGTAGTACAATAATATTATATTTGGTTATTATGACACGTTGTGGCTAGAAAATTATTTTCAAAAATAATCCACCCCCTCCTTATACTATATAAACGTTGAAAAAATGTTGATCTGAATTTTATGTAAGTATGTCATTTATAAATTATGGTATAGACATTTTAAAACATTTTTAGAAACAGAAACTCGGTAAAATAGATTAGATCGTTAAGTTTTTGTGAATTTAATATGTATAGAGATGTATCGGTTTCGTTTGAAGAAGTTGTAAATGTATCGGCAATGAAAAAACGCTAGTTGGATTTCACAACTAAAATCGTTATTATTTTAAGTATCTAAGGTAAAAATATAAAACTATGTATGAGAAAAAAATTGCTTTTTTTTTGCTAGTTATATAATTGTAGTATTTCATTATAGCATTATGGAAACTTCATTAATCGTTAGGTGTACACGTAAATATATAATTTAAAACTTTGTAGTTTGCCGTGCAACGAAATCATTTATTATGTCTGGACCGCCTTCCCCCGTCTTTGAAAAATCCTGGTTGCGCCACTGTACAGTGTTGTTGGCGTTATCGGATTAACATTATTTACCGATACTCATAAGTTAAGATGAGAAGTTATATGAATTGTATACTTTGTCTATGGCTTTTGTTTACAGCTAGATGAGCTAAAAATCTGTCCCATGACCTAGTGAGTTCATATTTGCGGTTTTTTTTTTTTTTTTACATATTTACAAAACCGATCGCTTCATTTGCGATAAATAATAACCAACTTATATTCACTTTATACTAACAAATCTTTTATAAAAAAAAAAAAAAAAAAAATTACACTATTTTTACAAATAAAACGAAATTATAGAGAATCTCTGCAAGCTATAGCCTGTGAAAAATTGTTAACAAGATCGTTCATATCGAGGAGTTGTGCTGCTTCGTATTCCATGGAAAGTAAAGCTAAATAGCTTGTTCACGTAAATGCTTGCTGACATACCTGTTTAACGTATCACGCGCAGTATTGCAGTAGCATCTATTATAATTACAAATAATATTCATTTGTGATCGATGGGGTAGTGGGGTGGGTATAGCAGGTAGAATAACTTGGATATTTACGCCTGTGAGTTATTTGTTCGGTCTTTTCTACTTTGTTCAATTACGAAATTTTCTACCTTTGAAGTATTCCTATGTACTTCAATTATTTTATTGTTAAAACAACGGCAAATTATATTCCATTTTGCAATATCAAAACCCGACTATTATACGTCTAATTCAGACGGGCCTCGGTACACGGTTTGCCGACCAAACGGCCGTTTAATCGGCCGCCGGCGTACGCGTTCAAACCTAAAATGTCGTAACGCGCAAAATTTATTTATACGATACGTTTACATAATACATTAACTGGCATCGTATACCTACCGTCGTTTATCATCGTATTGTACTTGAATTCGGAAAATAATAATAATAGAACAACGATTGCCGAGACACCGGGGATTTTTATCTATTCCGAGTAGGCAAAACGCGATTGATAAATTTCCTTCCACGGCGGTCGAAAATAAAACCCAGTCGGTTCAGTCCGTTGTCGGTGCGCGGTGCTCTCGTTGTTCCGCGCGTCCGTCATGGCGTTCAGCAGTCGGTTTGCATTTAATTGAAATGCCGAGAGTGTACCCAGTCTGCGCCGAAATACGTCGCGGACGAATATTCATTCGGTAATTCACTGTATCGCTTCAATAATCTACCGGAATGTGAATTTGTATTGCACATTTTCGTTTGTTTTTTTTTTTTTTTTATGTGCGCGCATTGTCGATATTCCGTTCTGTAACTTTGCGTTCGTCGGCCATCGCTATGCACGGTCCGAAAACCACGTTTTCATACCAACGGCGGAGACGTTATCGGAACACGGTCGAAAATCTATCGACTCGGGTTTCCAACCTGCACGGACGAAAACGTTACGCCGTCGATACGAGAGAACAAGGTATGTTATTGATTTCGATGGTGTACAATAAAATAATATAATTACCGTTATTCGTGTCTTTATCGACTAAAAATATTTTATTCGATTATCCGTCGCTTTCCGCGTGCGGACGGCCAATGTGCATTATGTTTGCACGTTGATACCGTTTCACAGGAGACGAATTGTTCAACTCGGTCGAATCCAACGTTTGTATTATGAACGACCATGCGACGTTTTAAATAGTGTTTATGGGTTTCGGGCACGGGGCGAACATCACGCGCGCGTACCCGAATAAAAATAATAAATTTGGATATACATGTGTATGCGTACATTATATCGTCCCGCTGTAGCTATAAAGCCACGCGAAATGCGATAAACGTCGCAAAGGTTGCGGGATTAATGAAAAAAAAAAAAAAAAATATATATATATATAAATAATCGATAAGTGCCGTTCGCCCGCCGTGTATAAAAACTCCGAAATTCGCGTACCGGACCTCGCGTTGACAATACTTTCGCCTCCGGTCCCGCATAAATAACCCGTTAATTTCCAGGATTCCGTAACGAATTCCGTACACAGCGTTGTCCCGTACAACGATCGTTTCGCTGCCGTGGGGATGGGGGGGAGTGGGGACCTGTAAAAGTCGTGCCGAATAATTTCCCAAAAAAATAACCGTCACCCACGGTAGGTAACACTCGCGACCGAACGCGCGCCGGTGGATCTCGCGGGTGGACGCGACCACGCGCGCGTGCAGTCGCGCGACAGTTCGATGGTTCCGCGGTTCCGCGACGACACACAATAGATACAGTAATGACGGTGACCGGGGACGACCGCGATCGAATTTCGCGACTGTTTGTTGAAGCCCGTTCGCACGATTCTTACCGTGTCCGGGACACGTTACCGATGATCCTCGGATGCCCTCAGGCCCGGGGCCGTTCGAACGGGCGTTTTACCGTATGCCGCGCGGCGACCCCGCTGTATATTGCGACCCGCGCGGCGACCCCGCTGTATATTGCGATCCGCGCGGCGATCCCGCTGTATATTGCTATCCGCGCGGCGACCCCGCCGTATATTCCGAACCCGCGCGCAGTTTTCAGTCCCGTGCGCTCATCCGGACGGATTGAAACGCCATAACACTGGTACCGCAAGTATCGCAAACAGCAACGGATTGACACTACCGCGGTATTTCTACCCTATCCCGCGCTCGCTCTTTCGGCCGTCCACCGCGGTGTATACATCCGACGGTTCATCACGCAACGCCGCGGGTCTTGATGATATTATATAAGCGTTTCAGTGTCGTCGTCCATTACGCGCTAGTCGGCTGCAATCATAAAGCACCGGCGAATATCGACGCGTTATCGGTCGAAATACCGGTTCGTCTGATTGCAATACGTATATAAATACATTTTGCAACGATAGGCGGCCGAATCGGTTTTACCACCGTATGACCGTATACGGTAATCTATTTTTCGTTGGGAAATTATTCGAGCAGCACAAGTATTTCAGTCGAAAAATAATTAATACGAAAATAAAATGACGGAATAATATTTTACTGGGAAAGTTGTTTGTCCGAAAAGTATTGTATACGATAATAAACCGTTCGAAAAATAATTCATTAGAACCGTATTTAGTTAGAAAATTGGTTATATTAAATACAAATAGAGCGCGCTGTTGAAAACGCAAGCCACGGCATGGCTATAGATAAATCTATATGGCCGCGGTAAAGTTGTAGGCAGATAACCTAAAAACAAACGGTTGGTTACTGATACACTTATTTATTGTGTAAGCCACCGTGTCTTACCGTAGGACACTAGTGTGCGCTCTACAACTTATTAGTCATTAAATAATATATTGACTTATTACGTATCTAATATGTGCGTGCCACTAGCCTGACAGCTGCACAGCCGAACAGCTTTGTGCGTTTTGCACAGCATAAAAAATAAATTGATGCTATTGACTAATTTATATAGTTAATTAACAGCGGTTAACAGATGATACGAGTCGTCAGTGTTATCATTTACCTTTATAGGTATTTTCCACGGATTAACTCTGTGGTACATTCTATCGAAATACGGTTCTAAAACAATATTTTTCTATAAAAATGTCTTCGTACCGAATATTATTCTGATATTATATTTTCGACCAAAATATTTTTCTTTACAAAATACTGTACGAATAATTTTCTAAAAAATGTTTCGGATTATTTATTTTACTGAAAAAAAATATCATTCTAACGAAATACGTTCGTATTTTATGCGCGTCCCCATCGAAAACGATTTACAGTGAAACAACCGAATGACGAAATCGACCTAATAGTCCGTAATTTTTCCGCATACAGTTCCGTGCGATAAAACAACCGAATACGGTAAAACGGCCGACTCTCCCGGGTTCGTGCGAACGGGCTCTTACGATAACAATTATAGTGGACTTTGAATATTTTCAATTATCTACTAAAGTATTATTGTCTTGTCGTCAACTCTGAAAATTCGCATTTATGGTCCGCCCGTTAACGGCACTTGGTAAAAACTCACGAGGGCATAAAAATAATTATCATTATTCACAGACCCGCGGGGAGTTATGTTCGCCCCAAATACCCCCATAAAACAACTCGCTAATAGTTTATTACTTCTGCCACGAGATTAGTGATATTAATGGCTTTGCCAAGTTAAATCAGTAAACAATAGTATATTATAATATTATTATTATGCTGTAACTACACATAACCAAGAATTTCACAATTAACGTAATTCATTTTCTTTGAATTCACTATTCGTACATGTTATCACCGGGTCTACAAATGCTAAATAATAAATGTTTGAATTCTCGGTTATGTTTTCACAGCATAACATGAACCGAATACGTTTTGTTCGATAGTGATCTCGAACAGGCTGTACTCTGTATTGAATGTTTTTCGCCAATAACGCACTGTTTTTTCAATTATCAATATTACTGTTATTGCTTATACGTTTTATAGCGTCGTTCTATTTCGAATGTTAAAATAATGATGTATTATTTGTGTCTACTATAGTTCTGTATACGAATTAATCGTTTTCAATACTTGTGTATCCGTTGTCGTTTGATGTAATGCGTTACTTTTGCCTCCTCGGAATACTTCCATTGCCCAAAATCCCGCCACTACAAGACCCATCCGTATTCAAAGTAAATATCTATAAATGTACATGTTGAATTTTTCAAACTACATAGAGAAAGTTTTACATTTGATAATATTTTCGTCCATTTTTTCCCCTATATATGCGTGAGGAAATTGTTAAATGTAAATTTGTTTTACAGAGTTTTATTGTTAACGTTATTTTTTCTTTCTATTATTGTATTTGGTTGATTTTAAAGATTATACGAAACAAGTGACACAACGATCAACGGTCATTCGTAAATTATTTAAATCTCGGTAATATTGTAAGTATACCTAGTACCGTGTTTTCAAAAATAACAGCTGCGGGTTCATGTATTTATAGTGGTGATGTGAATCATTTATAATGAAACGAAACGCGGGAAACTTCTTCTTACGTTTTCTTTAAATACGTAAACTCTAAGATATGCAAATTAAATGAAATTTACTAGAATGTGTACAAGTTTCCCAAGTAGGGACCGTGGTTTCCTCTCTTTCGTCTACAAAATTGCTACCACTTAAAATGTTTCTGGCGTGTTCGCAGAGCAAAGAAAAAAGAAAAAAAAAACTAGTCGCCAGAGAATGATCTTCGCTTCTGAATCGCCGTTACAGTATATAGTATAGTAGTACCTATAGTATAGTCTCTCGAGTAGTTTCTTGACGGGTGACAATTTAATTATTTATTCCTCGTTTATTCGAAAACTTTTCAATCGGGGGCGAAAGGCTGCAAAAACATCAACTTCATTTGGAAACTTTAAAACGAAAGTTTTTTTTCACGCTCTTTTGCAAACCGAGTCAACAACACTCTAGTTTTAGTTATTCACGGGGAGTAGAATTACAGGAAAAAAAAAAAAAACCTCGTAACATTTAAAGTTATTAAAGAAAACCTCCGCGCCGGTCGCGATCAAAAATGTTTTTTTTTTTTTTTTTTTTACCACCTATACCTAGTAACTGATACGGTTCATTTGACCGTAGCGCAATATCAGTCCAAGTTGAAACGCCGATACGAAAAATGACGTATGCGCGAATGAAATAGTGTATTTCCGATATGTGATAATATGTTCACAAAAAGTTTTACGATTGTGATTTATGCGACTGATACCTGATATAAAATTATGATTTGATGGATATTTTGTAAATTAACGAGTCATCCAATAACAAACAATAATTTATTGGTGTTTATGGAAGTTTAAAAGCTGTAATAAGGTTTGTTGGTTTTTTTAGATTCTATACTAGCCGAGAATTATATTAGTTTTGCTATGAAGTGTTTTTTTGTTGTGTCTGTACTGTAAACAACATTGTTCTATCAAAAATCTAAAACTTTTGAAATATTGTTGCCGAATTATTGATAATGATGATATAAAGGAGAGGTAGTTTTTGATTCTCTTTGTAGTTTTTTTAATAAATGGGAATAACTGTTAATATGTTGTATAATTTTTATTGATTTCTGGGATACCTTTCCGAATAGGGAAACAACCTTAAACAACGTTTTATTATCGTTTTAATAGTTTAAATTAAATAGTCGATATATTTAACCTTTCAACAACTTTTTTAAACCAGTGGCACACCCATCAACATTATCAGCTTTTTTTTTTTTTTCGGTAATATTTATTTTAATTTGTCGGTAATATGGAAAGAGAACTTGAAAAATCATACACAGCGTAATGGGTATGCATATCGCAAACATGAACAGAAAGCATGCGATTCGTGTCTTGCTAACATAACTATTATTCTTACGAAATCAAAAACGTAGTATGTTTTAATTTGGTCGATTTTCACTCAATTTTATTATTTTTTTTGTTCTTTTTTTTTTAAAAAAAAATACGATTATTTTGAAAATTTAAAAAACTAAATTGAATATTTACAGTTTTTTTCTCGGAAATTTTTGAAGTTTTCATAAAAAAAAAACCGAGAGAAATTATTTAACAGTTTAATGTAAATAATTTTATTCGCCAAATCTTAGGTATTACAACTTTTTAAAAATTGAATATTGTGTGATGTACATAATACAATATATTATATTTGAATGGTAAAAATAAATGGACTTATTGTCAAAAATTCGTAACATTGAAGTCCAATATATTTGCACCGTTTCGCTTTCAAGGAAAAACATATTTTATGCTGAAACCTGTGTACAACACCCATAAACGTACTATATTAATACCCATAAACACTGTAACTCCGCAAAATGTAAGTAAAACACTGTAACTCCGCAAAATGTAAGTAAAATGTATATTCGAGGTGAAACTCGTCCGCAGTATTGTAACGGTTTTTTTTTTTTTCTTTTCATTCGTCGCAATCATAGTCTATTATCGTTGAAAACAAACAGATAACGTTCGGTGGAAAACAATTACAAAAAATAATAAACGATGCGAATTTATCGTCTTCTCCGTACATGGTCAACTCGTCGCGTCTAAGTCATTTTTCTTACCGCAGTCTTATATAATATATTACGATTGACTTAGGAATTTTTGCTGGGTAGCATTTATTATATACTTTTCTTCTTCTTCTTCTCCAAAAAAAAACTTCACAAAGTACTGATTAATAAAAGTACTAATGAAAGTGTTATAATACTCAATTACGTATCGCTAAAACAGAAATTCCGTATAAAATTCGTGTATACGGTTAAATTTTAATTTAATTTTTCTTGTTTAAAATAATTACGATTGAATTTTATAGTAGGATAATAAATTATCTGAATATACAACATACAGTGCTATATATTCCTGTATTCTGACTTGATAATCTTCGATACTACCGTGCAATCCATTTCTACGAGTGTATCAGTGTCGTGAATTCTTGAAAACTAATCCGATGAAGATTTGTACACATAGTTGGTGTATACGTATATTTGTTCTTTTTCATTACTCCCACAAAACCACGCGAAATAATATTTGATTTACGATGTCCTGCGCATTCGGATTTCTGCTTACGAATAGATTCCAACGGATAAAAATAAAAACGCCTGAGACAAAAAAAATCCAGCCAAGAATACAGATGATCGTAAATAGCAATTTTAAAAAAAATTCAATCATTTCTATTATTCACTGACTTTGTTTTTCTTTAGATAAAATAAACAAAACAACAAAAAAATCTAGGTACTAGGCAGTAAAAAGGGTTTTGTTTATTTTATCGATAAGACTGTTTATCTTCAGCGTTGTATAACAAGCTAGTAAAATACCTAACAATAATAATAATAATTTATTTTTTTATTGAACTTCAGGCTATTCTAAAAAATTATACCATTGAGCAAGGTATTTTATTTTAAAATATATAATTATCCGGTAGTTAGAACAAAACAATCGATATGAAACCGTGGACACATAATAATGTTTCGACATGATTTTTAAAACAAAATTACGATAATATTCGGAATTATCCGAATTCATTTTTACCCATAAAGTGGAATAATTATTAAATTAATTTTAGTCAAAGGTTATATAATAATATAATCTTTTTTTTTAACCTCATTTAATCAATAGATTAAATAATGCGATTTAATGGGCGAGACTGTTTTCCTCCACTAATCATTTATTTGGCTTGAATATTAAATATATCGCTCACATTCTATTGGTATACAAATTATTAGGAAAGTGACAATCTCTTATTATGGGGTATAATGAAGGAAAAAAGACAGAGGAAGAAAATAATATCTGATTTTTGCACAAAAATAGCCGTTTAAATTCCGAGCAGAACAAATACGAATTTAAATAGTTGAACAATGGTTTGTGATTTAATGGTTTGTGTGGTTCGATTATTAACGAACCACGTGAATGGCAAATTCAAAATAAAACTCGAATTTAAATAAAAAAAAATGTGACGAAAATGTGGACGATATTTGAATAATTAGATTTAGATTCTGAACGATGCTAGGAATTCAATGGTGTTATTATTATTATTATTATTATTATAACCTGTACCCAAACGACTTTTCCATCAGAAATCTTACACCAATCAAAAAATTACAATATACATAGATGGTGAATTGAAAAGGTTAGTTTTTGATTTTCCTAATTGTTTTCATAATAATTGGGAGAGAAAATATACCGCAATAACGAAAGGAAGTCATTAAAAGAGGGAAAAAGAGAAAGAAACGGATAGAATATCACATAAGGAATAATACACGGGTAACGTGTATAATTGAAAGGGAAACTAAGTAGAAAAAGGCCAAGTTATATATGAGGTAAATTATGTTGGATATAGGAACAAGATTCTGTATAGAATCTAAGAAAATTTCTAGGGTAGTGATGAGTGAAGAAACATTACATCTCGAACTAATCTACAGATTGTAAAATAAAAATAAAAATGTTATATCTATACGTTCTAACACACCTTTATATGGTATAAATATTAAATATATGATAATATTTGTATTATATCACAAGTTGAAGAAATATAATAACGGTATTATTCATATAACAGAAAAAGTAATTTTCGAGACTTCAAAGAAGATAGAATGGTCGTTTAATGCGGATCCGGGTATGGGGGTCCGATCACTTTGATCGATGGCGAACGAATGATCGATTGTTATTGGCACCGTAACAATCATAAAATATTATTATATGAACGATAGAGGGGGAGAACGAGATATAATTTATGATAACCTAATAGAATCTATTCGAGTGTCTTGTATAAGTATTATGGAAAGCGTATTATCGAACATCAACCAATAATGTGACAGAAAAACGACCGGATATTTCTTTTTAAAATCAGTCATTTATTAGACGTTCCTAATTAAATAAACTTAACTATCAAATCGATTGTAACGGCTAAATGTACATAATTTTAGATTCTGAGTGCAGTGATAAATGTATTGGTTTTACTGTGATTTTATGTTTTTTTCCTGTCTGTCAATAATAATAATTTTTCTACAAGAAATATTGCTCTAACCAAAAACTTTATAGGTACTTTCTTGTAAAATTTTGGATATAGTAAGTGAATTGACGCGTTCATATTTTGATTTTCCTTGTAGTCTTAATAATTAGCAATAACCGAAAAAAATATGACTACACTTTTCCGCTCAGAATCATCATTTCGTTTGGAATGATTTATCGTTGCTTACAGTATACAAAAACTAAATTATCCTGTATATTCTACCGTTCAAACTACTTCCCCACAACAGTGGCTTAATCGTATGCAACATCACCTTTTTTTTTTAAAAAAAAAGTAAAAAATCTTTGAATATAATTTAATTCCTTTGGTTTATATTTGTTATAATAATATACAATTTGCCCACCTCCTAATTGCATAGGATCGGTGCAAAAATAAATTACTCATTTCAATATTGTACAGAAATCATTTATGATAACAGTTGTGTGCCAAGTTAACTTCAAAGTCATTAATTGCAATTTAGATAATTCATTGATAATTTTTGTAGATCAGATAATATACATAAATGACTTAACAAGATAATAAAAGGAAAATATTTTAGTTTTAAGGTTTTAAAACCTTTTATAAAATGTGAAACCTGTTAAAATATAAAATACAATAGTTTTGTATGTATCTCCTATTTGAAAATGAATTATAAATTATGTTTAATAAAGACATCTTAATTTATTTATTTATTTACAGTTAAAAATTAATAACAAACATTGTACCAAATCCAAAATGTATTTATTTAAAACCATAAAATAAGACCTATCTAATAAATACTGTTTTATATTTAAAACCGATTGTTTAATGTCATAGGGGTTGGCGTTTCAAGTGAATATATTTTAATACTGAAATTAAGATATTTTAACATTAAATGGAAAATCAGTAACTAATAAAGTATTAAACATTAAACAACTACTTCGAGTATTAAGAAACCAAATATCAAAGATCGAAAATCAAAAATTAAAAAATTGAGTCAAATTAATTGTCTAGAAATTAGATAGATGTTCTGTTTATCTGTAGATATTATTAAAATACACTATACATTTATCTTATTTAGATAAAATAAATATTTTTTTTTTATCTAAACAACGCATAAAACAGGTCGATTATAAATAAGTTATACATATATTTATATAAAATATTTTATATTTTTCTTCTTAACGCTATTATCTAAAAATGATTTTTTCATTTTTTAAACAGACTACAAAGTAAAACACCGAGTAAACATTTAAACGGACTTATTTAAATATTGTCGCTTTTAAAATATATATAATAAAAAGTTATTACTTTTATACATTTATACTGTCTCTATGGTACCTACTATACAGCGCTAGCAAACAAACCAATTGCTTTTACAGAAAACAATTGAAATAAACTGAAATAATATTCGTTTAAAACAATGTACATGTATAATATATTTGAATTTAAATATCAATCTTGCTGCGGGCCTATTCTTTCAATCGGAAATTGTTTTAGATTATTAAAAATGATACAAATCAATTGAAAATTGTTTTACATTTTGTATTTATTTAATCAAATTACGAATGATTCGTATTATTTTTTATCAAAAATGCAAATGTGACAATTTATTGATAAATGATAAAAAATAAATATATTTTGGTCGAAGTTATGTTAAGTTCTAATTTATTTTAATCGTTGGAACTCTTGTTTTTTTATGTCATCTTTAGGATTTTTGTTTGTGTCTTAATACTTTTTTAAAGGAAATCTTACTACAATTAAAAACTCCATTGTAGCATTTTCAATGTAATTGGTACGTTGGGCACTCTGGTAACATAATCTTTTTTACTTGTGTGGTTTTTCTTAATAAATCGAAAAACCCTGTAATTTTTAGTATAAATTTTGCTTTGGTCATCTTGGTAACAAAGAGTAAAATACCAATACTCTACTAAGAATTGTTTTTTAAAAGCAATGATTAATCGTTTCGTTCAGACTTAAATTACACTAAATATCCCCCCCTCCCGTATAACTTCTCTCTGTAAACGGTGTGCCGGCAGTATCAGTATTTTTTGTTACCTTGTTTACAACAATAACAATAACAATCTATTCGATCATACGGTCAAAATACAATTTTAATTACCATCACTTCAAATTAATAGGCAATTTCGGCAGTTCATTCAAATGTAGGTATTGATAGTCCCATAGGAATTTATATTTAAATATTTTGGGTCTATAGCCAAAAAAAGTAGATTTATAACAGTATATGATGTTTTTTTTACAAAATAAAGTGCATTATTGTAAAAAAAAAGGAGTACCTAATATCTTTACTTAAAAAAAAAAAAGTATACACAATAATATTTTGTGCCTGTGTTTTCTTTAGACAAAATATTGACATTTTACTGCACGATCTAGTCGTAATTATGGAACTGTGAGCGTTTACTACTCGATTAAAAATAATCGGCACGATTTCTAATGGCAATATGTTAATAAAAAAACGTAAAAAAAAAATATATGTGTTTAGACAATGGACTTGAAAATGTGTTTTCATCCTCCCTTTTTTTTTTTATTTAGTATTAAAGCTGTTAAAAATAGTCAACTCAAATTCGGTAGAGAGCTCTTCAGTATGCGTATATAGGGTAAAAGTTTTAAAAGGCACTCGTGCCGGACGGATGTAAATTGCAAGTGTACACGTACACATACACAAATGCATAAAAACGCACGCACACGTACACACACTGTCATCTACAAGGGACAGTCCAGTACAAAGTGATTTATGCACACCGCACATAATAAAATATTTTCAGTTGGCGGAATAATGGCAAAGCGCATCCTGAAAAAGATTCTATTTGTTTTTGTTTTTGTTTTTTTTTTTTTGTTTATTATTATTTTTATTTTTTGGCTGGATTTACCAAATATCCTCAAGGGTTTTAGATTATATTTATTTACATAATATAGGATTTTACTTGTGTGCGCAAGCCTTCCAATGCATGTATATTATTTCTAACAAAAAAAAAACGATTTTTATTTTTAATTTTCTTTAACCGTAAATTGTAGTAAAATCTATAGGAAAAACGACATGTCAAAATTTTGTAAAATATTCTGTAATTCTCTTCGCTCTTATATAACCTATCGAAAATAATATTATTGTACTGTCAAAAGCGTCAATATCGGTCTAAAAAATAAAAATAATAATAATTACATACCTTGTAAAGCCATGAGAAATAACTATCACACGAGACAGTTTTTAATTAAAATACAAAGATTTTCGATGCGTTTGATTTCGGTTTTTTCTTCTTTTTTTGTGATTATTATTGTTTTTAAACGAATATTTTTTCCGAATAAATCGAAACCAGTAATAATACGATTATGACCATTAAAACTTTCGATTAGATAGGAAATGTTAAAGAAAAAAAAAAAAAAATGTTGATTTGGTCGTGCGATAATTTATAAACGTTATTCCCCTTTCTGTTTTCAAAATATTACGCCGTACCTATAACTGTTTAATTTTTTTTTTCTTTTATAATGGCACACAAATACCGCACGCAGTATAACAGAACTGCAGTTCTGGAGACTTGCACGTTCATGTTTATAATTATTATCGTATTGCTTTGAAGTTTGAACATTAAAAAAAAAAAGAAGAAATAAAAAAAAACAAAACAAAACGTTTTTTATTTTGTTATTAAAGCGAATGTAATTATCATCGATTCGTTGTATTATGTAGTTATATATATATTTAAAGAGTTTAGTGCAAGGGTGGTCTACCTTAGACCCAAGTCGTCGACCTCTGAGTTGTTCAAGGTTGTCGCCATCGACTTACCCTCACCCCTTACATCGTCCCTTATTTTCTGTTCCTCCGTTTTTCATTACAAATCCCTTCTTTTTTTTTCGGTACACGGTGACAAGTTAAACGACAACCTAACCTTTTAACTAAAAAAAAAAAAAAAAACAAACAAAAATACAAAACCGTCCAATTTCTATTTTTAATTAGTTTTTAACTTGAAGTTTTTATTTGTACATTCAGCTCATACCGATAACGCATATCTCAAATGGAGACGAAAATGATCTTAAAAATTGAATTTGAACTGGCGCTATAAAACGGTACCGAGTCGTTTACAATAAAATTGATTATTGATGAATAAACGACTATCGAACATCGATGTTACATACAACGTCACAATATTAGTACGTTTACAGTGAGGAGGTTGGGGGCAGGAGTTCAAAATGTTAATTTTTTTTATTAATGAACTTTCCTCTAACCCAACTTCCGAATTTTTTTTTTCCTACGTATCTGTATACGAGATTAACACTCAAATGGAATTTATGGAATGTAAAGATAAACAAAATGTACGGCCAAGTGCTCGATCACTCGTAACATTTGCTTAAAATATTACTGAAACAAAATATTAATCAGTGTGAATTATTGACGAAACTTACTAGTCGGGACGATAAGGCATACCGCGTCCCACTTTTATCCCGATTTCAAAATTTCAATATAATATTTTACATTAATACCATGACTATAGAAACGTCCAATAATATTATAATATTAGATTATCTGCATTTATTGCACGTATGCCCGTGAGGCAGATTTACAAAGTTGAAGTATTGGTGAAATAATGTACGCGTGTACGACTTTTGAAAATAATACGATGTTTGGTCGGTATTGGCGGGTTAAATAAAATGTATATTATGACGAAGAGTGAAAAAAAAAAAATATCGAAATCGAATTCATATAGGTATAAGAGATAAGAATTAAGAATACGATCGTCGTATCATATTACTTCTATTAGTTATATTGATTGTAATAACTAGAACGGTACGTAAGAGTTTAACGGCTGCGATTTAAAATCGAGAACTACGTTTTAAATTGTTCGAAATGACTTCCATTGCGAATGTTATACGAGTATGTGTGTACGTAGCGAACCTACGCGCATTATATTACGTATATATGTATACGTAAAAGTAATAGTAACGAAAGGAAAAAAAAAAACCTCAGAAGCCCCAGCACACTATCGATTCGAACTGTTATAAGTACTATTAGGTACGTCTTTAAATTGTATAATAGTCTGCGAACAGGGTAATTTTATATACGTGTTATTGCGTTAAATTACCCAATAAAACGGGGGGTTTTTTTTTTGTTTTGTTCTTCCCCCCCCCCCGCCCCTCACAGAAACAAATAAAACGTATTCGGATGATCGTAGAAATGCGCGCGTGAATGTGAGATAATACGGACGCATATATACATAATACCCTACAGTAATATAATAATTTACACACTTTTTGAGTTTTATTTGCCCGATTCGATAAGCTCCCGCGTTGTCATACCCGTTTCAAATGTATTTTCGTACGATTTATTCTGTATAATAAAACGCGAATAAAGATTATAATAATGATATACATTTAGTTGACAAAACGTATATAATTACAGCTACCTCCTTTCTATAGGTAGGTTAGGTTAGCTACCTACCAATTATAAAAAAAAAAAACGTTCATATTAATTTTAGATTTCGTGCGAGTTGTAAAACAATCGTGAAATGCATGTTATTCTACGTCGTTCCCGAAATTACACGAAAGTATGGTCATACGAATAATGTTGTATACATATAAAACAATAAAACCGTAAAACTTACCTTATTTTCACCTCTTTTGATTGCCATTCGCTGTGTCTTTCGAAATTGATCAATATAGCCGCTATTTCCTACGAAAAAAAATAAAAAAAAAAAATACATTTATATTATTTTGAGTATTTATCAATATTATTATTAATACAAATTATTTATAATCATTAATTATATACTGTTTATAACGAAATATTAGAATTCTTAACTCGTTAATCTAGATATACCCGATACCTATACACAATTCTCGATGCCTTTGTTTAAAAATGAAAACAAAAGTAAAGAAAGGACGGACATACTTCGTACACAGATGCAGCCAATGTTGTAGGGGGGAAGTTAGATAGGTAGGTTACTGACGGGCATTTAATGTGTATCTGTAAGCAACGATAAACCATTGCTAACGATTCTGAGCGGATTTCAGTTGATAGTGATAGAATTTCAAAAAACGATTTTTCTAAAGTACCACCCAGAGAACATTTCCTTTCAGAAATGGTACTATACTTGATAATCGGAATAAGCTTTCTGGTAGAGTAAGTGTTCACATAAAAAAAAAAAAAATAATAATTTTTGTAAACCAATATACTCTACGCTAAATTCAGAATCTAAAAAAATTAAAATTTTAGTTAATATAAATTAGGTATTAAAAACAAGAATGAAATAATTTATCTAATTGGGAAAAATGAGTCCTCGTGGAACAGTTTCATCATTATACAGAGTGTTTAATCCCAACCTTTGTTAAAAATTCAATAAACAGACGAAGTATTAGTTTAAATACATTTTGGTGTTGAAATTATTGATTCTCGTCAACCTGTTGATGAGATATTTCACTTTTAAACTTGGGTAGGGGGAGACACGGCGCGTGACGTTTGATTTCAGTACGCAGTGGTGTGCTCAGGAATTTTGAATGGTATGGGATATAGTATCATGATTCGTTAATAAATCATACAATGCGTAGAGGAGTATGAATGCGAATTTCGGCGGAAACGGTCACACAGATCCTCCGATGCTATCATTTCAAATGAGAGAAGGGGGAAATAAAACTGTAAAAAGCCCAGAAAAAGTCAATTTGTGGAGTTCATTTTCCATGTAACTTGGTTTAAATACCTTTATAATGTCAAGATAAAATTGCTATACAAGTACTCATAGTATTCATGTACTTTTAAGCCAATGATTGGTGGGGGAGAGGGAGGGGTAAACCGTATCATCCCCTTGCACATACATAAATGTCCCTATATTATAACCGGTTCTAATATTCTGCAGGGTTGCCAAATTATATATATTCGGTCGTGTAACAGTATATAGTAATAGGTGTATAAAGTATTTTTTTTTTCCAAATTAAACGCATGCAATTATGTACAAGATTTCGTGACGGAGATTTATGAAAAAAATAATTATAAAAGTTCGCATTTCGCGCGAATAAATTATAAAATACTGTACAGGTATAATACTCTAAATAACGGTAATATAATACAAGCGGCAAAAACGTGATAAAATATACTCGTATTAGATTGTTGTTGTATCGTGTCATTTTTGGGACGATATTATATGTAAAAGTTTTAAATTGTATAGATTTTTAAATCAAATTAGTAAAAATGAAAACGGTCACCTAAAAAATAATTTTTTTTTCTCTGGGCTAATAATTTTAATAATAATAATAATATAATAAACTTTTCTGATTTATGTTTTTTTTTCGTTATAGTTTTTACTGAAAAAGATAAATATAAAGATTTTGTTCAAAAGTTGTTTTTTATATATTTTTTTAAAAATATTATTTACGAATAATATTAAAAAAATACTGTATATTTAATTCGGGTCCGAAACTTATCATAATTAAAATCGTAACCTTGTTATTCATTTAATGCACGCACCTTTGCGATTATTTAATTTTCAATACCTACATAGTTATCTATAGTCAGTGGATTAAGTGGGAAAAACTTCGAATGGAAAACCGTCTTTGCTGTTATAGATTAACCTGTACAATAAAGAAACGCGAAACTTTCTGGAAACTCACAGGCCACGTAGTCAAAACTTTCAAATTATTTTTCTCCCTCCCACACACGTTAAATCTACTAAAATACTAATGGGGTTTAAAAATAAACTTGCCCATCCCAAAAAAACAATATCTTACATTTATACTATGACAGCTCTGTCAAAATAAAGTGAAACAGTCTGATTATATAGGTACCTACAAGCCAATATTACTATAGGGGACGGATAATTTCACTTAAAATAAAAAGGGAAACTCCGTACCCCTAACCATTGCCTATAGGTACATCGAATTTCACTGGAGCATACCGGGTTAAAGGCGTGTAATGCGTTTTCTACGTGTTCATCTATAATATCCAGAGTCCGTTTATGTATATAGTTTTAAGTTATTATTATTTTTTTTAAATCCGTCGTGTTTCTTTTTCGTTTCGTGAAACCTTTAAAAACGTTATAATATATATATACTAAACTAAAAAAAAAAAAAAACAAAATGTACTTATATACTCTGAAAAGCGACACTCTCTAACCCCGCAACCGATGCTCAGTGCTGTACCCATTCAAGCGCACTTCAGAACCAACCTCATTGCATTCCTGCAATCATTTAGTTATTTTTAGATTCTGAGCGTAACGAGGAATGTATTGGTTTTCCTATGGAAAGTTTACGGAAAAAACGATTTCATTATTTTTTATTTTTATTTTCCTTTTATTTCTTTTCGGTTAAAAATAATCGTAAAAACCTAGAATTTTCGCAGAATACTCATATTGGCTTTTTCCAAACGTAATTGAATTCTTAAATTGCGGAATACAATATCCTGGGCATTTGACATATTTTGATCCAGTTTTCCAGTTTTTAATTGATTTCATGCGGACGAACATTTTTTCGCAAATCACAAATACTTAAAAATTATACATGAGTTTCTTACGTAATTCCACTATAAAAACTATTTTGTGGGTGGAAAAAAATTGATGAGTTACAGACTTAATTAGGAAATCAAATAACCATAGGAAAAAAATAAATAGAACATGTACAACGTGTGCAACGATGGTTTCATTTTTTCGAATATTATAAAAGTTATAATTGTTAACAGTTATAACAGCTGATGATTTTAACTAAGTCTTCAAGTGGAGAGTAGTTTTTGCTCTTGCATATTGTTTTTTGTGTACTCTTTTGTTTATTTTACGATTTCACAATATAAATATGACACAGGTAGCTCTACTTGTAAATATATTTGAAATCGTATTTGGATATTTTTAAGTTGATGAAATTTAATTTTTCGAAAAATTTAAAGAAAATTTCTTACAGGCAACCACTTGAATATTAGAGGTTGCACGTTTTCTTCTTTAAACACATTTAAATGCGATTTATTAACAATCCAATACAATATATACTGTGATAAATAATTTGGTAACACTTTGTAGCTGTTTGTTTCTTAAATCGTCCAATAAATAAAAAAATCCGAATAAATGTAAATGGTGTCTTTTAAAAAATGAGTGTATTATCGAGGATTGATCACCCTGTATACATAGTTTGACACGTAATTGAATTTATGATTTTTCGTTCAAAAGGAATTTAAAAAAAATAAAAACATAAATTAATTCATCGATTTGTGATTATAATTTATTTCGTTGTAATATAAGACTCCATGGTTTTTTTTTTTATATTTAATATGCTTATGTACCCGTTGCGATAACATTGTAATCGCCGATGGAATTTTAATTGATAAATATGCAAATGGCTTGTGGTAAAAACGTATACAACGATATCATATATTTATTTATTTTTTTTTTTTAACAATATATTATAAAAATTATATTTACCCGTTGAATTATTAATTATTATAATCACAGAAAAATGAAAAATTAATTTTGTTGAAATTTAATCTCGTTTCGTATAAAAAGTGTATTTTATTAAGTAGGTATACCTTCACTAGGGTTCTGTATGGGCCAATATTTTGAAGCCCAGTCCTGCCCCCCCCCTCCGATTAATAGATAATAATATTATTTTATCCTCATAGAAACAAATAAAAACTAAATGTTTGAAAGTTTCAAATACCTTTTTAACATTTTTACCATGTCCAGAAAAAGCTAATTCAAATATTCTGTGAAAATTGCAGATCTCTTAGACCTAACTAGTTATAATAACTAGAGAATAATATCAAAAATATTGAACCCGTTGCTATCGTTAATTTTTCCGTTTTTCTCAATTGTTAAGAAAACGGAACAAGAAAAATAAAAAATTGATCTTTCCAATTTATCATTTTAACAATATTTATTTATGTCAGAAAACTTGTTACATTAGAAAAATATAATATTACTTGTTAAACAATAGTGTAAAATAGTTTAATCTAGATTTTTTTTTTTTTATAGGTAATTTAACGAAGAGTTTGCATAAAAACGTTATTATTAATTAACATTAATATATTTTTTTTTTTATTAATAAATAGGCCCTCGGCCATTGGGCCGTTAGTTTACAATTATTGTATATGATAATGACATATTATTGTGTACTTATTCTAATTAATCTAGTTTATTATAAGTTTTTAAATCTTGATTTGGAGTTTGGCCGCTGTGATGAATTCGATGATGTTGGATATTGACTGACGGTTATTTCGTAGTATTTCCGCTATTGAATCAGTGAGGTTGAAAAATGTTCTCGTATTATATATCTCGTGGTATATTCGGCATTCAGTGAAAATGTGTTTGATGGTGACATGAACGCCACAGGCTGTCCATATTAGTGGTTCGTCCTTGGCCATTAGAAAACTGGGAGATTTGAGTGTGTCCGATTCTAAGTCTTGTTAGTATAACTTCAAATTTTCTTGGTATTTCTGAGGGAAACGTCCAATTATCTATATTATGTTTGGTTTGGTTAAGTTTAGTGTGGTATGATGTCCATTTCTGGTGCCATCTTAGTTGGCNTGTGATTTGTGTAGACCAGCGTTTCTCAACCAGGGGGTCGTGACTCGGGGTCGCGCAGGTCAAAAATAATGAAACGCTGATTTACAAAATGTACCTTTAAATTTAAATATTTAAGACTTTTTATTGAAAAATTAAAATAATAATAATAAAATTATCCCGTTAAGGATATACATTAAAAATTAATAAACATAAAAATAAATAATTAGTGTGTTTTTTGAATTTGTTTTAAATTTAAAAGTTGCTTAATTTGTGGTTCAACATTTGAAACATATAAAAGTAAGTTAATTCTAGTGATAACAAACGATTTCTATACTTAGTTTTTATTGCCACCATGGATGTGAATCCTTTTTCGCATAAATAAAAAGTAGCGAACGGAATCAAAATTTCCAATGCCTCTGTTACCAAACTTCCATGTTCATTTTTACGGGAAATCCAAAACTTATTTAAATCTGGAGATGCAAATTGTATCTGTAATGTCTTATCAGCTGATAATGCCTGTGAAGAAAACAATGTATCCATTCAATATGTGGCATTAATTCTTTTAATTTTACTATTAAACCACTATTTTTCCCCCTTATTGCTCTTGCGTCATCAGAACACACTGAAATACATTTGTTCCAATCCAAATTTTAATTTTTTGTTGTTTCAATAAATAATTCAAAAAGACCTTGTCCAGTAGCATGACCCGGTATTGATTTGCAAAAAGCATATTTTCTTTAATTGCCCCGTCACATTCGTAGCGAACAAAACATAAAAATTGTGCCAAGTTTGTTACGTCTGTTGATTCGTCAAACTGAATAGAAAAATACTCACTTGATTTTAGATTTTGTACTATTTGATTGTGCACATCCGATGATATTTTATTAATTCGTCTTGATATTGTGTCATTTGAAAGTGGAATAGTTTTTAATTTGTTTGCTTCTTCTGCACCTATCATAATATTGACCATATCAATAGCAGCGAGTAGAATGAGGTTCTCAGCAATCGTGTGCGGCTTTGATTCCCTAGCTACCCTAAGTGCTACTAAATATGATGCTTCAAGTGTTGCGGTGTTATTCTGACTTGATTTAAGAATACAAGTTTGTTGATTTTTTAAAAAAAGTGATTTACGCTCAAAAAAGTCAATTGGTTTTTTTACTAAAAGTGGGTGATTTGTTTCCAGATGTCGAATTAATTTTGAACGTTTCATACTTTCTTGAGATGGAACTTGAAAGCAAACAACACATTGCGGCTTATTATCAAGTGAAATAAACCCATACTTAAAATACTCATTGTTATATGACCTGCATTTTTTTTTCGCTGGTTCACCAGAAGTAGACGGAGCATTACGTTTTGTTATATATTTATGCATAATCATTAATTCAAATTACACAAAACTAAAAAGACGCACTAAAAACCAACTTAATAAACGCAATATCACATGAGTTTAACAACACGAGNATGTAGATATCTCATCAATAAAACGGGCACTACTCCACTAATGGAAATTCCTAACGACCCGATACAAACTTAATAAGCTTAAGTTACTAGATATGGTATTTATAAAATGGTATTTAAAATGTTATATTTTGTTTGGTTAATGATAGGATATTTTTACTGTTTAAAATTTTACTTAACCTAGATGGAGGGGGGGGGTTCGCGAAGTGATTGACTATATTTTATACCTGTTTTGGGGGTCGCGACACTAAAAAGGTTGAGAAACGATGGTGTAGACAATGATAGTGGTAAGGAGATTGCGGCTTTTGCTGCGAGGTCAGCGAGCTCATTTTCTTTTATGTTACAATGTCCAGGAATCCAAAAAAGTTTGACTTTGTAGTTGTTTTTGTTTTGGAGGGTGTAGCATTAATATTATAACAAAGAATAAATATACAATCAATTAATTCGAAACATAATTATACTTTATGACCGCAAAATAAAAATAATGATAAAGTTATTTAATTGCCCGAGTTTTTTTTTTATCTAATAATTTTACAAAACTATTTACATAAATCACGGTATTACTAATAAATATGAACATCATAGTATCTAATACAACCTCGCCCTTCATACCACAGTTTGCTTTGCTAGTATGGTTTTCTTTATCACATTGAAAATAACTATAATCTTTGAACTAGAAAATGTATTTTCAAAAACAAATTCTCTATCCACTAGTCGAGTACCACCCTCAGTTCCTTTATTGTCTTTTGATGTTTATGATTATGATTTCATCAACATAGTATCTAGTGCAATGTTGCTTTATAGGACAAAAAATAATATATGACCGAATAGGTACAAAAACTATAATAATATCACATATTATAAACAATAGTGTAAAACAGTTTAATCTCAAGTTTTTTTTTTTTATAATTAATTTAACAAAGAGTTTACATAAATACCATTATAACTAATTATTAATATTAATAATGTTATATCAAAAAATTAACATATAGTTAATTAATTTTAAAAAAATCATATACCTTATGGCTTTATATATAAAGTTTGATAAGTTTTTCGGTTTTGCATAATTATTACTATGCTTGAGGTGAGATTAGAGAGTCTAATATATTACTAATTAGTATTAAACTCTTAAATATGATGATAGTACATCTTATACATAATAAATACGTACTTATTTAACGTTATATAATATAATATGATTTGCACATTAACACTAAGAGAGAAAACAAATTTAATTAATTTGAAACAGTTGAATAGTTATTATATAAAGTGAATAGTGAATAATTGATGAATAGTTTTGACTATTAGTGGAATAGATTTGCATACCATTTTTTTTTTCAACTTAAATTCCTAATTCTTATTAATTTGTTTAATTTTGTACGGCAATTCATTCAAGAGATTTATTCCTCTATACACATAAAACATTTTAATTAAGGTCGTGTTGGGCTTAAATTATTTAAGTTTACCATTTTTCATATTTCGAGTAATTATCAAATTATTTTTACTATTTAATGTTATGTGATTCAAATTGATTTTTCATCATAGACACTTAAGTAGTTGATATTTTATTATATATAATTGATTAATATTTAATATCCTAAGCAATTTTAAATAAATCGTTAACAATATAATTTTGTCTTAATATTATTCGTATTATTGTTTTATGTACTATATTTAGCAGTTCAAGTACGTTGTTATATGCAGATCCCTATACTAATATACTATATGTCAGTATTGATTGGACAATAGCAAAATAAACCGTTCTAATATTATTCAAAACGAGTATATTACGTAGTTCATTAAAAATAAAAAAGCATTTTCTAATGCGCGCAATTAAGGTATCAGTATGAATTTTCCATTTTAAATTTTCGTCGAAAATTACCCCTAAATATTTGGTTGATATTATTCTATTTAATTCTCAACATTTTTTTTTTGACAATATTCCATTTCATTATTCTTATCACATTTACTGGAGTGCAATTTTATTATTATTTTATGAGGCAAATTGGTTTTGGTTAAAGAAAAAAATTATTTTCAAAAATAATTTGCCTATCCACTAGTCGAATATTATCCAAAGTTTCTTGAATATCTTTTCCAATATTAACTTCTTTTCTGAATTTTTTTTTAATCGTTAAAGGGTAACCACCGACTTGCCTTAAACGCAATTTTAACATCAACATGAAATAGCTATAACCTTTGAACTAGAACAAGTATTTTCAAAAATAATTTGTTAACCCGCTAGTCAAGTAATATTCTCAGTTTCTTGAATATGCTGAATATTTAATATTTCTATATTTACTATGAACTATCTCATTCCAATTTTAACCTTAAATAAATAGAACTGTATCGTCAAAAAAAGCTATATTTCCATTTAAGTCTAGTTAAATCCAATAATTTACATAATGTGAAAACAGTATAGGACCTAAAACAGAAACCAATTACAAAACTGAACTAATATCGTGTTGGAACAAGGGGTGATATTTTATTATTTATGCGCCCACCGGTTTTGTGCTAATTTGGTCGTGTATTGGAACAAACCTAATGGTTATTTTCTCCATGCCACAGTTCGTTAGTATAGTTTTTTTTACCATATCAGAAATAGCTATAACCTTTGAACTAAAAGATGCATTTTCAAAAATAATATGCCCATCCGATAGTCGAATACTATCCAAAGTTTCTTGAATATCTTTTCCAATATTAACTTTTTTTCTGGTTATTTTTTCTTTAACCATTAAAGGGTAACCACCGACTTGTCTTAAACGCAATTTTAACATCAACATGAAATAGCTATAACCTTTGAACTATAAGATGTATTTTCAAATATAATTTGCCCATCCGCTAGTCGAGTAATAATCTCAGTCTCTTGAATATCTTTTCCAATATTAACTTCTTTTCTGGATATTTTTTCTTTATTCATTAAAGGGTAACCACCGACTTGCCTTAAACGCAATTTTACCATCAACATGAAATAGCTATAACCTTTGAACTAGACCATG